CAGGGGCGGGCGTTCTCTTGGAACTTTACAATACACTTATCGTATAATCATAAACTATGTGCGTATGGTCTGCTTCAGTTTTTGGTCATTTGGCAAATAGTTCTCATTAATAAAAGGTTGCTTCAGCATTTGCAGTAAAGCAACTTTCTGAAGTTTTTCCAAAAATGTAGCAGCCCTTCAAATATTTGAAGATTGATCCCACACTGCCAAATATTGCGTAACCTTTAGATGTTGACCCAACCTGCCTATATTTCTCAAAAACACGCTATTGTGTGGAAGTGGCATAGTCATTTCATTTTGGGAAAAGATCAACAACATGAAGCTTGTTGAAGGGGGGCTGGGGACGTTAGTGAAAGGGCTGTAGTACAAACAGAGAGCTTCTCGTGTGCCATCACATGGGCATTACCATCTTGAAATTATGTAACTCAAGGCACCATTGCGTGACTTCAGCTCCTAGCTCCGCTTGCACCTTCGGATGTAACATGCATTGCTTTGTATTCATAGTTTTCGTCGTCTTTCATCATTGTTTTGTTCTTGCTTTGTAAGCTATTCTCTGGTGCTTCATACATAGTACATAACTGCGACTCCTTATGTGGACACTTAGCACTGACTAGTGTACACTGCGTGACACCCTTAGCCCAAGCAGGACTTTGACGCTTCTTCGCTTCTGCTGAAAACGTTATTGACAAACAATAAATTTAACTGCATAAGTGGTCATCCCACATGAGCACTTGTAATTTTTATGGTTCTTCAGTTGTGAAAGAAACGAGAAAAACCGGTGATCACTTGTTTGCATTAACTCTTTCATGACCACGGGAAAAGTAGCAATTTTCAAGCGAGCTGTGCGAACATTTTTTTTTTTTTTAACTAACTTGCGTATGGAGCAATATGACACATCAAAATTTGGCCAATTAGTTCTTTCAAAAGAAACAGAGGTTGGTATAATGTGAGAAAAGGATGTTCAAATTTTATTTCTTGAAAATAAAATGTATGTGCAGAAGGTGTATAAATGACAAAACTTCTACAGCTATGTCAAATTAAACGACAAATAATAATTCATTCTGATTATACAAAATGTGCCCCACACCTACGGCTATTACCGTATTTACGCGCATAATGAACGCACTCACATAATGAACACAATGGGCATCAAGGTTTTGGCTTCCTTTTTCTCTTGCATAATAAACACACCTCCAATTTTCGGCTCCACGAGTCTCGAACTGCATCCAACTCAGCTAGCTACCAAGTGGCTGGGCCAAGTCAAGCCAAGCCAAGTCAAGCCCAGCCAAGCTGCTCTCGTAATGGCTGCAAGTGTGTAGTTCTGGAACTGATCAACTGTGAAACTGAGCGGCGCGCACACCTAATGAAGCTGGGGTTAAGGAATAGTCCAGCCCCAGACATGCTTCGCCCATCAAATGTATTGATGTCAACGAACACGCCGTCGACTGTGGTCCGATTTCATACAGTGAAATCGTGAAAGTGGTTAGGCCTAAGACTGGTCGCGTTGCTCTTCGAGTTGAATGAGCTTCGCAGGTCACTTTTCCTTCGGCAAGAGGCACGCTGAAAGTGCCCTAAAAAAGGTTCGCAATTTATAGAGCACGAGGACTGTGGTGCAACCACGATCAGTTACGGGTGCACCTCCGTCAGTGGAGACGTGCCACAATACACTGCCGTGTCATAATGGCACCTGTGATGACATTTGTGCAAAGTGTGTAAATGCAAACATTTTACCCCGCAATATGAATTCAGCCCCCCAAATAGGTGTCAGTTTTTCAAGGAAAAAAAATCAGTTCATTATGCGAGTAAATACGGTACATCTGAAAGTTAGCATACTCTAGCTGACATTGTCTATTTTTGGTTCCTTGGAGAGTTAGCCTCCGTAACTGGCATGGTTTTCAACGAAGGAATGCTTATACAGTCGAACCCCGGTTCAACGAATATTTTTCAGTTCTTCGTCAATGGTCCATAGGAGTCAATGCATAAAAATTCTCACTACAGCGAACACTGTTTCTTGTGCTGTTTTGCTTGAACGAAATTTTACAGAGCGATTCGAAGTTCGAAAGTTGAATTTTCCGTACGGAAAACAAACTTTCGAGCACTGGTGCATTTTAGCACATAAATTATGTCTACTATAAAGTTTAAATTGCGTGTTGAACCACCAGAAACTGCCACTAATACCCGTTACCCGAGCGCAACATTGACCGGGCGTGGAGGCCGCCATTACTTGACGGCGATGAGGCTGGCCTTCCTACGCTTTTGCACCGATGTTGCTCTAGCTCTTGGCTTGATAACGCTCTGCTGCCGACTATCGAAAGCCGAAGCTCAGTCTTTGTTGTTTTTTTCTTCTTTTTTGTCAGTTGTCATTTTATCAGTATGGCACGACAACAATGATGGTACGCGGGCTTTTTGCAAATGGCACGATGGCATTGCCAAGCAAAACGCGAAAGTTTTTATCCTTATAAGATAAAGCTCGCACCCCAGCCGAAGTTGCAAGTGGACAGAAGAAAGCTGTCATCTCCGAAAAGTTCGGGATTTCTCCGAATTCATTGTCGACGATCCTAAAGTCGAAAGATGCAATCAAAAAGGTCCAGTGTCGCGCTGGAAGATTTCATCGATGCTGACATGGATGTTATCGCTCGTGAAGAACTGAGTGACGAGGACATTATACGAAGTGTCCGCGACGAGGCGCAGTCAGATGAAGACGACCTGCCGGACCTGCAGCCTCCGCCTTCCTTGGCGCGCGTACTGGATGCGTTCGACGTTCTCAGAAGCTACGTGGCTGCGCATGATGACGACCTTGCCATGAACCTACTCGCCAAATGCGAAAGCGTCACGGAGTTCCTAACAAGGAAAAGGAAGCAGGCGACGCTCGATACATTCTGGAAATAAAGATTTCTGTACTCTATCAGTTCAGGTATGCCATTCTTCTGTGAGTTTCACAATAAAATTTTCGCTACATCGAATTTTTTCTTGCACACCTTCAATTTCGTTTTAGCGGGATTTGACTTATTGGTGAAACACAGATAGTTTACCTTACACCCTCAGCAGAATGCTTTTTTTTATGTTCTACGTTGGTTTTGTCAAAGCCTTGGTTGCAGTTCCTTCTTATTCAGCATTTTCGTCCGCCTTGTTGGGAACATAAAAAGTGCACGCTGGCTCAGGACAGCATTGAAAATTAGTGATGCTTGCCGACAAACATTTATTACCTGACACCTATGACATAATTTGAAGTGTGCCCAGATAAAAGATGTGCCGCAATATATAGTTGAGTTATGTAAATAATGCCATATTTTACAAAGACTGATGCAAGCAGTTAATCATGTGAGACAAGCGCAACCGCCGCTCCCAGGGACTATTTTTGACAACCCACCAGCTTGTGATAAACTTCAAATCTATGTTGAAACCGAAACTAGAGTTCTTCGGCTTTCCCCGAGATTGTGGAACATAATTTTCCGCATTAAGTTTAATTTCTTGACGGCGCTTGGGATTCATTGATCACCAGTGATCGATGGCCTATGAGTGCAGTCAGGAAAGAGTTAATGTTGTCGCACCCTGCACATTAAATATATGACCATAAGGCCTGCAGATAGGTTCAGAAATTAAGTGGTTACCACAATGCAGTCTACACTTGGTTATAGTGGCAGATTGTTATCAAAAGAAGCCCAGTGTAAATTAGTGGGATCATGCATTTGGGATTATATTCTGTCTGTATATACGGAGGCGCCTCAACCAGCCCAGAGGTTGGAGCCAATACTCTGCCCGAAAACGTTGGCGGAGCTCTTTCGTCCTCTCATACTCCCTGCACCAGAGAGCAACTTTCACTCGCTCGTTAGGAGCGCACCGTGAAGGTGACTTGCATTCAAGAACAATTACGGACGAAAGTTGCAGAGAAGAGGTGCGGCAACAACCAGTGAGTGCAAAGCAGATGACGACATGTAGTCAAAAATGATTGTCAAAAAATACAAAAACAAAATGACACATCTGTTCTAGCTTTGTTCTCATTTTAGCTTCATTTGTTGTTTTATTGGTAGATTAAAATAATCTTGTGCTGACACTTCGTGCAGAAAAAGAGTGCATCGTTGTCTGTTATTACCGATGTCGAAGGAAGAGCCCGTCATAACCACCTGTAGCCGCCTGCAATCTTACGTGCCGCCATCTGTCAGCTGTTGCACGTGCCTTTAATTAGCAGACAGCCGCAGTAGGTAGAGATCTTATCTTCATTTCTTAATTTTTACATGCATGTCCTTCAAGCCACCTGTGTGTAAAATCTTAGCTCGATAAGTTCAGAAACCGATTTATGCGGTCACTTCAAACAGCCATCAATCCCTCTGACTCAACCTGTATATGGGAATTACACAGGTGCATTGTTGTTGAGGTCTTCAACCGATTATCAGAGAATACTTTACTTTGAATGGCCTAGTGAGTGATAAAATAGACTAAGTGCATCTCTTAAATTGAAAACGCTTGTCGACGCAAGTCTGTCTACTGGTGCCTGACATCCAACTTCAGCCAAACTTACAACACTCCAGAGGTCACTCGGCTCGGTGCTTCATAATTTGATCCAGCAAACTTGGCGGAATTCAAATGTTGGACTTCACTTGACAAACTTGTCCCTCAGGTCCTTGCCCGAGGACGTTGGAAGCCAAATGTCAAACTTCGCTTGGCAGACTTGTCACTCAGGTCCTTTCCTCAGTGCTTTGTAATTCGATCCAGTACACTTGATGGAAGCCAAATATTAGACTTTACTTGACAGACTTGTCCCTCACATCCTTGCATGAGGACGTTGGAAGCCAAATGTCGGACTTCGCTTGACAGACTTGTCACTCAGGTCCTTTCCTGAGGACGTCCCTTTGCAATAATCACCGACGATAGTTTTTGCTTGGGGCAAGTGACAAAAACACAAGTCCTTTTAAAACCACCAACCACCAGGAAGCGCTAGCAAATTAATTTACCGGACAAGTGTTGCTCAAACCTAACCTCCAAAGGGTGCCTTGCTGCAGCCTCAAGCAGGGACCTGGTGCTGCTGCCCGGTGCGGTGCAGCCTGCGGGCGCAGTGGTGCCGTGCGGGACCAAGCCCCAGCTAGCCCGGGACGCGCCCTGCGGCTGTCGCCTGGACGTGTGCGTCGCCTGGTTCCCCTGCGGGCTCAAGTGGTGCCGCGATGCCGGCCGAGCCTCCAGTTTTCGGTGCGGCATCCGCACGTGCCGCAAGTGCCACCAGTTCCTCTACCCAGTGCGCACGAGAAGCCTTTGCCTCTGGGAATGAGCGCCGCCACCGTTCCATAGCCTTCCGAGCGCGGCCGGCCGCGGCCCCCGGATCAGTTTCTTCCGACACGCTGTGCCTCTCGACTTCACCCGCCAAGTGTCCTTGATAACTCGAACAAACAGACTGGTCACAATGTCAGTCTCGAGAAACCTATTCTTTTACTGCGAGAAATGTACAAACATTGTTCTTTGTGGGGATCGCCCCAAAACAGGCGAGGCTATTCGACGTCGTTTCTTTGTGGGCAACCGTTTGCTTATGTATTGTTGAACATTTTTTTTTAATTGCTTGTTTAGACGGTTCATGTGGAAACCAAAGAAACCAATTGGGTGCTTCTCCATGGAACGTTTCTTTTTATCTAGCGTTGTAGTTCCTCGCACAGGTGATCCTATACTTATAGCTTCAAGAATGTATCAACACTCACCATTGAAGTAGTTCCAAATCTAATGGCCACAACATTTTAGGCCATCGGCTAGAAATTTCTTGCGCTGCCGAGGCTGCCCTGGAACTCGTGGGAGACCACTGTGCGAATTTTACTAGTCCAGAGTGGCATGGTACAAACATACTTTTGATGTCCTTATTGCTTTGTTCCTTGTTAGATGTATATGTTACACGCCTCTGCCTATGGAATGATGATGTGTGTCACCGTGATGGTGCCACTCTCTGAAGAGTTGCCCTAAACTCATCAGTGGCCATGCAACATTGTTTTGTACCAATAGAGGAGGAGGTGCATTGCCAATTTAGTACCTTTAGTACTTTTGAAAAGTTTAATACGTAATAGCATTGTTTTCTACACACAATAAAGCTTGTTTCTATAGTATATGGTCAGTGTGATGGTTTTTGATGGTTGACGGTTTCTGTGACATTTCCAGTATATCGTCAAGGGGTCATAACCATGTGTGACAGTTTGTTAATATGATGCTGGCACTATCTTTACCATCTTTGGTGAATGAATGTAAGTGGGACATGCTCAGAATAAAAGGAATGTATTAAAAAGCATGCCAGGCTGCAGTACAAGAATAAGGGGCTGGTAGGGTGGAATTCTTAAGCAGAGTTTCGAGGGACTCGATGGGGGGGGGGGTCTTTAAAGTACACTGATTGCATTTCCTAACCTTTCAAAATTTCTCAGCTGCCCTTTCACTTAATAAATTATTTTTCTAGTTTATATTTAGCAGTTGTGAGCCACCCAATAATGCATGACTATGAGCCAAATACCCCCTATACTCCACATCAGCTTTCTTGTGCTGTCAAGGCTAGCATAGTTGCTGCAGCGCTGTCAAAGCTGCAGAGCACACGTGAATGAGACGCAAGGCAAAAGCATGTGCTTCCACTGCAGTGTGGGGCTGCAGCACTGGAAAATAAGCTAGCCTCGATAAAGTAGCACAAAGAAAATGATACCGAGTATAGTTCGCTCATTATTGTTTACATACTCGACCACAAACTGCCGAGCAAACTGTCCTACCATTAAGGAGAAGTTTGCAATATTCTATGCAGACACAAAATACACACCCACAGTGGTGCGTGTCGGAATAATAATTCACACCTGAATAAGCAGCGGTGCAGACACTCGCTCCATGCTTGCACGAAGTTGTCGCGAATGCTTGAAACAAACGCACAATGTAAAGAATACTTCACAATACTCACAATGATGTGCCCTTATATCCCAACAAAGCGCTCGGCCGGCGTGCTTAAGGAGTCGAAGCAAAACAAACAAAAAGACAACATTTCTTCCCTCGGCGATGTGACGGCTGGCACTGGAGTGGCGGAAGACGGAAGCAACCATGGCGGAATTGTAAAAGCCGTGCAACCCGCGCATCAGCACCGCGACGACTGTGAGGGGAAGAACCACCTCTGGGTGAGTGGGGTCAGTGAGTGAGTGAGTCTGACTTCGATGAGGGGCGTGAGTTTGGTGAGGGGCACGAGTTTGTGAGTTCGGTGAGAGATGCGAGGTTATGAGTTTGATGAGTTTGAGTGAGGTCTTGAAGGTGAGGGTGAGTGAGTTTTTAACTTTTTAGTTTGAGCCTGCTGTGACTGAGTGAGTTCAACCAAAAATGCCAACTTCTTGTGGTGAGCCCCACAGAGATTTCTTGAAATAGAAACGTTTGAGAATTGCAGGCTCTCTAGTGATGGAAGGGCTGTGTCATTTGCACCAGATTGCACCATCAACGCAAGTCTGCTATATCTTGCGCCAAAATGTTTTTGCCAAGAATTGTACCAGATTGCACCATCAACGAAAGTCTGCTACATCTTGCGTCAAAATGTTTTTGCTAGGGATTGTGGCATACCTGTAAGATGGGCTTAAACAAAGCAAATAATTCAAACATCTTATTTATTGGTGGGCCCTAATATCTAGAGAAGTAGAAGGAAAGTAAAATTCTACAAATATGTATGTATTTCACAGAATCTCTAATAATCATGTAGTTTGTCTCATGTTAGGTCAGAGCACAGTCGAAGGCGCGAACGCATGCAACCACAAACGTGCATGCTAAAAACGCAGGGTACAGAGCCTTCGCTGCGCCTGATTGGTTTAGCCGATGAAAGGACACGTACAGAGTAGGTGCGGGCTAGAGTGAAAAGCCGCTCTCTAGCCCAGTCATATGGTACAGAAAGATGACAAATACCACAATGTCACGCTTTTGCCAATGTACGGTTGGTTCCATTGGTCCGTAGCGTCGGCTGCGTTTTGACTTGAGGTGAAACAAAGTATAGAGGTTCGTCAACTACACTGGCTCGTCATCGCCTGAATGTCCAGACAATGCTGGCAATGTCGGGGGCTAAAGTCGCGAGAAAAGTTGGCAAAATAGTGAGATGGCGCCTGCTGCGGTAAGATGGAACAAGAGCGTTTTACTCCTGTTGAGATTGCTTGATTATCAAGTCTGCCGTACCTCCATATTGGGGCTACAGTTTACCGCAGTACTTGCACCACTTGCGTCGACCTTCACCGCCTCCCACCAATGTGCGTGCGTCGAGCTTTACAGTTTTTCCCTGGAGTGCTAGGAGCAACAGCTGACATATTAGCGCCATTGGGTTGGAAATTATGCTCAGCACTATTACAGGTTGACCTTTTATCTTGGTTATAGGTTGACCTCTAATTGTAAAAAGCTGTGCCGTGAAAGGGGGAAAAGACAAAAAACTGGGGATAAATATGGTAGTTGAGGTAGTTCCTGTGCAGTAGTCAATCGAAAGCGAGCTTTGACTGGACTTTGCCAAGGCCGCTGAACATGCAGTGTAACTTTCAAGGCAGAACTGTAGGTTTTATAATATTTGTGGGTGGTTGTTTTTGCACTTTATGATATTAGAATCTTAAGTTTAGTAGGTTCATAAGACATGCATACCCATTCTTTTTACAAAAAGTAATTAGTGGTATATGCCCCAATATCAAAGAGGAACCCTCAGTCATTAGCAAAGATAAACTCGGTGATGCCATGACTTTTTCATTGTCAAGTGATTGCTAACAGATGTTGACATCTGCTCCAAAAGAGTGACTGTTCCAAATCAATATTTTGCCCGCTACAAAACCTGCAAATGCTCCTTCCATCACCGTTTTCTTTTTCCATACCGCTGGGGGTTAATGTCGCTACATTTATCCTTTACCAGCTTGCTGCTTGCCCTCCTTTTGTTGCTTATGACTCTGTCATTATATATGCTTAGTATAAGCATCTTGAATAAATTCAGCGCAATGGTTTCCATCATTGAAATAGCTTCGGTGGGACATGTATGCATAATGTTTTTTTTTTTGGTGGTGGGTTTTCCCTCCCTCTAGCTTCATACTTTTATCGTCCTATCTGGAAAATGTTTAGTCTCCCCACACTTTCTTGCTGTGTGCCAGTATGTGTTCTGTTTCTGCCTCATCGATAGAAGTTGCGGTTCAGTTACCAGGGACTGCTGGTATTTTAACGCAATACTTTGCACTGGTAAATGCTGACTGCTCAAACGCTTCCTTTTGCAAGTAAGGTAAGTATTTCTTCTTTTTGTTTTTCTTTTTTTTTTTTTAATAGCAAAAAATAATTATATTGCAATGCACACTCGTAGAGCCAAAATGGTCAAATGCATCCCTGGCGGGAGACAAATTCTTGGTGGAAGAATGCCTCGTGTGCCCGGTACAAAAATTCTCTATTTGTGTTTGTTTTTGAAGCGTGTTCATTGACGCTGAAGCGTACATCACTTGTGGGAACGGTGCGAAGCGGTCGCAGCAGAACGCATCCCCGCGTCAACACATCTCAGAGACATGGAGCAGCCACCTTGCAACCCTGACTATGTGTGGGAAGAATGCAACAGAATGGAGGGAACGAGGAAGGGAGGTGGAATTGGAGCATTTATTAAGAAGAATATGAACTTTCAAAGGTTCAGAAAGGAGTGCGCCGAACACTTGTGGCTGAAAGGAAAAGTCGCTGGGGAATCAACAGTCCTTGGAGTGGTTTACTTATGGACAGGGACAGGTGCTAAAGAGGAAAACAGAAAAATGATTGATTGCATATCAAGAGACATTAGTGAACTAGGGGAAGGCTCCGAAATAATTATTATGGGAGACATGAATGCCCATATTGAGGGTCTGGATGGGTATACGGACTCAACTGGAAGCATATTACTAGAACTGGTGGAAAAGCATGATTTAGTTTTATGTAATACCAGTCAGAAGTGTGACGGGCACATAACTTGGGAAACTGGCAATCTACATTCAACTATAGATTACGTACTCATGTCACACAAAATATATGGTAAGTTACAAGTAATGAAAATAGATGAAGAAGGTTCCAAAAGTCTTGGTAGTGATCACAAACGTATTAAGCTGAATTTTGCCAGAGAAGTAAATGCTGAAACTAGACAACATAATTCAAAGCAAACTTTCTGCAGCGACAAAGAGTTGGAAATAGTTGTTGAAAGAATTGAGGCAGCAGTTTCAGGGCAACGGCATACAGATTGGACCTATGAGAGCCTAACTAGGCTTTTTGCTCTAGAACTAGACAAAGTTAAGAGTAAACGAAAGGGGAAGCAAGGACATAGACCAAAAAGTTGGTGGGACAAAGAAGTGAAGCAAGCGATACAGAAACGTCAGGAAGCCTCTAGAGAACACAGGTATTCCAAGCGTAGTGGGGAGTCCGAAACGGAAGTAAAAAGAAAATGGGACAATTTTATAACATGTCGCCGAGAGGCATCCAGTTTGATCAATGCGAAAATTCAGAAAAAGGGTGAGGAATGGATGAGTAATGTAAGTAAGAAAGATAGAAACGCTGCCAAGAAGTTTTGGGAGCACTTGAACTCACTCGGTGAAACGACGCAAGCTAGACAGAGGTTCATACTCTCGCATCAGGGAGATCAATTAGAGGGAGATGATGCGATACAATATATAGGAGCAGTGATGGAGGAGAAATTTCGGGAACGGGTACATGTGGAAGATAGGAGAACCGAAGGAAGTAGCAGTCCAGTTTGTGACATCGCGGATTTTGGACAAAGAGAATGGGAAAAGGCGGAACGAAGAGTCCCTAGTGGCACGTCGACAGGCACAGATGGTATCCCTATTAAGCTGGTGAAGAATTTGGGTCCTAAATCTAAGGCAAAACTAAGGGAGGTAGTGAGTACCATGATAACAAAAGGAAATATTCCAGATGAATGGAGGCTTAGTAGGATGAGTATGATATATAAGGGAAAGGGAGATAAGTCTGATATTAGGAATTATCGTCCTATAACCGTGACACCGGTTATTTACAGGTTGGTAATGCAGATTATAAAGAACAGACTGGAGGAATGGGTAGATTGCGAGGGCATACTGGGCGAGTTACAGAACGGGTTTCGAAAACAAAGAAGGTTGGAGGACAACTTATTTTCTCTAACACAGTGTATAGAAATAGCGCAAAAAGAAAACAGACAGCTCTGGCTGGCATTTCTGGATATCAAGGGTGCCTATGACAATGTGAACCAAAGAAACCTGTGGGACATAATGGAGAACTTAAACCTAGATGAAGGACTAACAGCACTATTAAGGAACATTTACAAAGATAACAAGGTGATTATAACATGGGAAGGAAAGGCGACAGGGAAAATAGAGATAAGACGAGGCCTTAGGCAGGGGTGCCCGTTATCGCCTTTGCTGTTTATGTTGTATCTGAGAGGATTGGAGGATAGACTAGAGAAGAGTGGGCTTGGGTTCAACCTTTCTTACAGTAAGCTAGGCCAAAAAATTCAGCAATCCTTACCGGGATTGATGTATGCGGATGATATTGTACTAATGGCTAACAACAGGACAGAGTTGCAGGAATTAATGAGCATCTGTGGTAGGGAAGGAGAGGAATTAGGTTTAGAATTCAGTAGCGAAAAATCGGCAGTCATGATTTTTAACGAGGATGAAGTTGAGAGGCTGAAGATACAGAATATTACAGTTGAGAGAGCTAGTAAATACAAGTATCTAGGAGTATGGATATGTGATGGTGCAGAATATCTCAGAGATCATGAAAAGTATATAATAGGTAAGGGCAACAGAAATGCAGCTGTAATGAAAAATAGAGCACTTTGGAATTACAACAGGTATGAGGTGGTGAGAGATTCGGAAAGGGGTCATGGTGCCTGGCTTGACTTTTGGAAACGCAGTGCTATGCATGAAATCCGAAGTGCATGCGAAACTAGAAATAAAACAGCGCGGAGTAGGTAGACTGGCTTTGGGGGCACATTGCAAAACGCCAAACCAGGGAGTACAAGGAGACATGGGATGGGCATCATTTGAGAGCAGGGAAGCGGTGAGCAAGGTAGAATTTGAGGATAGGTTGAGGCTAATGGACGGGGAGCAATGGGCACGAAAGGTTTTCAGCTATTTATACATGAGGAGTGTAGACACCAAGTGGAGACAGCGCACTAAGAAATTAAGAGGAAAGTTTTTGGGCTATAGCGAAGATACGGAAGAGCAAGTCTCAGTTAAGAAGAAAGTTAAGGCCACAGAAAGAGATCGGTGGCTAGAGGGAATGCAGGCAAAGACGGCTCTGGAAAGCTATAGATTAAACAAAAGAGTTATTGCCAAAGAAAGCATTTATGACAATTCTAGGGGAAGCTCATTGCTGTTTGAGGCAAGAACGGGTGTTCTGCGAACCAGAACATACAGAGTGAAGTACCAGGAAATTGATACAGTGTGCACTGCTTGTGGAGAGGAGGACGAGACGGCTGAGCACTTGATACTCTACTGTAAAGGGCTTCACCCTATGCCTACCGAAGACAACATAGATTTAATAAAGTCATTGGGTTTTAGAGACAGCGAAGGGAGAGTGGATTTCAAGACTGTAGAGATTACCAAGCAAAGATTAAGTGAATGGTGGCAGAAATCGAGAGAAAACTAGGTATTTTCTTATTCACTGATGGCAAGGGGGTTTCATAGCCTCACTTTCTTTGCACTGCGGAGTGAATATAGATTTCACATTTAAATATTCTAAGCTTAAATGGTAAAACAAAATGGCTAGGTGGCGTAAGCTACCGCCCGATCCAAAGGGCTCAGCCGTATTCATCCATCCATCCATCCATCCGGTGCGAAGCGGGGAAGCTAGACGCACGTGCGCCAGTGCAGAGCGGTGGAACTCTACGCGTGTGCGCCGATGCGAATAGGTGAAGCTTGACGCATGTGCCGCGCTGGCTTGACTCGAGTGGCATAGCGCGGGCTGGCGCGGGTGCCTCGCATAAAAAACGGCTGCTGCGATAAGAAAGCCAGTCTCCTGCTTCTGAAAAGATCACGTGCCTCGCATAGAGGCACATGATGTAATCAGAAGTAGGCGACTGGCTGTCTTATCGCAGCAGCCGTTTTTTAACTCGTTGCTCATGACGATGACGGCGTCATCGTGTAGGCCACTGCAGTCAACGAATGAGTGTTAGCTAGGGTGGTATAAGGATGCTGCGAAATACATTTTAGTATGAATTTCCTTCCCTGCGGGGTCATGTCTCTGTGCGACTCATATTTGGTACATTTTCGTTATAATCAAAATCATTTTATTTGCACTTTAAAGAACGCAGGCGGTGATGTGCGGGGCTGGAGATAAGTGAGAACCAAAGTGAGAACCCTTACGTTAGCGCTGCAATTGTTGCCTGTAACGGTATGCTCACACAGAAGGCTCTATTTCCCCTGAATGAGAAAGAGGAAAACTAATATAATTTCTTTATTCACCCAAAATGGAGCCACATTATAAAACAAGAAAAAGGAGGGAGAAATAAAAAATTAAACAAATGGCAACCTGATAACCCAGTGCGTTATCTCGATCACGTGAATGGCACGCGAATTTTAGAAAATGACACCATGGCTGCTGTCATTTGACAACAAAAAGCTATTTTCAAGAAGAGAAAAAAAAAGAGGAAGACTTTTCAAGAAAGAACTACCACCACCTGTCCTGCAAGTGGGGCTGTGGCGATCCAAACATGGCAGGCATGGGAGATCCAAAGATGGGCGACTGCACCCAGTTTTCAAAGCTGCTGTGTGATCTGGAGCCGCCAGAAGCCCTCCCCAGCTTGGATGAATGTGACCGGTACCAGCCCAGCAGCCGGGAGAGTTGGCTGACTTGCCAGGTATGCCGCAACAACTGCCTGGTGGCCATTGCAAGAGATGAACTGTGTCGTCAGCTGAGCTTGACCGTGCTTAGAGTGGCACGCCCCAGACAGGCTGTGGTTTTGGTCCAGTGCATCGGCGACCATTTGCACTACGTCAACTACCTACGTATCCTCTTACCAATGCCTGTGCAGCTTGTCATGTCACCCACTCACCAAAATTTTGATGGTGTTTCATTAATGGAACCACACACAATGTGGACCTTGCTTGCAAGGGGTGGATTATCCCACGAGGACCTGGATGTGGTGATTCTGCGAGACTTCCAACACTATCTGGAGGTTGACCACCCTTACCGTAAGATCATCCAGTCTTTTCAAAACAGGCAGACTCGCCTGCTCGCTATTGTCGATGCACTTCAGATATCTAGCTTAGGAGGCCTTGAAACTGACCTCTGCTTTCTGAGGACTCCACTCAGACTGAAGTGTTGCCTCGGTTGCCCAGAGAGACCATATGCCAAGGATCTTACCGTAAATGTCATTCTGTTGGATGCCGATTGGTTGCCGCTTACTGGTGAACAACAAACAACATCCGATGATGCAGACATTCAGCAACTCAAAGAAACTGTCCGAACTAAAGGTATCGTTGCTGCCAGAAGTGAGGCAGAACAGATGCTTGACAGTCAGTCCATTAAACAGATGCAAGAATTCCTTGACCACAGCCAGCAGGAACTGCTGCAACTACGAGCAAGCGCACTGCTGGATCATAGAGAAGGGTCTACATTGGCTCTGACAGCAACGCTATTGGCACACCACGAACTGTCCGACTACATTCAAGAGAAAGCCACTGAAACCCTGCTTCAAAGCCCCGAAGAGACAACACTAAAATCTGGTGTTCTTGTGGCTACATATTCCGACTTTCCAACACTTCAAACATACTCATGGGACACAGTCGTCTTGTATGACCTGCCATATGGATTTTGCTGCGATTCCATCTTAAGGAAGGCACGTCAGCGACTGGTGCTTTGTACGGAACCACAGTGGAAGACATGGCAGACTGCTTTAAAATTGCACGACGATCTGGAACTGCTAGCCGAACGTGTAAACCAGCAATCATCGAACTGTGCGAGACCATGAACCAATTTGCAAATAGGAAAGCGTATCCATAGGTGCTAAGTGGTGTGATGCAACGTAAATTGTGCATGGGCAGTTTGAGCAAATTTGTAATATTGACTGTGAGGGACTAAGGCTGGCAGTTTTTGTTTTAAAGCATTGCAAGACTTTGTGCTGAAAATATTTCTCATTTAAGTTTTAACTACTATAATTGTATGTACTATGAACATTTTTAAATTACAAATTACAAATTACAAATGAACAAATTTTCCTCTTGTCTGAAAATAAGTTTGATACCAAAGTCCCCAGGGCCAGAAATCATAATTTTCTAACTTGTAGTCTAGATCAGTGGTTCTCAACCATTGATGTTTCGCGGATCCCTTGGGGGTGCACAGAAATGATGGAGGACCCTGTTCAAAGTGAGGGGAAGGGAAAGGTATAGGTTAATTAGGATAATAACTTATTAAATGGATTAACTACTAAGGGCTAGTGTGAAAAAGAATTCTCTCATTGACATACACACGAGAAAGCTGACCCGAAAATTGGAGTGTTTCTTCTCAATCTGCAAAAAAAGACAACACTTATTGCCGGGCTTGACTGATGCGGTAGCCTGTGGGCAACGTTACTAAACCACTCAGTTGGGAAACTGCCATAGAGACTGCTCTGAAAAAGTGGCACCAACCCGTCCTCCAGAACCGAGCTAATGGCGATCACAACGCCGCCATTTCTCCCGCAGCAGCCACTCGAGGAACTGCACGTGACTTCTATTTTGGCTTTAATCGGCCATTATGGCGCCGAAACAGATAAGGTGGAAGAGGTTACAGGAGAGCCACCCCCATCTCCCCAGTGGACGCGTCGCGAAATACTACCGAAGCTAAGATGCACCTAGGTCGCTCACGCGCTACCTGAAATCACCGTTGAGGCGTGGTTGTATAAAAACAATATTAATTGTGCCGCAAAACCTTGCAAACTAGATTTTAGAAAACATCACGCACCCTCAATTTGTACTAAACTCCAATAAAAGTTACTACAAAAGTTTTTTCCCGTTGGGTTTTACGCAAAAATATGCGTCTGAAAGTTCAAGGCGACCACAGGAAAGACAAATGATAAAGGGTGGCGCTGCTGTCGTATTTAGCTCTGTCTTGGTGGACGCCAGCAGCCCACGTTTCAACGGCGAGTTTCCCAACTGAGGGTTCTAGTAACGTTGCCTGTAGGGCTTCGTGGACCTTAGAATGCCTTTGCGGACCCCCATTTTAGAATCACTGGTCTAGATAGTTGAGTGCTAGGTCTTGTAAAACCAGAAGAAAAGGAACTGGCATTTTACATGATTATGAACGCTTATACACTGCATTGACAATATACAAATAGTTCACTAAACATTTAGGCTTAGGCTCATGCGCATTGCCTAAATCTTGGTATACTTCATTGTTGCGTAATTCAATATCAACACTTTGAATTCTTATGGTTTGTTCAAGCTGCTCTGGAACACTGTGGTATGACCGGGAATCTAGTTTGGTCAGTGCTTACCCTGATGCGGTTGTACTTCCATCAGCAATATGAACTGGAATGCCACAGTGGCAGCTCGGAAATATTGGCTGCATTATTGAATAAGCGGGCAAGTTAAATTATGGTGCGTAGCATATGCTCGTGCACTATGTTGATGTTAAAGATTGCCGCCCAACCAGGCTACACACATGCCCAAGCCAGTGCAGCCAATACTTGCGAGTCCTTACTGTATAGTTCAACTTCTTATTGATGATGACAAAATATATGGCATCATGGACCAATGTACCTTTGAAACATGTAGTGCCTTTTGTTATTAGAAAAAAGTAATTGTAAAAGGGCATTCAAGGAAGTGCCATGAATGCTTCACAGATAGCTGCAAAATCACTGAGGACCACTTCTCTCAGGAGATTGCCACAGACTTTTTGGCATCCTATTAACATGGGCTGCATGATCAGAAATAAATTTGCAAAAAAAACCCAGAGCAATGCACACGAGGTGCACAACAAATTATGAAAATCTTCTGTATGCTCCTCGCTTCCAGAGTCTACCATATCAAGCTGGAGAGCTAGAGGGAGGGTAGTGCAGTTGATCGCCTGCCCTCGCCCGCTCACGTAGGTTCCCACTGCCATTTGCTACAGCCGTCCCCGATATACCCCTAGACGCCGGTGGAAGGCTCTGCATGGTCTGCAAATAGTCTATTGTCATATTACAAAGCATACCTTTCTAGAAAAACTCCAGGTTTTGTTCATGTTTCATTGTATTCGTGAACTTTAAGAAGACAGACATTTTAGTCTGGCCAGCTTTAAAATATAAATGGGTCGGGTGCTTACAGGAGTGTGGGCCCATATGCTATATGTTCAATCTAATTCCTGAGTTTTCTGTATTCTGTAGAGTTATGACATATCATATACACCAACTCACCAAACATGAACAAAGGGGTGGCAAGAAACAAAACAAATAAGCATGAAAAGATAGATGTTACTGCCAGCTGGAAAAAATTCTGAAAATCGGCACATACATAATACATAAACATTTTATTAAGGAACTATAAAGGCATGTTTCTCAAGCATGGTTGCTACGATAGTTCTCTGCGGCTGATAGCATAATAATATTAACAGCTAGAGGAATGTCAGGCACTATTAAAGATTTTCCTTACAACATCGAGTGGGAGGAGGCAGTCAGCACTGCTGTCTGAAACTCCCGCTTTCCGTTCAATGCCATGTTCCTCCAGCAGGTCAAGTCCAACAGCCGCCACGGACAATGACCCTGGAGGCGGACCATTGACCCTTATGGTCATGAGCTCTTCGGTCTGGTCCCCTTCAAGCAAGGACTGGGACTGCGCCTGAAGCACCTTGGAAGCAGGGCACAAGAGGCTTACAGAACTCAGAAGCGTGACAATGCCAGGGTAGAGGCCTCGAAAAGAGGAAACCATTCTTGGGGCAATAGCATCAAAGTTCTCCCTCAGGTCCCTCACAAAGGAGTTCAGCACAGTGCGCTTATAAGAGCCCCACTCCTGGAAAACATCAATGTTTTCTAACAAGGAGTGCTGGTATTCTCTTGCTAGCATCTTCACTGAGTCAAAGCCGAATGCATCTAAGTCGCAGGTGTCGACCGGCCATGTCTTCGAGTCCAGAATGCTCAGGGTTTTTATGGTCCTGCTGGATCTCTGGACTATGTCATCGAGGATGTCAGACATCAGGCCACACACCCTCTCCATAGTGGAGACCAGGACTGCCTCATCCAAGTCGCATTTAATGGGCACCCCTTTGTACCTTCCAATGTCAAGCTGGAGTTCTTCACGCACTTCTTCTACTTTAGATCCACCCGTGGATGTGTGGTGTCGGATGGTGCACGAGACTCCCTCAAGCTCGTTGATCACCTGATAAGTAGGGATGCCCAGGTTGACCACTTTGCGAGTCCAGTCATGCAGACAACGGAACAGTTCGAGGTAAAAAGCAAGGTTAACAATGAAGGTGGTCGACTTGAGTGTTTCCAGAATAAATGAAATCACCTGACGGTCATCCTCCACCAGCGAGTCGACCAGTATTTTGTTCAATTTGGTGACTATGTCGAGCCAGTGGTTATGTATAGTGTCCAACGTCTTGTAGTTAAAGAATGTGTACGTCGAGCACTCAGAGCCATGAAACATGACGTCACCGAGGTTGAGATCATCTGCAAGGGCAAGGTTTTTGAGCATGTTACACAAGTTCGCAATGATGGAAACATGAGGGTCATCCACCATTGATTTCTGGAGAGCATAACCCAACATGGACTCTAACTTGTAGATAACACAGTGGAACTCAAGGAAGTCATTCACCCTGTCCTTCTTACTGTGCAAGATGGCATCAATTTCATTGCAGTGAAAGCAGTCTCTGTCTACAGTCACCGAGACCAGTTTGCAGGAATCTATGATGGAAAGCTTTTCAAGCTTATTGTTGAGAACATCTGCAAATGTGCATGGCAATCCCCGCTTATACGAAACAAGATACCTAATCATCAGCTGGTTATTTTTTATGAATGTAACATAGACCGCATCTTCAAAGTCTCGACATCGAACAAATACTAGCCCATAGTAATAAGCTGCTCTAATGTCTTTCCCAAGCTCTCGAGTAAGATACCTGTCAAACAACACAGCCCCGTCCAAAACGATGTTACAAAAGTTCTCTTGACAGAAGGAGATCACTTGGTCATGTTCATTCCTCAAAGCAACCATCTCTGGTAGTTCACTTGCCGACTTGTTGGTCTTGAGCACCTCATAAACACATCGAAGCAGGTTGCTCAGGTTGACTTTTGGATGAGTACATGAAGCTGCTGGATTATGCTGTATTCCCTCGTTAGAATGGTCACCACAACCTGCAATATGACAAAGGCTATTTTAATCCACTACAGAAGCAATCCACAGCGAGTTCGTGATCCCATGTGCACATAACATGTCTGTAAATGTTACCACTTAGTCACTTACTTCTCTTACTTTGTTTTAATCATTTGCAAGCTTAGGACTTTCGGTAGTATAAAACAATTTCTTAAAAACTCGTGTCCCAGTCTGAGAAGCCCTAAAAATACGGCAGTATGATAGTGCAGCCGGTGTAGCGTCACAAACTGTGGGACTCGGACGAGCAACTTTCCAATGAATGTGTTTAATGGCACCCAACAGGGCCGTATCCCAACATGGTATATGATGGGTGGCTGAGTTTCCAGACCAACTTGCAGGCTTTGCCATTACGCCCCCCTTATCTTAGGAGAAGGCTGAAACAATAGTCACGGTTTTTTCCAAAAATCTTCGTCATACGTAAGCTTCTGAGGAGGACGCCGAATGCGCTGTAGTGTCAGAGTCCAACGGCAGCACAGTCTCTCGCACTGAAGGTGGAATGCACTGTAGTGTCCCTCTAGGACAGTCCAACGGTGGCACAGTCACTCACACTGGAGCTGGAGATCCTCAATCCATTCCAGTATGTTCGTTTGGGAATGAGGATGTCTGGAGGTGGACCTCTTCCTGGTCTAAATCATCCCTTCCTCTTCCGTGTTGAACTCCTCGGGGGTAGAAAGGAAGTGCCTTCTGTTCCTTTGTAGCGTTCTGGCGCTCTTGGTGATGACCCAATAGGATCTAGGCACCACTCAGTCTTGGACTTTGGCTGTCGTTGGCCAGCAGTTTTCTCCCCTGAGGCGGACCACCCTCCCTGTATGTAATGGCTGAAGTGGTCTACCCCCCCACTGCTCTGTTGACGCTTGTGCACTGGTTTTGGGGCCCGTTCTGTGAAGTCGAGTAGTCGCAATCCGATTCTCCTCCCCATCAAGAGTTCACTTGGAAATTGACTCTTTTCCAGCGGTGAAGACCTGTAGCTCAGAAATTCTTGTTTGTAGTCTTCCTGTGCATGAGTGTATGTATGTATGTATCTTTTATTTCAGACACAAAAAAGGGCCTGGGGAGCTGGGGCAAAAGACTTTTTGGAATAACTTGAGTTCCTTAAGGGGGGACTCTGGCTAGAGGTTGAACTTCTGAACTACTCAAGTGATCGGAATGAAATTTGCAGGGGAGATTTAACTTCAGATGTAGGTGTACTGTGCAAGCTTTCAGCTCTCTAAGACAACTTTACATACCTGCATAAGATGTGTCACTCTTCAATAAGAAATCTATGATATGCAAATGAAGCTATTAAGCACCATTTTAACTGCTTGAGTATAAAGTGGGGGATGTGGGACTTCGGGCTATCTGGTTTTCATAACTCAAATGTAAATATTTCAAGAAGAGTGATTACCTCAAGATATGAGATGCATATCTGTCCCATGTCAATTTTTGAAAACATAGCTTTTTTTCAATGAGGACTTTAATGTAAAACAAAATAAAGTAGATAACCCAATTCCCCAGTAAATTTCAGTTTAGAAACATCTTGATTGTGATATCAGAATAATTTTACCTTCGAACAAAAGATTCCTTCGTATGACATTTGCAGCAAAAAGCGGAACTGAGAAAAATGCATTCGAACATTGAACTCCTTTACTTTGTTACTGCCTCACATTGTGTCGAAAATATTTTTTATCAACATAACTATTTGGTGCATCGTTATGAACTTTAGTGTAAGGGTGTATAATTAGTTTCTAAAACCGAAAACCTCAAAATTGAAAAATGACTTTTTTTCAAAAAATTTTGAAACTCAGGCCCATGTCCCCCTTAAGAAGCACCCCCTGAACGAATGACATTTCTTTGGCGCACGACCTTTAAAGGCATGACTGAGGCAGCGGCCGGTGTTCGTGAAGGCAGCCGATCACCCCCGCCAAAACAGTGTCCTCGGCTGTCACAGCTGTGAGCTTGCTCATTGCGGCATTGCTCACCAGGTCTGACAGTGTTGCGACTGCATGAACTTCGGCATCATGTTTATCAGGTACCAGGTGTGTGTCACTTGGAGCCGGTGCATGCGATAATGCGTCTGCAAGTGTTAGCTGCTTGCCCGGAACTAATTGAAACTTGTAGTCATACCCATAGGCGTAGACTTCGGGGGGGGCAGAGGGGCCCGGGCCATAATCCTTACCGAGACGCTGTTTACGTGCCATGTAACGAGCTTGTAGTAGTGGCATGTAAAGAAAATAACACCCACGTTGCCCTTATTGACAAAATACATGGAAAATGGATCCAAGTGTGCTTTCGTTAGCTCCAATCTCCAGTTCTGACGAAAAGGTAATGCCGCAGCACCCCCCCAGAGAACTTTCCACCCTGGCCCCCCCCACCCCCCCGGGAAAATGAAAAGTCTACGCTGCCCCTCGACACTGGAGGAAGGCATATAAGCCTTCCACCAGTGTCGAGGGGGTATATTGTTGTCCAGTTAGAATGCTTAGCTTGCTCTTGACGAGGCAACAAAAAACTGCAGCTGGTATTTTGCATTAAGAAGTTAGCTAGATATGGCTTCACACAAGCCAGATTCTTGGCAATCAGTTCATCGAACAATTCTACATCAACAGATCGTTTCGTCAACATGCGACGTTTCATTGAAGGGCTTTCTGCATTTGTTTCATTGACACACCTTGCAACATTCTGTTTGTTTGATTCTTAACTCGGGAGAGTTAGGTCACTGTGATCAGGTGCGACACCCATACCGAAAGGTCTACAGTGCCTCTTAAGCAAAAAGGGAAAGAAAGTTAAATATACAAAACAAGGGGGAGGGCGGAAGGAGGGGAGGGGGGGTTCAACGGCTACACAAATGTTATACGAGTCACATACTCAATTGTTCCGCAGGTAGGTTGCGGTGTTTTTTGTCAATGTGCGCAGCGGCGTAGACTTTCCATTTTCCCGGGGGGGGGGGGGCAAGCTGAGAAGTTCTCTAGGGGGGAGGGGGGGCGGGGTGCACATTATCTTTTTGCCAGAACTGGAGATTGAAGCTAACGAAAGCACGCAGGGATTCCATTTCTCATGCATTTTGTCAATAAAGGCAACGTGGGCATTATTTTGTTTACATGCCACTACTAGAAGCTCGTTACATGGCACGTAAACAGCGTTTCGGTAAGGATCATGGCCCGAGCCCGGGGGGGCACGAGCCCCGATGCCCCCCCCCTGAAGTCTATGCCTATGAGTGTGCGTATGGATGTCTGGTCATTTGGTGCTGGGTTGGTGATCGGAGTGGGAAGGGACCTCTAGAGTCGTACCGTGAGGGGGCCAAAAGAGGGGGAATGGCGGAGGGTGCGGGTTAACAGGGGCTGTAGGCCGCCGGAACAAGTGCGCCGCAAAGGGGAAGCGAAGGGAAGCGTGGAGCTTGGTAGGCAAAGAGTAGTCAGGAGGCGTGCTATCGCAACTTGATGTCGCAGTTGAAGCTGGCCCTAGCCAACCAGTCGGAGGAGCGCAATGGTGCGCAGCTCCTGGATGGGTGGTGGTGATTGCCCGACCTGGCGTGTTACGATATGAAAGGCGGCACGACGTTGCACTGACTTAAGTGAGGCAACGAGTTGCGTTGACGATGGGTCCCAGACTGAACTGCAGTGCTCCAAGACAGGAAGGACCAGGGCTGTAAACAGCGATCTTGGGTTGCTGGGGCAGGCTCCTCTAGAGGAACGAATGAAGACAAAAAGTTGTCTTACCTTGAAGACAAAGTCCTGAATATGGCGGTCGATTGTGATGCCTAGGAGGCGGATATGCGTCGCTCTCGGGGATTTCGGAGCCATTGAGGAACAGAGCTGTCTGGCTTGGAAACCGACGCAAATAGTATGTGCACTGAGGCACACTTGGATAGAGTTAGTGAGAGTTTGTTGGTAAGGGACCAGAGATGAATGCTGTCTAAGTCAGCTTGGAGACATGGATAGTCTGAAGGAGATGCGGCTGGGTTGATGAGGGTCAGATCGGTGGCCTACAGAAGAGGGCCGTGCAAAGAAGGGATGAGGTGACATCGTTGATGAAGATATTGAATAGGGTTGGTTCGAGTATGCTGCCTTGTGGAACTCCACAGCAAACAACGATAGTGGAGGAGCGAGCATTTTGGTGCGCAATGTATTGGCTATGCCCTGTGAGAAAGTTTTTTAGCCAGGCGTAGAGGGGGCCAGAGATTCCCATCTTTTGCAGCCTGGGCAGGAGCAAGTCGTGGTCGATGCTGTCGAAGGCATTGAAATCAAGTTGAACGATTGATGCATGAGATTCGGTAGTCGAGACTGCCACTCAGTATATGAGTGACAGTCGCGAGGGCCGGCTCACAGCTTTTGCCTGGACGAAATCCGTACTGATGGGGACTGAGGAGGTTTGAGAGCTCTAGGTGGGCCATGAGGCATTTATTAATTACTCTTTCCGTTGTCCAGCATACGATAGAGGTTGTAGAGATTGACTGGTAAGAGCAGATGTCGGACTTGGGGGTGCCACGCCCCTTGTGGAGAGGCGTCACTGAAGCGACTTTCCAGGAGTTGGGTACGAAGCTGTGGAAAAGGAAATCCTTGAAGAGTCGAGTGAGCACAGGGGAGATCTGACCAGCACAGGCTTTGAGTTGCGCAGAATGAAGACCATCAAGTCCGGGGCATTGGGAGGGATTGACGCAGGCGAGGGCTTCATACATTTTGCTGGGGAGGATGACTATAAAGGAAAGGGTGGTTGCTTCTTTGGTCTGGCATGGGGGAATCTTGGGTTGAATGGGTCGGGGGTCGGATGCTGTAGGGTTGACTAACACTGGGGCCAGAGAGAAGTGGTGGGAGAAGAGTTTGACTATGTCTTCGGGTTTGGAGTAGGGTGTGCCGTTATGAGTGAAGACAGGGGATCGGGACATTTTGCACTGGTGGTGAAAGTAGGTCCAGAAGAGTTCGGGCTCTCTGGTGGTCTTTGTTGCTAGTTGCTGTAGGTATGTATTGTAGCCGTGCTATCTTTGCAACAAACTTTTTGAGTTTTGCTTGGCTTACAGGGGGAGAGAGGGGAGGAAGCCCAAAGCTTGAATAAATAAATAAATATATATATATATATATATATATATATATATATATATATATATATATATATATATATATATATATATGTATGTCTGTGTGTGTGTTTTGTCGACGAAACAAGTTTCCTCGAAACGCCAGTGTTGATAAAACGTGTGTCCATAAAAATTTGTCCACGAAAGATGTTTTGACGAGACCTAGCCAGGTCTATCAGCTAGTATGTCACACGACAGTACCTGTGAGATGTGGCGTGCGTCCATAAGATTCACATACTGGCACTGCTATCAGATCAGTCAATTTCGTTGGTGGTGTCTCATTTTTTCTAGGAGTATGCAACATTTGTAAGTTGCATGCCAGTGGCGTTGGGACGAGGAAGGGTGAAGTGGGGTGGGAAGCGACTGTTCTTATAGACAATTAAGTCCCCCCCCTCCCTCCTCCTCCTCTCCTCTCCTCCCCCCCCCCCCCCCCCCCCCCCCCCCCTTTATCTCCTCCTTATATTTCCGACGCCAATGTTGCATGCAGGGATCTCTTCACACTTATGGCAGGCAGCACTGAATTGAGATTTGAAAGTTTCGGTCTTTTGTGAATATCAGGCAACTCCGGCATACTCTGATAACTCGACTGCTCTCAGACCGATTTTGTATAGCTGCCTAAAAGCAAAAATTAAATGTATTGCAGCAAAGTTACCTAAAGCAAATGAGTAGGAGTGATCCCTTGCTTCTTCTTCCATCCTTTGGCAAACACTAGGAATAGCACAAGTGTGGTGCTTCGAAATTGAAATAACTCTGTCGTGAAGTCGTGAAGTGTTGTGTGTACGCGCCCTTCTGGCCTGTGCTTCTGGCGCTTCTGGCTTCTGCCGCTCACTACTTGGATTGGCATGGATTGGATAGCTACAATTAGAATCAAGGTACTTAAGAAATATAACAATATTTTAATGTAGAATAATTTTGCACTTTTACATTTTATAAAAAAAAATATAAAATTTTGAATATGGTGAAATGTCTCGCGACCGCAAGAGGCACAGATGAAACAGATGCCAAAGAAAGGCAACATAAATAAATAATTAAATATTACTTTCAATCCATATTCATATCCACATCCAATCCAATCAGCGGCGACATGGAGGAGATCGGAATCATTCTGCCTGAAAAGGTAATTCTTTATTCTTGTTTGTACTTTTAGAGATTGGGTATGACCATGAAACAATGCTGCTTAAGGAGAGAAGACATACTTGCTCTCATTGATAGGACTTTCGACCATATGCTGAATTCTGTAGCGTCACCGCGAAAGCAGGTTTTGACGGGACAGGGAGCCCACCGTGACAACGCAAGATTCGGTTGGAAACCGAGTGTAACTATTTCGTTGCAGAACAGTATTCTGCACCATGCCGCAGAGAAGTTCTGTAAATTTCTTGATTACGCTACCGCCTCTCAACTTTCTCTTAAGTTTCACTCCTTAGCGATATTTCTGTAGCTTTAAACGCGAGGATTTTTCGCTTTCTTGTACTGCGCGGTTGTACCAAGATAGTAGACAAAACGATTTGCATAAACTAACAATTTTTTTAGAAAAATCAAATCAAATCAATTCTGGGCAGTTGGAAGATTCTTGAGATTACCCTTGAACATTATAGGGATATTGAAATCTCCCCATCACGTTAAATAATTACTCTACCGTACTAGGCCAACTGGTACAGGCTTCGGGCCTCTCTGGCACACCTCAATCCTCCTGGGTCAAAATAAAGATTATTATTATTATTAAACATTTCTGCTATATTGCCTTACTCTTGTGTGTGTAATAAGTATCTGTGTAAAGGAACTTTGTATGATAGAATTAGATAAATCCTGCCAGACACCAAATGAGCGCTCTGGAGCCGGCCTAATTGTTTTGTTTCGGTTGAACTTGGTGTAAAGTTACAGCTGGTGTAACGACTATTTAAAAAGCTGAAAAACAAAAACTCCCGTAGAGCCGAAAATACATTTAGCCGATAAAAGGTGTCATCAGTGCAAATGCCAATTGAAGAAACAGACACCAACTCACAGACTGCATTTTCAGATCCAGTCATTTGCTTTCTAATCTCTGTTTTTGGTGTTTTACCCTTCAACTTAACTAGGTTGCATTAGTTTCTGTTACATGTTTTAAAGGCCGTGAACTTTTTTTCTTACGCTTTCATTGTTTGCTTTTGGGTGGCATTGCTTTGTTGGTAGTTGTGAAGGCAAGCAATTGTATTGTGTCTCTATCAAGATTGATGATGCCTAGGGGTAGAAGAAATGGAAGTTGCTAAAGCAGGTCTTGACTCAGCTTGGCGTGCAACGAAGTGTTGGACGGATGCATTCTGTGTTTCGTAGCTGCCTAAATTTAGGTGTCAACTAACAAAAAAATATTCAACAATTCTTCCTTACTTTGATTATATGGCGCAGGTCTTCCACCAAAGCTGACACAGATCTTTTTATAGTTTAACCGTGATTGTCTTACAGTTAGGGAAATCTGCACGGACTGGTCAAATTCAAACAGATTTCCTAAGGAATTAATCCTAAATCTACTTGATAACTTTTAGCTTTGATATTTTGCGGCAGTAGTATATTATTTTGTCATCAATGTGACATAAACCTTACCATGTTAGCGGTTTACTCGAGGTTTTCCTTTAAAAAAAACACCAGTTGTTTCTTTCAGAAATGTCTCATACTTATATTATGCACTGTTGCAACTTGCTTCGGTCTGAGAACTAGTAGGAGGAGAATCCCATAAGCAGTGTGAGTTGCAGTGGTCCCTATGCGAGCATCAAATATCATAATGAGAAAAAAACAAAATTTGAGACTGGGGACAGGAAAGAGAAAAAGACAACATTGTCTGAAAACGATGTTGTCTTGTCCCCTTTTTTGTCCCACGACACTTGTGCCTGGCATACGCCACCCCAATCCCGCCCGTCGTTGCATAGAGAATCACGTGACATTTTGTACCACGGGATAGCCATGTTCTTGGATGGATGGAGGGGTGGATATTGGCAGTTTCCTTTATACCGGGCAGTAGCTTGCACCACCTAGCCTTTAATTTATTTATTATAAAAAAATCTTTTTTCCTTCCTTTTCTTTCTTTACCTTTCTGCAACTATCACCGGGCAGGTAGAGTACTTTCCAGAAAAACCTTTATGGGGTAGGGCAAAAAAAAAAAAAAAAAAAAATTAAACACCTCCCTGTGCCTCCTCCCCCAGGCGAGTGAGTCGCCAATTTTCCTCTGGTCAACCTCGTCGGTGTTCCTCCTTAAACCACACCCACTGGGGGACAGGTGTGAGACTTTGGGCCGGAGCCACGTGGGAGGAAGTCCCAATATTCCTTTGTCCCTCCTGACCCCCAGCTGTGCTAATTGTGCGTCCTTGGTTCATTTTTCCTAGACTGTATCCACCAGTTTTCCAATCTTCTTTTTGTGATGGTAACCCTTTTTTAGAGCGCAGCTCTTAGGGGCCCGTTTCCGGCTTGAGCGGCGTCGCCGTCGGCGTCGGCGTAACCGCGCGGTGCATCATGGGAAATGTCCCATAATGCACCGCACGAGCCCCCCACCAAGGTCACGTGACCTCGTGGGGGGTCACGTGACCCCCCGAAGTCACGTGACTCCCCTGAGGTCACGTGGCCCCCTCCTCGAGGTCACGTGACCCCCGCCGATGTCGCGTGACCCCCCGATGACGTCATCGTCACTGATGACGTCACCGGCATCCACATCGTCATCGTCATCATCACTGATGACGTCACCGGCATCCACATCGTCATCGTCATCATCACTGATGACGTCACCGGCATCCACATCGTCATCGTCATCACTGATGACGTCACCGGCATCCGCATCGTCATCGTCATCATCACTGATGACGTCACCGGTATCCACATCGTCATCGTCATCATCACTGATGACGTCACCGGCATCCACATCGTCATCGTCATCATCACTGATGACGTCACCGGCATCCGCATCGTCATCGTCATCATCACTGATGACGTCACCGGCATCCACATCGTCATCGTCATCATCACTGATGACGTCACCGGCATCCACATCGTCATCATCATCATCACTGATGGCGTCACCGGCATCCACATCGTCATCGTCATCATCACTGATGACGTCACCGACATCCGCATTGTCATCGTCACTGATGACGTCATCAGTGACGTCACTGATGTCGTCACCGGCATCCGCATCGTCATCGTCATCATCACTGATGACGTCATCAGCGACGTCACTGATGACGTCACCGACATTCGCATCGTCATCATCACTGGTGAAGTCATCAGTGACGTCACTAATGACGTCATCGGTACCCGCATCGTCATCGTCACTGATGACGTCATCAGTGACGTCAGTGATGACATCATCGGCATTGGGGGTCACGTGACCCCCAAGGTAACGTGACCCCCCCTGGTTAGTTTAACCCCCCCCCCCCGTGCCCTTCCCTCCTCCTCCTCAAGAGCTGCGCTCTAATTCGGCGTTACAGGGAGTTGTAAGCGGCTTTCATTTTTTTTCTCTATTTTTCCATCCTCGTCCGCAAAACCAAGCACCCCCGTCGAATTTGCCGACTTCCCGGGAGAGCAGGACGAAGCCTGGTGCATTCCGAAACAAGATGTTCCATTGTTTTGTTCTCATTTTTGCAAATGGCACATAATGTGTCCATTCTCTCGAATTTAGCCCTATACGTTTTGGTTCTTAAAACCCCCGTTCTAGCCTCAAATAGTAGGGAACTACCCCGTGAATTATCAGAAACCTGTTCTTTTCTTATTTCCTGCTTATGTGACCTATAAATTGTTAAAGCTAATTTTTCTTGCGTCCTACCGCTCCACATTTTCCTTTCGGCTTCTTTTACGCCCTTTTTTATCATTGTGTTCCGCTCAGTCTCCTCCCTAGATGACAGATATTTAAATTTTAGTTTTCTTGTTCGGTTCGTCCATTTTGTATTCAAACTCTTGGCGGCCCCGAGGCCAATGTTGCCGGACGGAGCCAAAGTTTCTGTTTCGATTTTTGCTTGTGCTTAAAATTAGATTTAACAATATATATACCATTTTTCATGAAGCAAATGACGTAGTGTCTTTTGCTAGTGCTTTTTAATGCGAAATCGCTCATTATCCCGAAATCTGTGGCATTGAGCTGAGTTGCCTTTTAACGCCGAAAATGAACCCAAATCGTGCCAGTCCCATGCGGGAGAGAGGCAATAGTCTGCTTTCAGTTTTTGTGTTGGTTGGTCAGTGACATTGCTCTCAAGTTTTTTTTTATTAGAGGAACTATCAGGGGTGGGCCGTCGGAGGTAGCCGTCAACAACTGTGCGACTTCCGCTCTCCTCTTATAGATGTACTATCGCGGACAATATGAGCTGAAACAGCGCTCTGGCCGGCGAACGGTACTACCTGCGCCGCCTGTCGCCTTGCTCCGCACACACGGCGCACCCTGAGGCCGAGATGAATTCTCACTTGTGCTCGATGCACCACTGCGCTCTTCCGGCCGTCTGCTAGCGAGACGGCGTGTGCAACAGCGGGCGTGTGTGCGGTACGGCGGGAGAGGGGAGGGGAGGGGGGGGGGGGGGGGGTGTGGCAGAAGATTACAGTTGCCGTCCATTTTTTTTTTTTTTTTGCAATTGATTTACTTCATTTTATTGCATAGAATCAAGTAGAAAAAACGCTGACTGGGGAAGAAAAAATGTTGCGCTATCTCAAATTGCAGCTGCGATTATCGTTTTTCAAAGTCCCATCACATTACATTGCAGGTTGATTTTATTTTATTAAATGCATCTACAAAGTAGGACATCGTAAAATATTAACCAAAATCTTTTTACCGGATTTAGGCCGGCTGCAATGTATTTCCTTCTTTTTCTTTTTCATTGAGCACAGCTGTTTAAAAACAACACTAATTATACAAGGTTTTGTAACCTTGATTGGAATAAAAATGTTAAAGGATATTATTTTAGTATTACCGGGCACATGTGTTTCTTTCAAAGAAGAAAAGTTGATGGCAAGACACCAGTATTTTATCTATAAATTTCTAGTCTTAATAAAGTGAGACAAACAGTCATATATTTGTCCTGAGAACTAGCCTGAAACTTCATCGAAAGAATATTCGCAGAGGACAATGTCAGACACAAAAGATTAATAGTCGGCGTGGAAGTTAAGTATGCGCCGGTTAACGGCACGAAATAGTGTGTCGCAGCCGTAGCAGCAAGCTTTGTTCCAATTAGCATAAGTCCGGCTCAGGGGGTCCCGAGGCGCAGTAAAACCTACGAAAGAAGTTAAACCGCTTCATTCTCCCCTAACCCGCGACCGCGGCTCTCATCCTCTCTGCTAAGGAATCATGGAGCGCGGACATGAAGTCTGGCTCGGCCCGAAGCCATTCACGTCTCACCGCTTCACACAGTTCGTCGGCAGTGGCGCGGTAGAGGGGACGCAGTGACATTGCTACCTTGATGCGCCTCCAAACGTGTTCGATGATATTCAGATCGGCACCATTTGGGGGCCAAGGCAGCTCCGCCAGGCAGCGCTCCTCGAGGAGATAAGAGCGTGACAACGCATTTTACACTTCGGCGCTTTCTTGGAAGGCACTGAAATGCATGTTAGCTGGAAACATTGGGCTGCACGGCACACGCATCGTGATGGTGGTTCCATTGGCGAATATTTTCGCTAGCAGACGGCCGGAAGAGCGCAGCAGCGCAGTGAGTGCAAGTGAGAATTTATCTCAACCTCAGGGTGTGGTGTGTTTGCGGAGTGATGCGACAGGCGGCGCAGGTAGTACCGTGCGCAGGACGGAGAGCTGTTTCAGCTCATACTGTCCGCGATAGTACAGGTGTGCAAACATTTATTGCGTTTCTAACGGTTGGCATTTTGCAGGAGGAGGTGCTGAACTTGGAGCCAAAACTTGCGGGCACCGACGATCAGGATGCCGAAGACTTTTATATCAAGTACAAGGTGGGCACGAGTCACGCAACTTAAATGTGTACTTCGCGATTTTCAGTGTGGCTGTTAGACGAGTTTCAGTCATTGAACATTGCCGCAAACTTGTTGAACCTTCTTTACTTATTGATGCGAGGCTTCACAATCATAAGCCTGCCATGCTAATCGCTCCATCGAGATAATGTGCCCGATGAACCCCCAACGCCATAAACAGAAAACAGGGTCATCCACTTGGATTGTGTCTCTTTTTTCAAGTTTATGGGTTGCGACACCACAGAAAAGGGCACTGACCATTGTGTGCTAGTTCACGGGAAAACTCCGGTGCTTCATTCATCGCCACTAACCCAAAATGAAAGATATACTGTTTGATCGTTGTGTGACTGCCAGCTTTCCTAATGTGGTTTCTGAACTTTCAACATCTTAAGAAGTCTGCCAAGCTCTCCCAGTATCAGTACTTGTTTTTACAGCAGGCATGAAAGTATGGGTAGTCATCTTGGGCTGTACCGTGACTGTCTGGCTACCGAATATGATGTGCACAGTGGGAGCGATGCCCGTTGAAGTGCTTGTGCGTTGTTCCTCCTCCGTTGCAGAAGCTGGAGCGGCAGCTGGAGTTCCTGGCGGTCCAGGAGGAGTACATCAAGGACGAGCAGCGCAACTTAAAGAAGGAGTACCTGCATGCCCAGGAGGAAGTGAAGCGCATCCAGAGCGTGCCCCTCGTCATTGGACAGTTCCTGGAGGCCGTTGACCCCAACACGGGCATCGTGGGATCCACCACGGGTTGGTTAAGGGCCCGAACCGATCGCCCTCGTCGAGTCATTCTGTTTCGATTGATTGCGCCCATCAAAATTCATTGGAGCAGCATTTGAATTGTGCGCCAAACTGCAGTGCTGTCCGCAAGTGCATCCCTGCCACCGCTTTGTGGTGGCTAGAGGGAATCGGCTATTTCTGCACCCTTTTGTGTTTACGAGCAAAACCTTCGTTTTCCGTTCGGATAGGATTTTCCAGTGGTCAATTTGGCCATGCTCACTGCGTTTGTTTGAACCACAAGTCTCGTAAGAGAGAGCAAGCACTAGTAACTTTAGAAGAATTGCATAGACTTTCCCGAACCTCATGATGTTTGACCGACCTCAGGCATGCCGGCTCTGTAACAGAGCAGCTGGTAAACTATGGTCACTGACGGAAATAGACCGGCAGAGCGTGTCTTTCGAATCCCCGGTCTCCAGCCCACACCCCGCACTTCAAAACGTGTTTTGGCCGCTCGCACGTGCGCTCGAGGTACACATTAGTACAGGGGTGGCCAGGCTGGCCTGGCCTGAGAGCCGCAAACAAAACCATGGAACTTCTAAGAGCCGCGGGGTGGGGGGGGAGGGGCAAACGTAACTTTTGTTTAGAGTCTGACTGTACGTATAGGGGCACAAGGCTGTGGGACTGTACGTGTGGGAGTACAAGGCTACCAAACTGCAAGCTGCAGTGTGCTTTATTCTAAAATTCTTTGTCTTTTTTTTTCCTGGGGAAACGCGGAAAGGGGCGAAGGGGGGGGGTGGGGGGATCCCCTTACGAGGGATCCGCGAGCCGCACTTGGACCAGCAAAGAGCCGCATACGGCTCACGAGCCACGGTTTGGCCATTCCTGCTATAGTACGTCGAAGCATTGTCTAAGGGAAGGAGCTTGCGCCGGAGGCGAGACAACCAAAGCTGCCCTTCACCATCCCCATCTTGTCGGCAACTATAGAATAAAATGTTGCGTCGTAGATTAGAAAGGCGGTGTTGACCGCTTCTGTTGCCTGCTCTAAGCTGAAAGTTTTCTCTTAGGAGAATGTTTCAAAGCACTTCCTTGGGGAATTTCGAGCAAGGGTGTCCGTTGCAGGTTCCAACTACTACGTGCGCATCCTGTCTACCATTGACCGGGAGTTACTGAAGCCCAGCGCAAGCGTGGCCCTGCACAAGCACAGCAACGCCCTGGTGGACGTGCTGCCCCCGGAGGCCGACAGCAGCATCTCTATGCTGCGTGCCGGTAAGTGCCACCACGGTGCAGGGAACTCGTCCCTGACAGGTGCGCTCATTGTCCCTTCCCACCCACGCATTGATCGAAAGCAGTCCCAAAGTACCGACAAATTGTGTCGCAAAAGGTGCCGCGTTACAACCCTGGCGGTCGGTCGTAGAAGTTCCGGCAAAAAGAGCAAGTGGACGCGGGGGTCGCAGTGGTTGTGGCTTCCCGACTCGTGTCTCTTTTAATTTCCGTCGACTGTGTCTGTCTGCGGAGCAATCTACCGCGCAATGGGCGTCTGTCACATCCACCTTTGCTACTGTGCCATCGCCAGTATTGCAGCAGGCAACAAACAGCATGATGCTTATGCAACGTCATCAGGTGGCAATCAAGAGACCGCTTTTGAGGACACACTGGTCGGAAATGAGCTTGAGGCACCGTCGTACCACTGCTAACTTGCTTGAGAACGTGTAAGACCAGTAACCAGGGCAGGGCCGGATTTGGGGGGGGGTCCGGATGTCCTGACCCCCCTCTTGATTTCTGCATGTGTAAAATTTAGGGCGTGAAACAAGGGATAGGCAGAGGGGGTTCGTAAACAAATGGTACGCTGACCAACACCTGACTCCCCCCTCAGAAAATTCCTGCGTCCGCCCCTGAACCAGGGTCCTATCTGAGCTTGTCTCATTAAAGGCATGCTGAACCGAAATTTCGAGCTCACAAAACAAGGCTGGAGCGATAGGCAGGACGCTGTAACACCCACCACTCATACAGCAATATCTCTAACGGATGGCCTTATTTTTGGCAAAGAAATGCGCAATTGAACGCGGCCGACGAGACATGTGATATCACAATTTACATTCCCTCTCCTCCTCGCTTTGTCCTGTCGAGCTGGTGAACCGAAGCGAGGAAGAGAAACGCGAGGCCGCTTCCCCTCATTCTAAACTGTTCCAGGAGGATTATGACGTAGTCCTCGCTTGATAGTGCCCTTCTTTTTTAAATATACGGCCGTCCGTTTGTGATATCGATGTATAAGTGATGTTTTGGAGTTACAGTGTCCCGTTCAATGCTTCTGTGGCCTTATTTTGTGGAATCTTAATTTCGGTTCTGTATTTTTTTAAAGGCAAAGTGAATTTCAGTGCACAAGCCAGTGGAGCTTGTTCAGAGGGCAGCACTATTGTAAAATATTGGGCAAGCGCCCACCCCGCTTTCACTGGAAAGGCTTACAAGGTACGAACAAATTCCTTTTGCATTCATTCATACCTTGTACGACTCTGCTGTCTTGGGCAAGTTGGAAGAATACTTGAGCCAATCCACACAGATTGTTCACCTGGAACGGTCCTTAAGTGGGATTTCTGGTTGGTGTTTCTCTCATTCCTGCCTTTTGGGTTCACTGACGATGTGTCCTGTACAGGAAACGAAAGGTCCGATCAAATTGTTATATTTGTTATGTAAAGGTAGCGTAGTTTGTTTCATCCTGATGAGTCCCAACTTCTGGAACATTTTTGTAGCGTAGACATGTGCGCTTGTTTGATCAAATCTATAAAAAACCAAGATGGTGGCCAATAAAGTGCTTTGAAGGCAGGGTGAATTGAATCACAGGAAGAACATTTATTTTCACATGGTATCCCCGTCATCGCCGCCGGCGGTCTCATGGCCGCCGCAAGCGCCCACTTTCCCAAGTAGGGGAAAGTGGGCGCCTGTACGAATTGGGCACTTCCGCAATATTTTACGGTAGTAACACAAATGCCTTGCAGCTCTCTTGACCGATTCTTTTCACACAGTTAAGGGTCTCGGGACTTTTAGTACTGTCAAATGTTTTTGCTTGTGGCATAAACTTGCTTGTGATGCTTGGCACTGCATCACTACAGTGATGCTTGGCACTGGCTCATAAGTTAGCCGAGTGTAATTTCAAAGCAGAATGATTTGTAATGTGGCTGCGTAAATAGCTCGGCAGGTGTCCAGTAGACCCGAGGATTCCAGAAGGACGTGCAAGTACTGTACGTCCGGGCTATTCTAAACCAGTTCTCTACTAGGCTACTGTACATAATGTTTGGCCATAGTGAAGATATTTGTTTCTACTATAATACTGGCTTTGGAAGGGCAGTCTTCAAGCTTTCCACATGGTGTATTGAAGCTTGAAATCTTAATAGCCGATTAAAATTTGCTGTGAAATTGACCGTGAGTTGTTACCTCTTGTTTGCGAAGAACTTTTCAGCCTCAAATTTCTAGGGGACGGTCGATTATAAAATTTAGACGCGTGTAGACATTCATTCCTCATTTGGGCTAATTGCACTGCAATGTGTACAGAAGTATAACCTGCATCACCCTTTCCATGGAAAATCTTACTCTGGTTGTGAAAGAAAGAAAATACTTATGACAATATTCCACCTTCCCTTTTTTTTTAAGACATGATGTTGCACAAGAAAGTGGGGTTTAGATGATATCTGGAGACAAAGAAATATTGTACACAAATACCCATGGAAACCCATGCGGTTCAGAAAAAGAAGCCAGATATGTTCAACATGATAGTATGATGACTGCCCTGGGGCTTAAAGTTAAACTCCCGGCGAGTTTTCTGACTGCCGCAATTGGCCAGTGCCTAGGTCGAGCACAACGCTGGCCAATTGCGTTGGTCAGAAATCTCACCGACTCTCTCACCAAGGGTCCAACTTCGAGTCCTCGATCGAGTATGGTCGTGAGCACAGATTAGTTGTGGTCACACTCGCACGACACACCACGGACGGTTCGTTTCAGACGAGAAGCCCGACATCAAGTATGCGGACATCGGAGGTCTGGACATTCAGAAGCAGGAGATCCGAGAGGCAGTGGAGCTTCCGCTGACCCACTTCGAGCTGTACAAGCAGATTGGCATCGACCCCCCCCGGGGGGTGCTGATGTACGGACCTCCCGGCTGCGGCAAGACCATGCTGGCCAAGGCCGTCGCACACCACACTACTGGTGGGTCGACCCGGGATAACCCTCCGCTGGGCATCCTATGCATTGTCCGAGGCAGCCGGGGGCATGAAGTATAGGCTCCCAAACTGCTTCGCCATTTCCTTAATACCGTTGGAATGTGAAGGACTACTTGAAGAAAACTGTGCAAGAACCAACACTTAAAATTTAATTGCAATAATAGCTAGATTTTAATGAAAAAGGATCTATAAATTGAAGGAAAAAGAACCAACATGAGAAAGTGCCCCCATGGACAACATGAGCTGCAACACCCAATCAGTCTTACTGCATCTGCGAACCCCACCACTTTCCCTTATCTCTTGACTTGTCACATCTGTTACAAACTGGCGGGTATGCCAAAAAGAAGGAAGGGCTGTTGCTGCTCATATTGTCTGCAATAGTAGCTTTTCATTGTAAGCTGGCATTGTTAGGCATTTTTGCATAGAGTTTTCTAGGGGTTGGTTTATTAGAAGTGCCCGATTGGCTACAACTACTGAGATAGTTTCCTTTGCATTTCCTATGCTGCAAGCCCACAACTCGGCGCTTGGACAAAATCAGTCTTGTCATATCTTCACTGTGCCTCTTCACTTGCTGCGTTCTTGCCATTTTGCTCTTCCAAGTCCAAACAACGACCCAGTAATTTGATTGTATATAATGCACAGTGACAAGCAGGTAATTCTCAAATCAAGCCAAATAGTCAAATTTGTATTAAAATTTTTGAATATTCTCACACCCCTATCAGAAGCCCAATATAATGCAGAGCAACCTGCTCAATAGTGTGAGTTCATTGTGAATAGGATTATTCAATTCAAAAGAATAAAGACAGAGAATAAATACAGAGAACTATATTGAAAGATAGGTTTTTCTGCTTTTGTCTTCCATGTTTTTTATTTCTGCAAACTAAAGAAGACCCTGCTTTGCAATTTTTGTCCTTGGTTTAGCTAATACTTTCAATATGTACGGCAAAATATGGTGGTTACGTTAAAGTGCTTCTTGGAAAAATGTTATGAGAATTTAGGAGTTTATTTGTTTATTTATGTTTATGTTTATTTATTTGTTTATTTATTCAACAAGGCTGCACTGCCCCAATGTAGGGGTATAGTAGGAGAGAAGTACAGACGATAAAATAACATTGAAGTAATGAACACATGCTAACACCATATATAGAAATGAACATATATGGTAACAGCATCTGTAGAAATTAACACGCGCTAAGAGGCAGCCAGCTGGTGCGGAAAACTGTTGAGGGAATCGGAAATTGGCGACAATAGGAGATCAATTATTCCAATCCGACATGGCTCAAGGAAAAAATATGGTGGGAATGAAGTAATAGGGAGTTTTACAATAGCGCACGCTAAAGCTTTGCGTATGCAAAGAATAGCGTCGCTGCCACAGCGCATGCTCCGAACACAAGCCAGGTTTCGCGCTTTGCGTGCGCAATTTTAGCGTGCACTATTTCTCGAAAATACCGTGGGTACGCAAAGAGTCTTTACGCTTCTCCAAGGAGGATTCGTGATGAGAAGTTGGCTAAAGCCAAGACGAGCAGAGTGAAAAAAATGGCGGCTTCCAGGATCATGTCGGCGGCTGCTTTGGCGGCGTCGTGAGTGCGACGTCGGAGGCATCCTCGCGACTGCGATTTTCAATATGGGACGGCATTGTTCTCTTTGGTAACGATCACCGGCAACTTGATCCTTGTGACGCGCGAACATTTCCCGGCGAAGGTACGATGTGTGAAGGTCAGTACACGATACCTCCCTTGCCGATGCGACGCAAGAGGACATGACCAGTCAACCGCTCGCGTCGCATTCTCATGTTTAAACAAATCTAAAATAGTACTTTGAACCAAAAAAACTTTTTTTTTTTTTTTCTAAAGTTACAGCATTTTGTGTGTGAAGTAAAAACTGTGACTGTATCTTGGGGGCATTGCAAGCGCGAGCTGCTTGGGCTTTTGGGTCGCGACGGAGAAACGCTATCCTAAAACTCTCTTGCGTCGCGTGCGCTAATACAAGCGCTAAATTTAGCGCTAGCGTACGTTATTCTAAAACTCCCTATTGGCCGGCCACAAGTCGGCAAGCCAGAGTGGAAAGGCTGGAATGGTTGCCGCCATCGCTCATAGATGGCGGTAGCTGTCCAGAGTTTTGTGTCATCATTTGTTTGCTGGCGGACATGATACTGGGGAAACTTGCCCTTAACAGCTCTGCTGTAAAATCAAATTTGTAAAAGAATCGACGTGAAGCTTCAAGTTTCTACTGGGGCTAGGCGATGGCGATCCCAGCGTGTCTCCTTTCGTTCCAGCGGCCTTCATCCGAGTGGTGGGGAGCGAGTTCGTGCAGAAGTACCTGGGCGAAGGCCCCCGCATGGTGCGGGACGTGTTCCGACTGGCCAGGGAGAATGCCCCGGCCATCATCTTCATCGACGAGATCGACGCCATCGCCACCAAGCGCTTTGATGCCCAGACTGGAGGTGAGCACCCGAGAGCCTGTCTGCATGCTTACCGTGGCCAGGCAACACTTAGCAGATTGTAGAAGGGCGTGAAGGTAACTTTGATAAGTGCAAAACAAATCTCGTATTTCGGCGACTAGGCTGTAGCTCGTAACTAAGGTGCGAGCGTAGTCCCCTATTCGTCAGGCGAAGTATGTGACTCTCCACACAGTCGCTTATTTTCGGGGCTCATTTTACGAAGTTTTTTTTTTAGGCTTTGCAGATTGTTTTTTAAAAAAAAGTGTGAAAGCTACACAAACGTGGTCTGTGCAGGTGAGTTGTACATGCAGGGGGAGGTAATATAGGGGGCTAATCGCCACAATAAGCCGGATAGTGAACTAAAATTTGTTTAATAACTTTTCAGTTAGTGAAAATAAACATATGGTTCCAATTAGAAACTTGCTGAGTATTGTCGAAAACCACGAAATCAATCGATTTTAGTAAGATTTAGAGTGTGTGGGAAGCATGGTGAGCCTTGCATTAGTTGCTCTAGGAGGGTTATTTTTGTACTCTACCGCACTTTCCAGATGCTCCTAATCTTTCTAAAATTTGTGGATTTTGTGGTTTTCAATAACACGCGGTAAGTTTCTAATTGGAATCATATGTTTATTTTCCCTGATTAAGAAATTCATGAACTGATTTTGTTAATTATCCAGCTTGTTATGGCAATTGGCCCCCTATATTACGTCCCCCTGGCCGTATACTGCACCTGTACAGACTGGAATAATGCAGCTTTCAGAGATTGTTTTAAACAAATCTGTAAAGCCAGCAAGAAACATCCCGTATATGTATGTGTCTTGAACCTGGAGACGTGCAGAAAGATTGAAAGAGTAACTGACCAGCTGGTTTGACCAAGCTGCGACTTTCAACGTTCTTCGTCTGGCCCACATTTTCACTTGGCAGGGTTAACTCGAAAGCAGTTATCCTGTGTGTTTCATGCATCTTAGCACCTCATCGGGACAAGCCCAGAAGGTCATCTTAGATGAGCTTGGGGGTAATGTGTGATGCTTCCTTTGCCATCTCCTTGAGTGCAATATTACAATCATACTACCTGTTGGATGCTGTTTGCCTTCATAAAAATATGTATCACAATGTTCTTTGCCGGGTCTAGACACCCTAGGCCGTGGTGCTTTGGCTTCAAAGCCAGCACTAACTTGTGACCTCTCTAGCTTTTTGTAATTCTGCTTGCAACATTCATTGGAAGCATTCCTGTATGCATTAGTCTCACTTAAGCTTTTCTTCATTGAGTCCACTTCAGTTCAAAGTGACATTCCCTCAGTTTGAAGTTTCCAGACGAATAAAAAATCAGCCTAAGATGGACTATTTTTATAAAGATATTGTTTTCAGCATACCAATGGAAATTTGGTACTTAAAGGATGGTTTTAGTTAACTCTTTCCTGACCACGGGAAAAGCAGCAATTTTCAAAGGATCCTTGCAACCGCTTTTACTTTCTGTAATAATTTGCGTATGCAGAAATGCGACACATCAAAAAGCGGCCAATTAGTTGTTCTTTCAAAAGGAATAGAGGTATAGTAATGTGGAACAAGGTTTTAAAATGCAGTTTTCTGAAAATACAATGTATGTACAGAAGGCTTATAAATACCGGAACTTTTACAGCTATGTCAAATTAAACAACAAATAAAAACAAAATTCCGAATATACAAAACGTGCCCCACACCGACGGCTATTACTTCTCAAAGTTAGTAACTGACGTAGTCTCTTTTTGATTTTTTGATTCATCAGAAAGTTAGCCTCCGTAACACGTGTGCTTTTTAACGAAGGAATGCTTATATTGTTGAAACACGGATAGCACACTCCTGTCCCCAGCAGAATGCTTCCTTTGTGTTCTACGTTTGGTTTGTCAAGCCTTGATTCCAGTTCCTTCATATTTAGCATTTTTGTCCACCTTGTTGGGAACATAAAATGTGCACACCAGCTCAGGATGGCATTAGAAATTATAGGGATGCTTAGCAACAACCATCTGTTAAGTGATGCCTATAACATCATTTAAAATATCCCCAGAGTTCTTGACATCTACAAAATATGCCACAATACTGTTGATTTATGTAAATAATGCCATCTTTGTTACGAAGACTGATGCAAGCAGTTAGCCATTCTAGACAAGGGCAACCACTGTTCCCAGGACTATTTTTGACAGCACACCAGCTGGTGATCAAGCTGAAACCTACGTTGAAGCTGAAACTACAGTTCTTTGGCTGTACACTCTACGAGATTGTAGAACATAATTCTCCGCATTAAATTTAATTTCTTGACGGCGCTTGGAAACCATCAATCACCCGTGATTGATCGCCTATGGGTGCAGTCTGGAAAGAGTTAATATATTAGTTGTTTAGTTAAATCTGTGTTGTGGTTCTATGTTTTAGTTAAATATGTTACTATGTTTATACTACATAGTTAAAATCACGCATGTTCTTTCCGAACCCTTGCAGCGGACAGAGAGGTGCAGAGGATTCTGCTAGAGTTGCTCAACCAGATGGATGGCTTTGACCAGACCACAAATGTCAAGGTAAGCTCCACAGCTATCAGAGAAAGCAATGCTGGGTGAGTTTAGAGCAGGGGTCTTCAAACGTTCTGGCTAAGGGGTTAGATTAGGAGTCTGTTGAAGTCTCGAGGACCAGGAAGAGAAAGAGTACAGTAATCACTCGTTATAACGAAATCACTTTGTTTGAATTATCGCTTTTATCAAAGTTCAACGTGGTCCCGACCGAAATGCACACATTTTTAACCGGATTATTCTAAGTGTATCGGTGGCCGACCACGCTTATTACGAAGGCTGCGGTGCCGAAAGCATGCAAGGCTTTACAGGGGCGCACAGAGACCCTTGCGTTCCTTCCTCCTCCTCCACCGAGGCAAACGGCAAACTGGGAAAACAGCAGACATAAAAACAGCAAACGGGTGACAGAGGGTAGAGCACACAGAGCACCGCTTCCGATGCCGGTGCGGGGATGCGGGTAGGGGGCGGTCGATGCAGGGAGCAGCGTCCACGTTCCGACGCTACTCATGGCGCCTGCGGCCGACACTGCCCGACTCTTGTCGGAATCAGGTCAAAGGAGCAATGGAGCCCAGAGAAGATCATCCCTTCGGGAGGCCCCCATGCGCGCGCCTGCAGTGTATTACATGCACACATGGGTCGTATGGGAGATTGGAAGCGTTTACCGAAAGTCGCGAAGAATTCGGCATCCCGGCATCGGTTGTTCGACACTGTTCACCGTTTTGCAGAGCAAGAAGTTTCTCGTGCAAGAGAAAGCGCGCCTGCGACCCGAAGTTGAAAGATCGCCAACTGCTTTGCGACCGTCGAATTTTCTCTCGCGAGCATGCTTCTTGAGCTGGCGCACGATTCCCAGAGCTGCAACGATCTCTACAAGAATGTGTGAAGACATGTTGGCAAAGCCACCGAGGATAACTGATTCATTTGTGCTTGTCGATGTGAACGTTCCCAGTGAAGTTCTTTTCCTTCTGACGATGTTTGATGCTGATGCTGGCTGCTTGATGTCGTCTTTGAAGTCTCGCCTCTCGTCGAGGATGTCGAATAAAGCAGATTTGGCTTAAACAAGAACAACAAAAATGTTTACTAATTGAGAGCGAATACAATAATTTCAAGAGCAAAATTTTACAGAACAGTCATCCGTGCCAGACACGGCAGGAGTCTTCGCGGCAAGACCCGCTCCGGGAGCGTATATCTGGTCACTCCTCGGAGCCCGTACAAAAACTGTTTTCCAGTCCTCCTCGGGTTCAAAAACTCCTGACCGCCACTTGTTCCATCCAATCACAGTTCAATAGCCATCCTATTGGGTGCAGTCGGCGACGCCCTCATAACATACAGGTGAGATGTCACGCTCCCCCCTGGGGCCGGAACAAGGACCCTTGGGTGGTCTCTAAACACAGGGAGGGTCGCAAGGAAAAGCCTGAACGGGCACCCTACTTCACGCGTAGCGGGGGGTAGTACCATCAAAGCTAAAGTGCCAACAGCAGCACGTTGGGCACAGTCTGTTGGGTATTAGTCGCAGCAACCATCTGGGTTTTGAAACGAAGCCATTAGTCCGTTTTATGGCCCAGCCTGACAATGGCCGAAGGCCCCTCTCTGGGCGCCGTCTTCCAAAAGCAGATCTCTGCACCGGAAGCCGTGACCTCAAGCTGCCTCCGCGTGGGGAGACTGGCCGCGGCGTCCGTGCAGGGTCTGTCCGGCTACACTGCCGCGGGCGCGCAATTATCGGGGCCCGACACTGCCGAAGAAAAACCCCCACCATCCACCCTTCTGAGCCAAGGCCGCTGTGCATACAAACAAATAGCCGCCTTCAGGACCCACAAGGCTCTTCAAAATGGTGCGCCCTTTCAACTGCTGCCGCGCATTGCGACAACCTCACATTCCTGTTGTTGCTCGTAGACCTTGCGCGCAGCCAGGGTAAAACGAAGCAATGTTGTAGAGACACCTCGGGAAACTCCGACGACTGCAGGAACACAAGACATCCTATGGCTGCTTCGAAACAAAGTGGCGTGCTGCGGCGGTGACAGTGTTCTTGCAATTCCTGGCACAGTTCGAAGAGAACTGATGCCCAGATGAAATTGTCGGCAAACTCCACTAAATTATTTTTTTACTCGATAAAGCTGCCGTGGGATGTTCATAACCAAGGTTTGTCTAATTAAATATATGGTCAGAGTGTTCCGCAGTGTTCCCGTCCACCCTCAAGGCTGCTGGCATTGTTCTTTACAGCGAAGCTGTTCATGGCTAGGGTTCCGTGGATTTTTCGTGTGCGTGACAAAAATCTTTACGCCCGCACCGCCGCACACGCACGCCTTCCCCATATAAAAGATTCGAAGTGAATAACTAAAATAAAGCATTGACGAACACGCGTGCAAGATGCCCTTTGTTTTAGGCTGTTGCTTTAGAAGAGTTACTGTTGCGGATGCCGGCACAGGCGGCGCATGGAACACCATTCCCTGCATTCTCCTTGATGCTTGGGTAACTTAGCAGTGGGTTTATTCAGTAGATTAGTTATCAATAGGCACCATTTTCAAGATCAGTACTCTTTCAGGTAGATAACAATGGTTTCTCAAAGATTTGCCGCTGTGCGACCCGCGTCGGCCATGTCTAGGCTTCCACCGTCCTCTCTTTGTCATTGTTTCAAGTGCTTGCGTGCCTAGCTTCCTTTCCCTCCGCTCTCCCGGGGTGGCGGTCCCGTCGCACGTGTCTGGATTCCTGCGGCGTTCGGGGCGGGTCTGTGTCGTGTGCTAAACAGCTTCGCTGGTCATCGACCTACACATAGTGAAAGGGCTCAGGATTTTTAGGCTCTATCGCTTTGATCGAATTACCGCTTATATCAAACTTTTTTGCTGTCTCGTTGACTTTTTTATAGGGATTACTGTAATTACTAATTAGAAACGAAGAGAGACCACATGAATAAACCTAAGTAAGGATTTAAGCACAGAAATGAATGTTGGAGTAAATGTCAAAATAACCGAAAGTTGGATGAAAGCATATATTTAAATGTGAAATTTAATATTTTTGCTAATTATGACGTTAACACAACAATTGCGACCATGAAAACCCGCCAGACATAAATGAAGGTGCGTGGATAATTCGGCACATTTGCGCAGTGCAGAAAACTAATGAGAATGATAAAACTAAAACGGACACAATGTGCATGAGAACGCAAAGGCATAGTCACATATACTTAAGGCCAGGGACTAAAATGGTGATGACAGCATTCAGTCATGGTGAAAGAACCCTATTACGATGCAGCTTTTTTTCATTCTTTCTGGTATCTTCTTTTGCGCATTTGGAGTGCGGCACGGCGCCGTTTTATTAGGCGCGCATGTTTTTGTCATGGTGGCAGCGTGTCTGTTGGAAGAGGTCGGAGGGCCGGGCCTCATTGGAAGGACCGCGGCCAGCCGTGGGATGGTTGGAAGACTTGCCGGTGGGCCGGGGTTTGGAGATCTCTGGCTTAGAGTATTGTTCAGAAAGATTTCCTTTCTGGGGCATGCGAGCTGTTTGTTGCAGCTGTTTGTAGTGTTGAGCCTGGCTGGAAAGCGAGTCAGTGTAATAACCTCGGGAATATGCATTATCACAGTTTATGCCCTGGTTTGCTCAGCTCTACATTTGGGAAAATCTCAGGTTCTAAAGATTCCTCAAAGAAAGAGCTGATACCACTGCTTCATTGAAGCAGTTTTCATTCTCCCCTGGCTCCTGAAGCCGTCCCTTTTTTTTACTCTGCATAAAACAGATGAAATGCATTTCTGTGCAAGCAGAAAAGGGGGATGGAAACCCGAAAGACTAGCCTCCCAAGCTCCAAGCATCTTTGAAACGAGTTGTGGTGTACTTTTAGTCTGTTGTTGTTCTTCTCACTCTGTGATGTTTATCAGGTTCTGTGCAGCTCTGAAGCTGCTGGCTAGTGCTTGGTAAAGGGGTAGAGAAGAGGCTAGCAGGTTGCCTGACAATGAAGAATGGGAAGCACCTTTGTTTTCTATGCTGTTGTGGCTTCTAACTTCCTTTACACTTACCAAGGGAACAAGCGTGCCAGTTAATTTAGTTTCTATTGAGGAGCAGCAGTGCACCAAGACTCTAGTATCGAAGCTTTTGAGGCTGTCTTTACTTCGATTTTGGTAAAAAGTTAATGGCAAGCCGAAGAGCAGGTGAGAAACTTTCGGTAGCCCGACTGAGTGATTACCACATACTGCCTGGAGCCTGCTTGCAGCCGTCAATCTCCCTTTTTGGCTGTGAGCCACTCCTTAACTAGTGCGCGTGCCCACGCAGGTGATAATGGCCACCAACCGAGCGGACACGCTTGACCCCGCCCTGCTGCGCCCGGGACGCCTGGACCGCAAGATAGAGTTCCCAATGCCGGACAGGCGCCAGAAGCGTCTCATCTTCTCCACCATCACGGGCCAGATGAACCTGAGCGACGAGCTCGACCTCGAGGACTACGTTGCCCGGCCAGACAAGATCTCGGGCGCCGACATCAACGCTATCTGCCAGGAGGTGGGCGCACTACTCACTTCACCCAGTCACGGCCTCCTCCGAGATTGTCGGCTTGCAAAGCTCCACTCGCCTAAAGAGACGGACATAAAAAAAAATGCCTCGTGGACGTTTTCGTTGTGCAGTGGCTCTAGGTTCGGAGCCGCAAATCATTGCCATTGGGCTTGTTTGACTAGCTGCTCAGATATAATAGTATAAATGTGCTCATTTGCCCGATATATGCTCGTTGCTTCTCACCACAACACACATTACTCTTTTCAAGGAAGCGGTAGGTTGTAATTCGAGTGTTGCCTTTTTAAAAATCGGAAAAAGATTTAGAATAAATGCATGCCCGATTGTTTTCAGATGAACTGCATGTCCAATCATTTTGGTAAAAAGCTGAGTCGTTGGGCTGAGTCAAAAATGCATCAATAAGGTTTCTGACCCAAAAATACCATTTTTTTTGTGAGACCAAGCAGATTGTATGTCATTCTCATTATTCTCTTGCAGCGAGCTGAGCGGTATTTGAATCACGTCCCAAAGCGGTCTTTCGCTTTAGCTTTTAGAGTGTTAACGAAAATGTGAGCTCCACACCGAATACACACGTTTAACCTTTGAGGCGCTAATACCGGCTCTGTATCGGCACTGCCTTGCGGGGCTCTAGAGAAGCTGCGCTGTACACTCCTTCTGCTGGGCAAACAAGCATTTGGAAGGGCCGGACGGGAGCTTTGCACGCTAAGAATCTCGGAGGTCATGACCCGGTGCCCTTTCTTGTGCGTGAATTACGGGGGGGGTGTTCAATGGGCTGGGTCTTTTTTTTTTCAGTGAGGGAATTGAAAGGTGTTATGTTCAAACGAAGTTTGGAATCTCCTCTTTCCCATTAGCCTATCACTTTTCGACATAGCCCCACCGGCAGCGATGCGCTTCTGCCACCGTGCACTAGTTTCTGCGTGCCATCATAGAGGAACCAGGGTGGCTGTTGACGACACCAATGACGCACTGCAGTCGCAGAGTCACTTCCAGAAGCGACAGCATTCGGTCTTAGGCTACCATTTTTATATCCGTCCGCGTTCCCCTGGCGCGCGCTCCCAGAGCGCGCTTCTTCTTCTTCGCTATGGCGATACTAGCGATCATCACACTATCCCCCTTCACGAGGAAGTTGCCGTCCCGGCAACTTCCTCGTGCTAGAAGCACGCTAGAAGCACGCTTCTCACGCTAGAAGCACTCAATCGCGATACCGCGCGGGTCGACTCAATGTTTCTCGTGGCCGAAGGACGTATCGCTCTGCTGGCTTTGCCTGCTGTGGCACGTCTACAGGCATGTCTGTTGGAGTGACGTCATCAGGGGGCAAAAGAACGACTGGAAGTTGATCGTCGTCCAGGAGTTCGGCACCGTTCACTGGTGGCGTATTGTGCCAGCCTCTGTCAGTGCCCTGGTCACCATTTTCTTCTACTTAGTCGTCAACGTGAAGCTCGTTGTCGAGCTTCACATTGACAGCAACAGCCTAGCAGAGAAGCAACACCCGCGGAGCTCTCTTTCGTGAGGACTGCTTCTCCGCAGTGCTCCGGTGCTCGCTAAGAAGCGCACTCCATGGGGCTAACCCGACGCAATCAACACTTCGAAAAACATGAATACTAGTGCAGTTCTTTTCGAAGCGAATATTGAATAATGTATCATTCGAAACTACTACTCGAAATTTCGAATATTTGCAACAACCCTATATTGCATACCCTTCAGTTGTTCCTTCATCTTGGGCAACAGCCAGAAATCTGGTGGTGCGAGGTTGGGCTGTAAGGTGGGTGAGGCAAAAACATCTTGGAACTGCAACGTCAAGAGCTGTCCCATTCCTCTACGGCAGCATCAACGCACTTCCGTCAACTGGTGACGGAAGTGCGTTGCCACCGGAGGGCACATTTTCGCCAGGTGACGGGCTCTTTTGGGAAAGAAGAGGTACTAAACTTTAATTTGAATCAAACATCTCTCAATTCCATCTCTCAATAAAAAAGGATACAGCCTAGGGCGCGATTCCTACCGAACACTCCTCATACTTTTGATCGTAGGAGTGCGGGAATATTTGGAAGTAGTAATAATTCGTGAACAATGTTTGCTGTTTGATTCTTTTCGAAGCAGAATTACCTAGCATTTCGAATATTCGAAAATTATGAATATGTCCTCAGAATTCTCCAATTTCTCGCATTGAGTTTCACTGCTTCGCACCAGTGCTCTGGCGTCAAGCTTCACTGCTTTGCACCGGTGTGCTGGGAGAAATGGCTGACATGTCGGAGCATCTCGGTTGGCTCTGTAGTGTAGGGAGTTTTTCTCACTCTTTCAGCCTTCTTTGATTATAATTGTAGTTTGACCCCTAATCTAAAAGAGAAAACACAAAAAACTTTGAGCTATATTTAAGTGAATAAGGTAGTCATTGCCATGCTTGGAGCATTGTGCTTACGAAACTCACCAAGGTCTTTTTTTTAAACATAGGTAGGTATGCCAATTCTTTTTCAAGTATGGTAACCAAACCATTCCTTTTCATAAGCATGCTTTCTAGAAAAGGCTTGCAGCCGTGATTTCTTAAAGGTTCTTATTACTAGTAAGACCGAAGGAGACCAGACTGGTTTTTAAGCTTTTGGCGACTTTTTAGGATTGGATGCGCTGCAGCGGAGCTGGCCCTAAGAGATCGCAAGAGGCTTAAAAACCGGTCTGGTCTCTCTTGGTCTTACTGGGTCGCAAGAGTGTGAACGGGCCTTTATTTGAAACTGAAACTGTGGCAGAACATGAAAACCAGACTTCAAACTTTGCTCACTTGGACTTAAAAGAAATTCAAAACCTAAGTTCTTTTGCGTTTTTTTTTTTTTTTTTTCGAATTTAGCACTAAAGGAGAATCGAAACCTTCAAACTTTTCTAACTTTATGTAGAAAGAAATTCGAAATCTTCGATTTTACCAAACTTTGTCTATAAAAATTCAAAACGTTCGAATTTTTCGAATTTCAGATTCAAAGAAATTCGAAACATTTGAATCTCTCGAATTTCAAGTTAGGAAAGTTTGAAATCTTCGAAGTTCTCGAACCTCAAGTAAAAAAATATTCGAAATAATCAAACCCAAACTTTTAAAAACCGTGAAAGCTTCGAACTTTTCGAATTCGAAACTCCAGGATTTTTGAAAGTTGCGAATTTTTCGAATTCGAATCTCCGTACGGTCGAAAATATCAAAACCTTTCGAAATCGAACATCAGTTCGGTTTGAAAATATCGAAACCTTTCGAAATCGAACCTCGGGTGGTTCGCGGCATCCCTACTGGTAACAGTAATTGACATCTACTTGTATCTACTGTTTACATTAAGCCTACTTACCCCAAGCAACCTTCAAACTTAAAAGTCTTTTGAGGCCTGCACTTACTTCTTATCGCAACGTTTGGTCTACATGCCACTGCCGTTTGAATGAGCAGGCGACAGTTTAAACAAGTTTGAAAGAGCAGACGACAGTTTAAACGATCAGACCGCAGTTCGAATGTGAAGACGCACTGAACCAAGGTCCACAGATGGTCTGGACAACTTGACGTTTCTCACGCATTCATGTTGGAACAAAACAAAGACAAGTGTCTGTAAATTTAACCCAAAATGCTCCCCGCACAAGCAATCGTGGTCTGATGGTGTCTGGTTTCTTCTTTTCACGGCACCTTTCCACATTCTTGGATGAACCGAGCAGGCAGAAAACACGTGGAAACTGATCTTCGCACCTTTCTTGGCTCTTTTGTGTGGTGTTTGACTAGAAGGCAGGTGTTAGTCTGGTTTCTTCCAAAACAATACAGCAATGCCCTTCGCGCATGGCGACTTATCCCCACACACCCTGACCGGAAGTGTGCCCGAAGCGCCGCCACTGCGGTGTTACGTAACAGGGTTGAGATAGTGTATAGCCTACACCTAATACTTTCTGTGGCTGTGAAGATTGACTATGTATTCTTCGTTTTTTTAGGCTGGCATGCACGCAGTACGTGAGAACAGGTATGTGGTACTGGCCAAGGACTTCGAGAAGGGCTACAAGAACAACATCAAGAAGGACGAGTCGGAACATGAATTCTACAAGTGATTGAGCGGATTAAAGGAGCTTTGTTTGACGGCACTGTGCATACTGTCTCACTCGAGGGAGCAGGAGAAAAATGGCAAGATATTTTAAAGGGTATAAGCATGTGCTAAACCATGGTAATATACTTTTTTTTTTCCACCAGTTGGAAGCTGTACTTTATTTTATCTTACAATGGACTACTGCGGACGCTGCAAGCAATCCAGCGCTGCAAACATACCGTATTTGCACGAATATAACGCGACCACGAATATAACGCGAGGGCAGTTTTTGATGCGCCCAAAAAGAAAAAAAATATTATTACTATTATAACGCGAACCGATGCCGCGTCAATTTCTCGCACTCGGGGGCATAGCAGAAGTGAAAAGTCAATGGAAATAGAAGAAATATCAGTTTATGTTTTGACTGCACTCATCCTCACTGCTCAGGTCCTTCCGTTTACAATCCACTTGGCAACTACGCAGGTATGCAGCAGCAGGACGGCACCTGCTTGTCTGGTAGTTCTTTTCTTGCGAGCTCCACGGCAGCCCACAATCCAAACAAGGCGCGGAAGCAGAAGCACCAACACACAAACACCAGACCACTCTGGAGCAGAAACTAAACAATGCGCAGGCAGAAAAAAAGACTGCTGAACCCGATACACGATCACACTTCTTCTTCTGATCCCTGTTCGTAAACAAATGCCTCGTGTTGCACGATTGCGTAAACGCGGTCGGTGGTCTTGGCTTGTGTTGACTTGACTTGGCCCGGCTTGGCTTGGCTCGAATTGGCCGGTACCCGCATTCCCGCATGGCGTGCACGCGTGCGGCGTGCGCGCGTTGTAAAAACACAAAAGCGATAAAAATGCTTTTTTATGTTTTCTATTCGCCCCTTCACGTGGCCCCATGGCTAGAAAATGCCCCTCCACACCCCCACTTCTTTTTCCATTGGATCTTTTGCATTGAGCAGGAGGGATGACTTTCTCCTCTGGCTTTCTCCAGACTCGCGCGCCTCGTGGCTGAACTCGATTCCGAATATAACGCGAGGTGCGTTTTAGAGCACGTAATTTCGGAAAAAAACTCGCGTTATATTCGTGCAAATACGGTATCACATGACTATGTACCCTATGCATTACTGCTTTCCTCCCAAAGATCACGTGACACTAATAGGGCATTGAATTTGTTTTGGTGGCTTATATTGTTGTTTGTTCGCTGTCCATCGTAAGGTGAAACAAAGTATATAGTGCAGGCAAGAGGTGTCTTTTTTTGCGTGAGTTTCTTAAAAGAAAAACTGAAGTGGTCTTGTACTTGAGAAAAAAATCACTTGAATCATCTTTATTTCGCTCCTAGCATTGTCAGTACCAAAATTATTCTTTCATTTGAAGACCAGAGTGCCCATAAAACCACCTTCAAAAGAGTGGTGAAGGAGAAGCTCCTTTCCGGTGTGATCGATGCGAGGAAACAAATTTGACGAGGAGAGTGAAGCCGTAAAGAGTTCTTGGTATCTTCGCGGGTCTCCCCACATCTTCCCTGGACACCAACGCGACATCTGCGGTTCACCGCCTTGCTTCCGTTGTCGACTTGTCGTTATGTTAGAATACTTACTTTGTCTTTGCACGTTATTTTTCTTCCCATATTTTCTGGTCTGTAGTCCACATCTGGTGTTAAGCCAACAGGTTCAAATATTTGTTGGAAAACAAAAGTGCTTTACCCTTAGACAGACCACACCTGGTGCATGGTCTACACTGGAAACAGTAAGTCGTTAGTTCCTCAACACATAGCACTCCATGCTGACTGGTAAACCAACATTAATGTAAATTCAGATTCCTTTCATAGACCTTATTGATTTTATTTGTCTTAATAGAAACGAAAATAACTGCAAGAACCTTAATATTGGAGGTATTGCTACTGTGGTTCCTGAAAGACCACACATTTTCTTACCTGTGATGAAAATAGTACAGCCGTAAGTAGTAGGTGTTTTCCGTCCAGATCAAGGTTGATCCACGCACTCCACTTGAGCAGCTACCTTGTGTGCCACCCAAGGGGCATTGCAGGTGGTGGCAACACACTGACAATGGGCAGAGCGAAACGGTGAGATTTTGATTATCGCATTAGGCAGCAACCACACAGACAACAAACAATTTTGAGAAACAAATCCTTGTTTTGATTGCGACGTGTTTGTCCCCCTTTTTTTGCTGTCATCTCGGGTTTAAGTATGTTGATTTACAATCAGCCTGCCTGGCTAATAACATTGTCTTCAAATCTTTCTGTAGTCTGCACCTTTAGATAGTCTGCACAATATAGAACAGTGGTTCTCAACCACCGATGTTTTGGGGACCCCTTCTGGATCAGTGGAAGTGATGGGGGACCCTGTCCACCATAGGGGGGGATAACAGACAATGACGATGATAAACACGTAAAAAAAAATTGTAGAGCCCTTCCACTTCACGTGAAGATGGAGGACGACCAAAGCTGTCACCTTTACAACGTCTAGGACGATGCCTAGAGGATGATGCCAAGGACGACCTCAAGGACGATTTCTAGGATGACCTTACGTAGGACGACTTCTGGGATGACCTTTACGTCTAGGACGACTTCCAGGATGACCTCAAGGAGGACGTCTGGAACAAGCTTAAGGACGACCTCAAGGATAATTTTTCGGACGATTTCGAGGACGACCTCAAGGAGGACGTCTAGGACGACCTCAAGGATGACTTCTAGGAGGATGCCTAGAGGACAACCTCAAAGACATCTAGGACGACCTCGAGGACAACTAGGACGACCTCGACGACGATGCCTAGAGATGATAACAAGGGATCAAAACCTATCTAATAATGGTTTTGGCGCAGCAGCATAGGGGCTATAGTGCGCCAGCTATCCAATAATGCCAAGGAAAGTCGACTCGCACTGGATGCCACCTTTTTGTTTTTATTTATTCATACTTGACCCCTCTGTTTTTATTTATTCATACTTGCCACGACCAATGGGAATTTTTCTGTCAACATATGAGGACGCATTTTTTCCCAGACCCTGGTGTATAACAGCTTTGCTGTAAAAACAAAATGCATGGAGGTCAACTTTGAAGCTTTGAAACATACTAATCAACACTACTCTCTTGGTGCGCATGCAACACTGCCGGCTTCAAGTAAAAAATATTTTATTGCTCGGTTGAGGGCTTTGGGAACTCTGAAAGCCTTCGGGGACCCCAAGGTGCCCGCAGACTTTCTGTCGAGAACCACTAGCATATAATATCAACTTTTAAACGTGTATGGTCAGGAAAAAATTACAGGACACTGAAGACTGCTTACGTGTAGGAAGGCGAAAGCGTTATAGTCCCGCGGAAGAAATGTTTTAGAGTCAAGCATTTTACATGTATTAAAGTTTAGGACGACGTCCTAGAAATAGACGCCAAGTATGGCGTCTAGGACGACGACGAGAACGATCTCAAGGACAATGTCAAGAACGACATTTAGGACGGCGTCGAGAATGACGCCTGGAGGACACTTAGGAGGCTGTGGCGTATTTGCGTGGGCAGCCACGTTTGCCTGTGGAAGCCGCCGTAGATGTAGACGCGGTCACCTCACAGTTCATCGCAAGAAGCACACAACGAGCACAGATGAAGTTCGAAGTGCACCTTTTGCATTCAGCACTCCAGCAGCGACATCACGCACCTGCAGTTGAGCGTGAGCGGCACATGCTTCATGACATTTTTATAGCCATCTTTCAGGCACAACGCCGCCGCTTTTTCGCGTAATGGGACAAGCAAGGTCATCATAGAGGTCTAGGACAACCTCAAGGACGACGCCAAGGACAGCATCATTCTCGAGCATACGATTGAGCAGCGCATGCTGTTCAGTCATATTTTTATGGCCATATACACCACTTTTTCACTCAATGGGACAAGGCTTTCGCCTCAATAAGGTACTGATTATTTATGTGCTTGCAATGAATTTATGGTCTTGCCTAGTTTTTGTGATATAGTGGCTTTGCAAGATGTAGTGTTTGCATACCCTGAGTGCCGATCAAACTTATGTATGTGCGCTCTTCATTTCTTTGAAAAGGCCACAACTACAAACGTGACGTACTGATTGGTGTCCTACGCGGGCACGCACTGGGCACCTGAAAACCGTCTTTTGTGTTGATCGCTCGCACTGACCTTCGGCGATGCTAATCCTTTAAAAGTCTACAATCGCGGAGGAAGCGGCTGGGATCTCTGAAGAGGCGAAGCCAAGTGATCCCCCACAGTATGTCACTTGAAAGGCGACGTGCAGTTGAGAGGCACTTTGACCTTCAACTTGTTTCTTTTTTTAAAATAAAAACTAGCACTCGCTAGAAAATATGGCTTTCTGTTCTTCGTTCCATAGGTGACACAGATTAATTTCCGCAGTTAATTGGCCAAAGTTTGAAAATTGTTGCACCGCCCCTTTAAAGGGGCCCTGCAATGACTTTTTTACTGGTTTTTAATTTGCACCGAACCTGAGCGCACCGAATGTAGTAACTTAGTGAAACTTTTCTTTTCTCGAAATCCCCTTTATTTTAAAAGTTATAGGCAAATTAAAATTACAAAAACAAGCAAAAAATAACCTCCCTCATGACGTCCTTGGTTGCTTGAGAGTGGCTGTGAACTAGAGGAGTAGCGAGCTCATCGAGCGCTCACGGCTGCCGCACTCCGTGTCAACGGTGCGAGAGGGCGCCACTAAAGCATGTTCTGGATAGGCTGTATGCAGCGGGCAGCCAGAGAGGCTCTCATTGCATTTGCTGCGCGATTAAATATTAATTCAGCATGACACTTCATTAGCCACAAACGACAGCAAACACGGGGGAAAGATCAGTTCAGAATGGGAGCCACTTAGCGCTGCCATACCGCGAAACGGCCAAACCGCAAGGCAAAGCTTCTTGGCAAAGGCCTTCGGAACGCTCGGAGCCGGTCGGATCCTTCTGTCCATACGACCGCAGCGCCGCCGCGTACATCCGGGACTTTTCCGTGTCGGCGCCTGATCCCACTAGTCCTTTCTAGTATGCGCCGCCTTTTCCACCGCTTGGTGGCTGGTATGTCGACGGGTCATTTCTTGCTTCCGTACTTTATGAACTGCATTCGTTTCTTTTCTGATCTAAAATACTGAACAAAAACTACTTTTATGAATAATTATTTCGACTAAAAAGAAGCTTTTAGTGACTCTGACCAGTAGTAAGCCCAGGACCAAAGACGTCACATCTTGCGCGCTTTCGGTACTGCGGGTTGCCCTCGTCGGTGGAGGAGGTTTCCACGTCGTCCGGTTAAAATATGACGCACTGATATTTAGTTACTCCCTCCGTGCCCGCTGGCTTGCCCGAACCCCAAGAGACGTGGAAACCGCAAAAAAGGTAGACGCTTAAATATGATTGCAGGGCCCCTTTAATGAAATAGAAATACACTAGAGTTCACCTCAAACTTTTTTTTTTTTAACATGAAGCACACCAAGGGTTGGCTGTGTAGGAAAAAGACCAACACAAAAAAGCGACCAGACGCCAACCTGTGATGTCGTGCAACACCATGCGACACAGTGTTATCACGAGACGTGATGTCACATCACACGGTCATGCGACTACATGACCCATAAAGGCACCAACCACATGGGTGTCGCATGTTTCTGTTAACAATTTCGTTGAGCATGACCAAAGTGCTGCACAAATTTTGAGGAACCTCTTCAGCTTCTCTTTAGCTTTTACTATATCAATAATTTTACATAAGAGCGTTAAGACCCTATACACGATTGCAAGCAGGGCAACTGGCCGCCACCATGTCTCTGCTTGTGCGAGCAAGCTTGTGCAATTGCAAGCTTGCCAAAGCTACGTCCACATGCCCACTACACTTGCTTGCACTGATGGGGCACCAGCCAGGCCACCATGCTTGCAATTTTCTATACATACTGCCTAATCTGCTACCTTCTCTGTGACATGTACAGTGTTTCAGCAATCCCACTTCAGTCTACTGAACACTGATGGTAAAACATAAACTATTGACAGTTTGTGTATACTATGCTTCATAATTTTCCTTATCAAAGCTGTGCTGTGGCATTTGCTGACAGTATGAGGAAGGAAGTGCATGGTCTGCAGCACGTATAGAGACTGATCTGAATATATTTCAAAAGCAAAGAGAAACAAGATTACAACAACAATGTTCCAACATTTTGGAAATCCAACACCTGCAATGAAACTTTCCATTGCTATACAACAGCGGGAAGTAGGAACCCGTACCCCCGTGCATAATTACACTATAGTTTTACCGTGTTAGATTACCCATAAACACAGAAGAGATTCATGGAGTAAAAAAAAATTGCAAGAGATCTCAAGATAGAATGACTAGTTGACCAGCATGATTTTGCATAGTGTCACAAGAATAGCATGCTTAATTTTTTTGCATGGCTTATTAGTAGGTCTACTATCACCTATTGATCAATTTGCAGCACAGAGGCTAGAAAGTTGAGTAAAAATATGACCACCATATTTACTAAGAATATCCTGACAATTTTGATTACAGTATGTGTGCATTTAACATAGTATCCATTTGCTGTCTTTTTAGTTATAATATTACTTCAAGGGGAATGAATCCACCACTGCAGAAGGCTCATAGGAGCCTTTTACGCGAGTCCTAGGGTCAAGATCAGCACGGTGTCCACATCTCGCAGTGGGATGTAGTAGGACATTGAACACTTATATGAATACGTCAGATAACCCGTGCTGCAACAGGTCTCTGTAGGGGCAGCATGGATCTTTACATGCTCGTGAACACAGCAAGAGAGTGGAAGACAGCACATGGAAAGGAAGGAAGGAAGCATGCTTGGAAGTGATAACGCTTCTCTGGACGTGCGGAAAGTTAATCTCCCAGATATCTTGCATCACAATGGACCGATGACCTTTAGACAAACGATGCCACGAGCCCATCGGAGGTAGCACAGTTACTGGAAAGGTGCATCTCAGACACGGGTAACGTTAGCACGGAACACAGAAGTCAATTTACAACGTGAAACGACGCAGCCAAATTGAATCCCCGGAATGCAAGACACTTCCAGCAGGAGGGGCGGCCGCTCACTGCGAGAGGCCCTTGATGCTGTGCAGCCAGATGAGTCCCTTGCACTCCTCGAGGTAAACGTCCGGGATGAGCCCATATGCGGGCCCCAGGTTGGGCATCTCAACCATCTCGACGGAGGCTGAGCCGAACAGCTGCTTCTCATAGTCGATGAGCTGCTTGAAGAAGCCGTTGTTTGGATGGACCACGGGACGGCGTGCCTTGATGTAGCGGAAGGCATCGCGGAGCCGCATCCGGTGGTACTTCATCAGGTAGGCGAGGCAAAGGGTGGGTGAGCGGCTGGCGCCGGCCATGCAGTGCACCAGCACCTTGCCGCCATGCAGGTACACATCGTGGATGCGGTCCGAGATGGGGTCAAAGTAGACGGACATGTCGAAGAGTGGCGAATCGTCCACTCGGACGCGGATAAAGTGGATGTTGTCGGCGCCCATGGGCAGGTCCGGCAGGTCGATGCTGCAGTTGATAATGGTCGTGATGCCGATGGTGCGCACAGCAGTGAGAGTGATGGCACGGATGCCGCTTAGGTACAGGTAGTCGGTCACTTGGGAGACAACGTTGAAGGCCATCCTCTCCTGGAGTGCAGCCACTGGCAGCTGCAAGGAGGGTCAAAATGGTTCAGCGTATGCGACGTGTGGCTCGTCGCAGCCTACCGAATGTCATCATGCAACCACTCTGCAGCACAGGGATTAAGAATTTAATAAGAATCTTGTGCCTCCAATTATTAAAGGGAAGCTGAAGAGGGTCTCACAAAAAAAATTAGTTGGAGGCGATTTCTACTGTGTTTATCCCGTGAATCTGTATATAATGGCATTTTTCAAGATATACTGCTGAATGTGGAAAATGAAAAAACAAATGCCGTACGCTGCCAGCCAAGACACCCACTGCTCGGCACATCCTGCCCGTGTAAGCAAATGAGCGATATTGCAAGCCGACTGAAGTTACTCTGATGTTGTGTATGCTTGCTTGCATGAGACATCAGTGGCATTTTTAATAGGCAAAGAGTGCATGTGCAAGCTTTGACCAGCTCTCAAGGTGCACAAGCACCTTGCTTCCATGAAGGATGGCAATGTGAAGCAACATCAAAGTTAAATGTGCCGCGCAACGACATTGGGTTGAAATGTGTCCTTCTTTACACAAGCTTACTGGAGCTAGCACGCAACGCCACTAGCCAACAAAGTTGTTCATCACAGTGCGACTCCAAAAATAAAAACGTGTTTTCTTTCCATCCACTCTTTGCAAAACTTGATGTAGTCGTGCCTATCACAGTCTTGTCATAGCCAACGCTGGAAGCAAAAAGGCAAACTGCAAACAGGACCTTTAATGACGTCACGATCCCTCTCGAATTTCCCTTTCACAGAGAGCCTGCCAGGAAAGAGGGGTTTCAGTGCTATTGAAAGTGTCTTTATGAGGCTACTAAGCACATGCAAATTAAATTAAAACTTTTCGTTTTTTTTTTTGTTTTTTTTTTCTAAAATGCAGTATTTTTCTGTAACGAAGCCTCGCCTTAGATAGATAGTCTATTCGACCCTGGAGGGTCGCAGCATTACAGAAAGGCCATTGGCCCGTACCCGGGGCCTGTGGTGCCGCAGTACTACAGAAACTTAACAACAACAGTAACAATAACATTAACAGTAATTAATATTTAACTGCTGTTGTCCAACACTACAGCAGTAGAGTGACTGTATGAAAGGCCATTGGCCCGTACCCGGGGCCTGTGGTGCCGCAGTATTACAGAAACTTAACAACAACAGTAACAATAACATTAACAGTAATTAATATTTAACTGCTGTTGTCCAACATTACAGCAGTAAAGTGACTGTATGAAAGGCCATTGGCCCATACCCGGGGCCTGTGGTGCCGCAGTATTACAGAAACTTAACAACAACAGTAACAATAACATTAACAGTAATTAATATTTAACTGCTGTTGTCCAACATTACAGCAGTAAAGTGACTGTATGACTGTAGTTTCACTGAAAGCCGAAGCAGTTTGCTGCGACGGTACGAGCTGATCTGACCAATTAAACAGTGTTAAAAGCGCAAGGCACCGTAGCGTCGGTTGCGTAAGGCGTAACGAAGTATAAAGCACCCTTGTCCGTTCATTCGTGCACTACACGCAGTAAGAGCGGCTTCGGAGAGCCATCAGAAAGAGCAGCCGGCTTGCGTACCCGACGAGACAGCCGACGCTGCTGGCGCAGTTGCATGAAACTGGGCGAGTTGTATGCTCCCAACACCGGCGTCGTCGTCATTACGGCATATCACCACAGCCACGGGGGCCCTATCTTCCCGGCTTGGCGGACAAGCGCCCGACAGCACTTCAGCCGCATGCCCTACCCACGGTCCTGCCAAGCCATGTTTTCTTCTTTCCTCGACACTCGGCTAGCATCGCAGCGGAGTCGGTGTGGTCGGAGTTGTCGGAGTTGTCGTTCTCGTCTTTGATTTGACGGCAAGGCCAAGGCAAGGTAAAGCAAGTGCTGGAACTGCTGGAAGATGGTCTAGGTCTTTCTTAAACGTTTTTCTCGGTTTTGATTTTTCTGCTACCTTTCGCTCGCTATCCGCAGATAAAGTTGACAAGTTATGAACAAAACAAACTCCAGACGAGTGGTCGAGCATTCACCCTAGAAGAAAAGGCCTGTGCATGACGTCATTGTTAGCCAATCCCCGACGCGCCCCAAGCGGCAAACACACCAAAGCTCGACGAGAGTGCGAAGCGGCAGACGCCGCGAACAGGCCCGACGTCGCCGCGCGCTAGCTCTACTAGCACCTAGCATAGTAGCATTGCGCTGATTGCGCTTGTTGCGCGAGACATGTGAGACGCACTGCTAGAAATGCTGACGCAGGCTAGGCGGCGCTTCATGGCCAACAGTGATGACAGTGATGACGTTTGAGAGCAAGGCCGGCAAGGCGCTGGTCTTGTTACAGGCTACCCTTCAACCTTAAAGTTGAATAGGAGGTATTGGGAGGTATTCACTGGACGCCATACTATCTATACCAGTGATCTATACTGAAAGGTAGCGACATCTCTAGGACCGTGGCGACCGTGGCCGCATTCCCCCAGCCATAGAGTCATGTGGATCCAGCAAATAGGCATAGAGATCAGTGAAATTAATAATGACCTTTATTGCTCTTGCAATGTGAAGGCAAAATTTTAGAAGAAGGAGTCTAAATGTTCCTAGGTTAGATAGCGCAAGCTACCGCTCAAATCAAGGGATATTTGGCCAATACCATTCATCTATCCGAGACACATCCGGCCACATGCGGCGGAAAACGGGAAACTGACGCAGCTGACGTTGGCGTTGGTTGGTTTGCTCGAGTTGGCTCGAGTCGTTTATTCGCTCCTTGCCGATCGTTCAGGCGTATACGTTACGATAATCAGCATATGTCTTATGCCAGTGGCAACTTTCAGCTAGCTAGATCCCTAATAGGACTTCGAAGTAGTTTCACAGTGCGTGCCTAGCGAGTCGTGATGGTAGACGACGCCACAAGGAAAACTCTGAGCGGTATCCCTCTCCTTAAGACCAAGGCGGGACCTCGCGACAAGGACCTGTGGCCGTCCAGGCTCAAGGAAGAGTACCAATCCCTCATCAAGGTGCGTTATTCCTAGTTCACCTGAGCTCACCCGCGTCGTCGACGCGGTTGACCCACTTGTAACGAACGTCTGGTAAGTGTCTCCGCTGTATATGAGAAATTTAACTTTGTATCTTCAACTTGCATCACGCGTTACAAGACGGCAAGCCGCTATGATGCTCATCCAGACCGAAACGGGCAGGATTGTGGATTGAACTTTCTCAATTCGATTCACCTAAAAACAACAGCGCGTCAAAAAAAAAAAAAAAGTAAGTAAATAAATAAATTGCTAAAATAAACTATGCTTGGCCGAACCAGAACCGTGTATACCGAGAGTCTGGTGAATGGCAAGTGCGGGCACCGGGCAGAGCCAGGGCGTGCACCAGACGCAGAAAGAGGGCTTGGCATGCTCTCTTGGCCAACCAGATGCCGGAAAGAACCCCCTAGCGGTGGTAGCGAGCAACAGTTTTAATCACTTTAATAAGCGCGTAAGGGTTAAATGTACTAACCCTTCATGGCTGAAAATAGGGTGCACATGATGTTTCGATCATGATCATGCAGAAAGATGCAAGAAATAAATGTGCCGCTCGAACTTGTTTTGCTCAGACAGGGTGTGACTGCACGGACGGCAGATTCCCGGCGCCTGGCGTATGGATTATGTCGATCGTTCCGCTAGTCACACTTTTCCACCATGATTTTTGATGACCGTGACTGAAACATAACGTGCACCATATTTTCAGTCACCGAGAGTTACTCTGACACACAAGTTTTTTTCTCGCGACCACCGCCAGGGTATTATTTCAGCCTGCTGGTTGGCCACATTTGAATTTGTGAAGACGCCCTGGAACACGCCCAGCCCGCTTTCGGCCAATGGCGCCTCCTCATTTGTCTCCTTTACTTCCCAATGAATGGCCAAACTCTCTTCATATACGGCTCTGGGCTGAACGCTCATTTTCCGCCCAAATGTACTGCTAGAGGTACAAACAAAGTTTCAGCATTAACCATTATTTTATTCAAAACTTATAAATGATTTTCTGAAATTTTCAATAAGCCCATTTTCGGCAACTAGCGTCATCATCATCATCATGATTTATTTTCCTTGAGGGCCCGTGGGGCATTATACAAGGGGGTGGCAATAGAACAAAAACAAATAGAACAGTAATGGAGCGCAATAGGCAGTTTTAGAATAATGTACACCATTTTAGCGCACGCTAGCGCTTAATTTAGCGCTTGCATTAGCGCTCGCTAGGCGAGACAGTTTTAGAATAGCATTTCTCCGCTGCGACGCAAAAGCCCAAGCCTCTCGCACTTGCAACGCCACCAAGGTTTACGCTATAACTTGAGAAAAAACAAGTTTTTCGGTCCCGAGTAACATTCCGGATTTGTTTAAACATGAGAATGCGATGCGAGCAGTTGACTGGTTACGTCCACTTGCGTCGCCTCGGTAAGAAAGGTCCAGTGTACTGGCCTTCGGCAAGAAATATCCGCGCGTCGCAAGCATCAAGATGCTGGTGATTGTTGCCCATTTTACTCGGTTTTCCAAACCGAGTGCAATGTCGTCCCGTATTGAAAATCGCAGTTGCGAGGATGCCGACAACATTGCCTTCGCGACGCAGCTAAACCGGCCGCAGCTATGGTATGGTGCCTGGAACGCGTCTCCGACTGGTGTGTTTACCTTGTCCAAAAAAGCGGTTCCTCGATTTCCGCCTGATGACGTCATAGAAGTGTCATGCTGTCGCCGGTCGCGATCCTGGCGGCGTCCCAGCAACTGTGGTGGATGTGGTAGACGCCTGTTCTGCTGCAAGTCGTTCTTCACTGTGACGGTCCACGGAAGGCACAGCAGCAGGCAGTTGAGACGCTTGGGACAAAGTGACGACAGCGACACTCGCATTCGCTCACGCTTTTCGCCAGCATTTCTACTACCAACTGCCAGGATCGCGACAGGCAACAGCATGACACTCGGGCTTCTGTGACGTCATTTGTTGCCACTTCGCAACCACTTTTGATGCATGGGCGGGATAGGATGCTAAACACACCAGTCGAAGACGCGCTCCAGGCACCATAGCTATGGTCCTGGGAGCCGCCATTTTTAAACTGTGCTCGTCTTGGCTTTAGCCAACTTCTCATCACAAATCCTCCTTGGAGGAGCACAAAGACTCTTTGCATACGCACGCTATTTCCAAGAAATAGCACCTGCGAAGTGCAGAACGTGGTTAGCGTTCGGCGCATGCGCACTGGCGACGACGCTTTTCTTTTTGTATGCAAAGCTTCAGTGTGTGCGATTCTAAAACTCCCTCATGTATTCAGGAGCTTTGTCGGCCGGTATTTTCCCATTGAAAATTTCAGAAAATCGCTTTTGACTTTTGAACAAAGTAACGGTTAATGCTGAAACTTTGGAATCTGGCTCGGACCTCTAGCGGTACATTTGAGCGGAGAAGGAGTGCTCGGCAATGCACAGTTTATTCTTACATTAAAGAAAAACCTGTAAATTTGTTGTTTCTTGTGGGGGGGGGAAGGGGGGGGGAACATTGTGTGGCGGGCTTGTGGTTTACTCGCAGAGCACTCCCTTAATTGCTTTAGCCAGATTGACAGGTTGATGCTACAAACTACTAAAATTGTGAGCCTTATGTCCGACGTACCAGTGTACTGGCGCTTCACTTGCACAGCTGGCAACTCTGTGTAGTGCATGACGTGGCCATTAACTTCTCGTAATAGCTTCATTCATCTTATGGAGAGACAAGAATAAACAGGTATACCCATGAAACAAAACGAAACGTATGAAGTCCGAGCGCCGCACAACATGCTAAAGTGGCGCAAAGGCAGAAGTTAACGGATGAATGAATTCTAGGATTTTTACCTTTCCCAACTTTATCTCAACTCACTGTAGCCACTGGCTACTCAAATGTCGTTCTTTCTCGATTGGAGCTCTTAGAAAGGAGACAATTAAAGTGTAGGCATCTGAAAATAGAACATTGCCATTGTTGTCCACTTTTATCCTGCAGTATGTCCAGAACAACAAGGAGAATGACAACGACTGGTTCCGGTTGGAGTCCAACAAGGATGGCACCCGGTGGTTTGGCAAATGCTGGTACATCCACGAGCTGCTCAAGTATGAGTTTGAAGTGGAATTTGACGTAAGGGCCTTTTGACTCAGATTGTGCGGATGTCTTTTATCCTCTGGATATTTTGTGGCCAGTTGGTACATTTGTTCGTGAGGAAGGGAAGTGCCACCTGTCTCGGTCATACATTTCTATTCGTGCCACAGAGTACCCTTCTACGGTCACTGATAAGATGAGAACAGCAGGGAGGTCCTTCGGAAGTCCCGCCTTCAGCACGAGCTTCCTTCCCGCGATGACCCTTCAGCGTTTCGTGAGCCCTAAGCGTGCAAGTACAGCCGGGGCACGGCAGAGGCAAGAAGCACCTTCTTGAGACCAGGCATCCGAAAGAGATGCCCCACCGTTCTCATTTTGTTGGTGACCATACCAGGCTTCATTTGGTGTAACACACACCAAGCGAATGCAAGGCTAGCCAATATTGAAATTTACGTTTCCTAAGAGCATCTTGGTTCCCGTCTTGGAATTATAGGGCTTTCGAGAGTGGTCTCCCGCAAGAGAACTCTGCCCATTGTTGAAAATCTCACTTCTCGGTCCACAGATTCCAGTGACCTATCCCACCACGGCACCAGAAATAGCGCTGCCATCCCTGGATGGGAAGACTGCAAAAATGTACAGGTGAGGAATGCTCCATAGTACACCTTAAATCCAGTGTTGGCAAAGTACATATAATTAAAGTGCTTGAAGTAAAGTACAGAGTACAATCTTTCATGGTGCCCTTTCATTCCCCTATACAGTTTTTTTAAACTGGTATGCATCGCTCCAGCGGTAATTCGGGGAGCGGCAGTTGTTTTCGGAAATGGCGGCGAATATTGGATAAGGTCAGGTTGCCATGAAGTGGTTGTTTTACTCTCGCTGGCAAACTATTTAACACAGTTGACTTATAAGGCTCTTATTTTAGAGTATTGACCAGATGAGCGATGCCTCATCTGCTCGCATTTCTGGTGAGAGTAGAATATATCCTTTTGGCAATGCATAATTTTGTGATACAAATTTAACAAGACCAAATTTGGGGAATGTACTTTGGAGTTGAGAGTTGTACTCTTCTTGGAAAGTATCACAAAAAGTACTTTAGGTAAAGTACAAGCACTAGATACTCAGGAATATACTTCAAGTGAAGTACAATTTTTCGAAACCTACTTGAAGTAGCATTTTAAGTACAATAGACATAAAGTACTTCCCATCACTGCTTAAACCTATGCAAATGTCAGCTGCTCCTCAAAATAGCAATGTTCTTATGAGCTTTCAAGTGAGGAAAGATTAAGATGGCATGGAGAGGCAATGTCACATTCTGGTTAGAATCTTGGCTTCTTGTTTCTCGTTTAAAGGCTGGAGGAGCTTTTCATTTAGAATGGTGCCTGTCTAGCAGTCAAGCCAAATTAGAAAAATTGTGCAGAGAGCTGTGTCCTGTCACGAATCTGCGTAATCTGCAGGTTTGAAAACAGTGGAGGTTATGCAGAAAACATACTTTTTCCTCACAAGTTAAAGTTTGGAGCCCCATTATTAATGCGAAAGCATTAACTGCCCCATGGAGCGAGCCAACGTCATCAGTTTGTAGCACAAAAACGGCACCTAGTGTTCTTGATCCTAAAGGTCCCATTGGCTGGCGCGTGGCGGCAAGGCTCCCATTGGCCGCTGCACGTGTCAGTTTCAACGACCGCCGCTAGATGGCGCTGCGTGTCTGTGCCGCCAGTATGCCAATAAAACTAACTGCCGCAACCCCATGCCACTGCGGGCCCTGCGCCGGTTAAAACAGACACGTTAGCTCGCGCTCGGAAGCTTCTGCTCGTCTTGTTGCCGACCAACATGGTGCCGCCTCTAGCATCCAAATCGTCGCCGGTGCTTCTGCTCGTCTCGACGCCGACGATCATGGCGCGCCGCCTCTAGCATTCACATCGTCGGAGGGGCTTGTATGCTTTCGCATTCACAACTCGTAAGAAGTGCTGAAGTGTAACTCGAGCATTTTTTCAACCTTATATATATATTTTTTAATATTGAAGCATTGTGCTTCAACATTAAGCTTCAGCAAAATGGGGAAGAAATTTCTTCCCAATTTTTTTTTAAGTTGAAGGCAGAGTCCCATTATTTTTCTACCTTGCATTTCTTCACAAAACAACTACAACAAAAAGACTATTGTAGCATTCTGCAGACTTGCAAACAATTAGGTTATATATAAGGAATTTGCTCCAAATTATTTTCCTCCAAAATGGTGAGGAATATAGAATTTTAATTTGAACACTTCATTTCCTCTTAGAGCCGTTACATTTCTACCTCTTATTTCTTTTGTTTAGGGGACTGTTATCGACATAGTACATAGCATCGGCTTAAAATTTCACGCCCGCTAATTTTGATGTGCACGATAACTGTGTACACATTTGTGTCGTCTCTGCTGCGTGGTGCACATCAAAAACACTCAAGTTAGCGGTCGTGCTGCACTCGTCAAATCGTCCGATGCGGCACAAAGCATTAGAGACATGAAATGCCACATTTGAAAGTGGTCCAACTTCCCACCTCCTAAAAATTCTTCCTCGCAACCAACTTCCATTGTTTCAAAGACGGAGCTGATCGAGCGCAGTATCTCGAGGTATTTGAGGGAGCGTCTTACGAGCCGGTGCGCCAGCGTGTCTGTTTCTGCGTTTATTTTTTCGGTAACGTGCAACCACTTCTTTGCGCGCTTCCTTTCCCTTGACTGCCCGTGGTTGCCGAACACCGTTCTGTTCTGTCCTGCAGAGGAGGCAAGATATGCATGACGGACCACTTCAAGCCTCTTTGGGCTCGCAACGTGCCCAAGTTTGGCATAGCCCATGCGATGGCTCTTGGGGTGAGTGCTTGCTGCTGGCATCTCCTCCACTCGGAAGAGGGGGTTGGGGAACACTTCGAGTTTATTCCGGGCGACGCCTCTACTGTGGAAACACTGTAGGCAACCCGGTAGAAGCTTGTACAGGTCGATCATATGCTGCTTCTGATTGGTGAGCTCGCTGTTGGCCACGAGTGCTGCATCAGCGTTCGGCCAGCTTTGCCGTCTACAGGGAATCCTAAAATGCTAATAAAGTGCACATTTTTTTTTTTTTTTTTATATACACCATTTTATGTTTACAAACAAACTGGAGCGCCCCTAGCGGACGCCACCGGCGCCGCGCATGCGCGATGGGGGTGTGGTCAAGAAGCTCGCCGTCGCTCTTAAACAAACCATTGAAATGCGATGTTGTCGGCAGCGGTGTGAGTCCCCCTGCTCTTTTTCGCGTTCGAATTGTTGATTCTACGTCTTCCTGGCGATGTCTGACTACTTGAGCGGCATCAGCGAAATTACCGAGGCTCGTTACACCGCGAAACATCGCGTGAATAATGTGACATGTGGCGATTCATTCCGCGTGGACGCTGCAGTATGTACGTTAAAACCTGATTCGCATGATGAGATTTCGCTCGCAAGTTTCAGTCGCGACGCCGCACGGGCTGCAAAAGCATGAACCGTAGCTGAGATAGTTGACGTCGATACTGAAAATCTCAAGCAGAATCGGACCAAGTCAATTAGGCATAGCAAGTCAGTGATGGTCACTCGTAACAATGACCAACATCTCCTTGTATTTACTGTTTACATCGAGCCTGCTTACCAACCTTCAAACTTAGTCTTTTGAGGCGTGCACTTACTTCATATAGCAAGTACCGGGCCAACATTTAATATACGGGCCGGCGTCGTCTAAGAGAGCAGACGACAAGCAGAAACGTTTGAAAGAGCAGACGACAGTTCGAACGATCAGGTGGCCGTTTGAACTTGAAGACGCACTGAACGTAGTTTGCAGGTGGTCCGCACGACTTGATGGTTTTCTGGCGCTCATGTTGGAATAAAACAAAAATCTGATAATCACAAGTATCCGTGAATTCAACTCAAAGTGCTTCCCGCCCAAGCAATCGTTGTCCGACGGCGTTTGGTTTTCCCTTTTTACGGCACATATGGACGCACCGAGCACGTGAAAACTGACCTTCAAACCTTTCTCGACTCTTTTGATACGGCCCCAGTCCCGGCGTTTTGACGAGAAGGCAGGTTTTTGTGTGGTTTCCTTCAAAACAACGCAGGAATACATGTCTGGCATGGGGACTTCTGCCCACAGCCCCAGACTGGAAGTGCGATCGACGCGCCACCACCGCGCCGTGACGTCACAGAGATGAGTTGGTGTTTAAATAAGCAATGAACGGAGGACTTATAAGCTTTTCACAAAGGTGTATTTAGGTGGTGCATTCATTGTGCTCAAATTTTACGAGCGTAGGTTTCGAGAAAAGAAAGATGGAGCCTAAAAAAAATGATACGAGCTCAATCGTGCCGACAAAGACGGGTAGGCACAGAATTTGTGACGGTCCTTCCAGGGAAGAAGAAAAAAGCATTCAAACGGTGGCACCTAACTCTCGTGTCCGCCGCACGCCACGAGACGGAGCAGCGCGACAAGAAAGGCCGCGGAGCCCGCAATAATGCATTCGTGCGTCGACCGAATGACTTTGCTTATGCACACTCCGACCGTCGGCAAAGAACTTGGATTACAATCTCACAGTGGCGATTTCAAACCCTGCTGGGAGACCGAATTCTTTTCATGTGATTCCCTATGGGCGTAAAGCCTTTCGGTGTCGGTTTTTCATCACAGCCGACAGCCAAAAGCCAAACGTTATAGAACTCCATGGAAATAGGCTGATAAAACATAAGGGCTGTTCGATTCGGCCAGAAAGTTCTGAACTAGTTCTGTCCGAGTTCAGAGGAGTGCAGGAGTCGTGCAGTGGCGGCGCAGAACCAGTGCAGCCGCCGCGCTAGGCCTGGCGCTGTGATCGGCTTTCCGAGCGGAAGCGCTGCATGGGTGTCGTCTGCATCTGTTGGCTCTTGTTTCTCCTCGCCACGTTGGATGTGACCTTTATTGAGTCGCGGTTTGATGAGACCATTCGTGTTTCCTTAGTTTTAAAGTATAGTAACGGAATCTTCCTTGTGAATATTTTTTTATTCGCGGCTACTAAAAACGTTTTCTGCACGAAATGTGTTTCTATCTGCATTTTTAACGGCTGTTCAGTTCATCTCGTTTCCATAAGCGCTCGTGTCCTTCACATTCATTTAGCAACAGTAGATTCATTCCAAGTCTCCCGAGTTCCGCATTTCGACGATAGGGTCGCGGCATCAGAATGATTTTGCGTCGGGAGTCACTGGCGGCAGCGCGCGGTCGATAGCGGTCACCTCGAAGACGAAGGCCTGACTATAGCGTTTTGGCCAATACAGTTATCAACCGTAACTTTGGCGTCAAGCTGAAGCGTTTATGCTGATTCTCAAGAAAGACCTGCATGGAACTACGAAGCCAATGCCGATTTTCGGCACCGTTTTTCCCAGGCCCGTTAGTGGGCGTCCAGATATCAGCGGACAAAGCATGCGGTATTATGCTCAGCTGCGGGGCATGCGAGGGCCAATATACTAAATTCCAGACCTCTGCAATGTATCGGAGTCGTCAGAATGCATCCAAGAGCAACTGAAGGCGGGGCCTATCAAGAGGGCACTACCTTTCCCGTGTTGCTAAGGAAGAATATCAACACTGGGGATCCCCACATAGCATCAAAAAGAAACAATTTACGTGAGCCAGTATTTCAACACTTACCAAAGGGAGCCAAACCTAGACGAGCAGGTGCCTAAAACACTTTCAGAATATCATAATCAATCAAATTCCTACCCCAGTTATGATATCAATTCCGCGTCCACCGCGGGTACGTTATTATCATAAATGAGATGAAATGCAACGTCCGTATCGGCGTTATAGTTAAACATCGCAGACATTTGAGCAAGAGCTGCGAAAAATGGCACCGCGAGCAGAGACGGACAAGGAGCGTCGTCTGCTATCGCCCTCTGCTCTTTTCGTCTGCTTCTGCACGGACGCTGAACTGACTCTGGAGCCGGTGCAAGATTTTGAGGAACTGGGTCTGAACTCGTTCAGAACTGGGATGAACCGAACGCGCCAGTGCAGCGGCCGTGCAACTTCCGGTTGAATCGAATGCACCAGTTCCTGCACTGCTGAACTAGTTCAGCCAGTTCAGGCGAATCGAACAGACCTATAATCTGTGTTAAAAAAAAAAAAATTTTTTCTTGTGTTCAGGGAGGAAACTGACAAAAACCACAGGGCCCGTTTGCTCGAAGCCAGTTAACTTTAACCGGGTTAAAAGTTAACCGCCCTTCCCTACTAGGTACCTTCAAGTACCCAGCCAAGTTCGACAAGGGCTGGATGAGTGATAGCTCTGTGTTTTATTACGGGGTGGTTGCTGGTGTCACCTACTGACTGTAGCGAATTTAAGTGGCTTCCGTGGAAAGGTTCTCAAAATGTGCGCTACTATGTTTTTGCAACGCAGCGCGGCATACATTTAAGCTTAAGAAACAATTTTTATTCCTCATGATACAGATAATTGGTTTGGAAAATGTCTAAATATTTGGCTGTCTGAAGTGAAGACGAGCCTCGTTGAAATTTCCTTCCAAGTTCGAAAGAGAACGACGAAGTTCAGTCCTAGAAACAATAAGAAAGAAGTGAGCAGTGAAAGGCGGACGGTACACCGGCATCATAATTGGCCAGCATATGAGAACTGTATATAACACCGTCATAAATTGAAAAATCTGTAATTTGGCTCCAGTGAAAATTGACCTATTAGTAAATTACCCAAACATCGAGGAGAACGCTGGAAGTGTAATTCTACGATCTGCGCGCGCTGGCCTTCCACTTATAAAAGATTCGAAGTAAATAATCATAATAAATCTTTGATGAACGTGCGTGCACGGCAAAATTTGTTTTATACTTTTTGCTTTAGAACAGTTACTACTGCAGACGGCAGCACGTGCAGCGCGTGTAACTACACTCGTAGCATTGGTAGCATGCACCTCGGTCATTGGGAAATTAGCAAAAGGTCTATGGCAGAGGTCTCAAACTCATTCCAGTGTGGGGGCCACATAGCCCACCCCCGAAAGGACGAAAGCTAAGGGGGGAGGGGGGAATATTTTGCTATTTTTGGAGAAAAATATAAACAAACAGCAGTGGTGCGTCACGTTTCAAAGCTGTCGACTGTATCAGCGGCATTCCAGATAACGTCTAGACAAGGAACCTTGTGCTCTCTGCTTTTTGTAAGCTCACTGTATCGCCCTATTTAGCTTCCATTTGCATGTACGTCTAATCTGGGCTCACACTTGTTATAAGAAACGAGAGCAAGCACGCTGTCCTTGCCCTGTCACACAATTCACTAGGCTCAAAAGGCATATAAAAACTTCTTTTCATATTGGAGTGTTTGCTTTCCTGAGGATATTTGTAGCAAACTTATGAGAGAATTATTTGATTTTAAATGTTTTGTCTGACAGCTAGAAGCTGAAGTGCATAGCTTTATTTTTGAGATTTTCTCCTGCTGAGCAAGAGTTTGTGCAACCTGGGTGACTTTTTGTTCTAAGAAACGGCAGTTTTAGCTTAAAAGTGGTATAGCCATTCCGGTTGATTTACAGCGGAAAATAATGAGAAACCAATATTTAGACGAAGCAGCACTACTTTAGTGCAAATTGCGCAAACACGTCATATGAGCAAATACACACACAGACACACAGATATATATATACATTTTTTTTCTTTTTTTCTTTTTTTGAAGTAGGTTGACGATGAAAAAACTATTATTTATGGCGCATGTGGCGCTCGAGACATGGGAACAGAGGCTCGCAGACACGGGATGCTTGCGGACCACTTCCCAGGGGGTCGCGGGCCGTGTGTTTGAGACTCCTGGTCTCTGGGGACGCTGTCTGCTTTTATGTGCTATCAATACCTGCCGATTGAGTCAAGGCAATCCACTTTCTTTCCATTTAGGCATAGGAATGGCCAGAAGCAAAAGACTATCTCAAAAATGCGGCGAGGTCATTGCTTATGCTTTGCACTTTAAGTAAGGTGAGGCAAAGTGAAAGCCTCCTGCACCGTTCATTGGTGACTAACGCGCCCGATATTGCAGCTACTACGATGTATTAGTTCTAAAGCGAGCGGCGCTCACTCCCAGGGGCACCGCCATGTTTTCCCGCCATCCTTACTCTGCCCGGTCATGTGACCTAAAATTCCCCCTCGTAGGGAAATGCGGTTAACTTTTAATCGCGGTTAGAGTTAACCAGCTTCGAGCAAACGGGCCTGGTCGCTATTCACAGATGTCGCCATATAAAGCAAAAACGTGAAAGCGTCTGATGAATACTTGAAAACTGATCCGAGCATGTGTACAGGTTTTCCTAGGCTTAATTTTTATTTTTTTGAAACCTGCACTGATAAAATCTGAGTAAGATAAATGCACTACCTCGAGATGCTTTTCTGGAAAGTTTCAATGCACGCCGTTCATCGGTTTACTTATGAAAATTTGTTTACGCCCATATAGTACTCAAGAACACCCCGTAGGAGGCGGGGTGTTTTCTACTTTTCTCTCGACCACCTTTTTGCAACAGTGTTGGCAGGGCACAGAGGAAAGGTATGGGGTGGGCCAAAGTGGGCATGTACTCCTTCCAGCCAGTGGGAGACTGGCAAATTGAGTCCTATTCTGACATTATTGTGACCTCAAAGTAAGAGTCAATTTTCAGTCTGCTTGCGCGAGCAGTCATCGTAACTCCTAACAAAAAATGTGTATTGGGGCATAATTTTTTTTTTCTTTGAGGGGGGTGGGGGCACGTTTTGTGAGATATGTGACCTATTCAGGCCATTTAAAGAGAAAAGGTATTTTTGAGTGTGCAGTTTTTCAATTGAAGAGACCTTTACGAGCACATTGTGGACCCAGACAAAATGATTCCAGTTTACAATTTCAGGGGATGAGCTATGAAACTAGTACCTGTTCTGTTTTCAGGCCAGTAGTATCAGACGTGGCAAGTTACAAAGATGCTAATCTATTTGTTGTTTCAGCTGGGACCATGGCTAGCAGTGGAGATTCCGGACTTGATACAGAAGGGCGTCTTGAAGCACAAGGACGACAAGGAAGAGCAGCAAGCGTCGTAGACCTTCTAATAAAAGGTTGTCTCTTATAACCACGCGACCCAGAGCACTGTTAGTGGTTGTCTACGGATGTAAGGAGCGAAGGCCATTGAAAATTGTACCTGTGGCACACTCACATAGCTATTTCTTTGTTGTTCAGTGCATTCGTCTGCACATTTAGGAGTGTGCTTAGAACAAATGTCAATACGAGAAAAAGCTGCTCACACGATTTCCCTGGCTTTTATTTCTTTTTGTATGAATTGAATTCCATTGGTACTCCTATGCAGGTGGGCACTCCACCTATAGTAAGTAAAGATCATAATTTTGGTGCTTTGCATGTCACCGGTGTGAAGCTGGGATTGATAGTGCACTGGACTTACTTTCTGGTCTTTACCTAACTCTTATCACATCATGCATCACGACAATCGCATTGCATGTCTAACTTACCTAGAAAGAACCCCCACATAGCCTCCAAAGGACAATAATCTTGATGGCGCAAACAATATGTCCTGCTATTCTGAACCGGCAACAGACTATAGCAGGCTGCCAAACCACCTAAAGTCCCGTGATAAAATTCACGCTCCCAAGTACTGCCAACCATTGTTGTGGAAATGCGCAAACCATGTGCCACGAGCGGGTGCTCTGCCGCCATTCGCTTCCAAGGGCTGCTCATTTCAGTGCTGCGCCACCATTCGCTTCCAAGGGCCGCTAGAGACACTGGACTCGTGCATTGGCGCATTGGTACATCGATGTGCATTGGCACATCAAGGGGCTTTAGTCCCACCCACACCCAGCCAGCACCTTCTAGTATAAACAGCTCTACCACTAGTGATATTCAGTGTTTCCTTGCAATAAGGAAACCATAGCCACATTTATAAATTATATTGGCTTTTCCGCGCATAGCGTTAAAGGGATGCTGAACCAAAATTTTGGGTGGAAATTCTTGGTCGCAATGGCATACATAGCATGTCCTTTACTTCTAAATGACGTTGTTTTGAGCGAGAAGGCGTATAAAATTGAATAAACACGAAAAATACAATTTTACGCGACCCCCGGTGAGTGTCGTGGAAAGCTCGCTTCGTGACATGCGCATTCTCATTCGCCTCAAAAGACAGACGGAGCCAAGCCAAGCCAGGTGCGAAGCCGGGTGGCGTTTGTTATTGTTAGTACCACGCGGGCTCTGCCCGTGTGGTACTAGTACCAGCCGCTTTGAGAACAGCCGCCGAACGAAGAATCAAGGCGAGCACCAACGAACGAGGAGAATGCGCGGAGGCACCAGGGGCCTGGGGGCGCCGAGAATGCGCACGTCAGTTCCGCTACGCCTGCTCTCAGAAGGACTCGCTCGTGCCGGCGACTTCCGGCCGAGGATTCACTCTTAATTCAAAGAAATGCAATAATTCGGGCCCCATCCGATGAAGTGTCATGATGAATTAGTGTTTGATCACGCAGCAAATGCAATGCGAGCCACCCTGGCCGCCTGCTTCATATAGCCTGTCCAGAACATGCTTTAGTGGTGCCCTCTTGAGCCGTCGACACGGAGTGCGGCAGCCACGAGTGCTCACCGAGCTCACTACCCCTCCTCAAGTTCACGGCCACTCAAGCGATCAAGGACATCATGTAGGAGGTTATTAATGCGAAAGTATTAACTGTCCCATGGAGTGAACTGACGTCATCAGTTTGAAGCGCAAAAACAGCACCTAGTTTCCCTGATCCCAAAGGAGCGAAGTAAAGCTGAATTTCGCCTTTGGTTCCAAAGGCTGGCGCGCCTTGACGGGGCTCCCATTGGCCGCTGTGCTCATCAGTTTCCACGACCGCTCGCCCTATGAAGCTGCGTGTCCATCAGCGCGCTGTTAACACAAAGCGTCCAAGGTGAGTGTGCCCAGGGGAGCACGCGCGCTGACCGGCAACAAAGTTCTATGCAGCGGATTAAAAAGGGAGCGGACAAGCGGCTTGCATGCTTTCATATTCAAAACTCGTAAAACGTGCTTAGGTGTACCTCGAGCTTTTTTTTTTTTTGTTCTTGTAATTTTAATTTGCCTATAACTTTTAAAACAAAGCGAAATTCAAGAAAAGAAAAGTTTCCTTAAGGTACTCCGTTCAGTGCACTCAGGTTCGTTGCAAATTAAAAAGCTGTAAAAAAAAAAGTCCTTGCAGGGCATCTTTAAGGAGCTCGTTTCAAAGAAAAGCCGGCATTGGTGGTGCGACGCGAAAGTCTTGATTGGTCAATAGGGTCGGGACGTCACAGTCACATGACCTTTCACAGGAATTTCAAACAACCCACAACGCTCACTTGAAACGTGGTGCCACACATGCAGTGAAAGTGATTAAATGTGAATTAAAGGTCGCCGCATGTCAAATGATTTAACTTTATAAAGCAGTTTATTTGCCTTAAAGAAAAATTTTAAGGAGTTTAGGCAGGATTTGAACCCACGACCCTTTGGTTGCAAGCCAGACACGCTGAGTAGGCCACGAGAAGCGAATTGCAAGGCGATGCAAACAGGGCCCGATATTGCTATCACATTCCACTCTCAAAGGCAAAGCTGAAGTGTCCTCTAGAGGTGGTGAGCTGGGCTAGTTGGTAAGCATTATACATGGTTAAAGTCGGCGAGCAGTGTGAGGCAGGGCCGTACCCAGAAAAAAATTTCGGGGGGGGGTTTTCGGGGACAACGGCGGCCATTTTGAAAATATCTATTGTCTTATTTTTGCCTATGAATCGTGCATCGGTGGCATATAATGGAGAGTTATAGCAAACCGAAGAACCGGTCCCGGTTTGGTACCCGGTAGCCGACCGGTGCCACTGCGCGTGCACAGAGGTGGAGATTAAAATCGGCTGGCTGCAAGTGCACCGACCAGGGCCATACCCAGAAACAAATTTCGGGGGGGGGGGGGTCAGAACCCCCTAACCCCCCCCTGGTTACGGCCCTGGGAGGAAACTAGAATTCAGCGTCTCCTCCTGTATTATTCTAGTTTCATCACGGTGCTTGCCGACTTTAACCATGCATATTAAGGGGTGTTCACACGAGGGAGAAATCCCCGGGATTTCTCCCTCGTGTGAATACCCCTTTAAGGGGGGACACTACCCAGAAAAAAAATTTCTGCAAAAAAGTTGATTTTGAAAAATTAAATATTTACACCCACCAACATCTAGAGTATTCCCAGAAAGCTTAATTAGTGTACACTGCATAGTTAATTTTTTATAAATTATTTTCTGTCTACCAAAGCTAAAGAAAAGGCAGGGTTTCGAGCACTTTGGAATTTATACCAAAAAGTGGAACGGAGAAAGATGTGTTCATTTGAGTCAGTCCATCGTTTGATAATGACAATACAGGGAAGGCTCATTCTTCACTTCCTGACTGAAATTTAGTAAAGATTGCGGCTATGGGATTTTTTTGTCACTTTACGGATGTCTTTTATAAAAAAATGTTGGCATTTTGTCGAAGACAGAAGACCGAAAAGTTGACCAACTTTGCATAAGAGAAAATTAAAATAAATTACTTTTTACAACAAAAAAAAACTTTTCATAGCTGCACCTCCTAGGCATTCTGCTACATATCTAGCAAACAGAAATCTTCAATATTGCGATAGGTTTTCAACGATAGATTCCAATTTCCTTCCCATCCCACAGACCTGAAATTTTGTTATGCACCCTCTAGCATGACCAGCAGCCTACCCTGTAAATTTCATTAATTTTAAGCCAAGGGTTCAAAAGTTTACCCTCCCAGGGGGTGTGTCCTTTAAGTTTTTTTATCACCACAGTATAAATCATATTGCCTTTTTACCACCACATTTAAAAGGAAAGGCTTCTGCACCACCTTGGTGGGACAAACTACCGCCTAACGCCACTTGTCCATCCATCCAATCGCATATAATCATGGAGGTTAGCACATGCTGCCACACCTTGCATAAGAATGCTTAGTACTCCACCCATATTTGCAGCGAGTAGGTAGCAATGACATATTTGAGCACGAAGTCCAAAAGTACTGTGCCACTTTATTGTCACAAATTCACCGCATAAAAAAAATAAACAATTTACAGCCAACAAAATTGCTCGCAATATATTTAAATAGCCCACACCATTTATCTATCTGTATGTACAGAATATTTTTTGAATTGCCCCAAAAACGGAGAACTTTTCAGAACATGCAGCAAACAACGCTGTAGAAGATTCAGTGGTCAGCAGATGGTGGCAAGTGGAATGTTACACCGAGATGTACGTCGAGACCCACGTCAATGTTTATTTCTAAGAATACCCCCGCAAATTTCTTGAGAGAGAGGGAGAAAGGCGCTCCCACGCAACGATGTGGCTGGGACCCAGTTCCGGTGCACCCTCCCTCTGTACGGCCATGTTTTGTTGCGCACCCCGGATGAATCTCTTGCCCCTCCCACAAACAGTGGCCTTGTCTCGAAGAATGGGTGATGGCTGTGGCACTCCACCAATAAGAAGGGAGGGGTGCTCCTCTGGCAACACTGGTTTCTGGCAGTCTGTGGGGGTGAGGTCCACTCCATGGGAGGGGAGGGCAAGGCGAGGCTCGAGATCTGCACTCAGTAGAACTTCTTGGCCGCCGCCTCTTTGCTGCTCCTGTCGCCATGGAAAGGCGCACGTCCAAAAGTCAGATTTGGGTTTTTTTTGGGCCAAACCCAGCACTTAAAAAACACCCAAACACAATTGCCCACGAAACTGAAATCCCGATTACATTACGCCTTCTCCGCAATGAGCCGCCAACGGACTGCGGGCACTTTGGCCGGGATTTGAGTCTGCCAACTGGGGATCCCCAGGGCCGGTTTGCTCATCTTGCGGACGGGGCCGCGGCTGCGGCCAAGAGGGACTTTTCTGTCAAGGAACTAGCTCCATGGGGACAAGGAAGTACCTAGCGTCCCTGCCTAATGGCGGAGAAATCCATATCGCTTCAAGCACAAAAGCCTAATTTCGCCCGCAGAAATTGACTGCAGGGACTTTCAACTGGAGTCCAACTGACCACCCCTTTATACTGTAGGAGCGGCAGGTAAAGTTACGGCCAGGGAGGGTAAATATGACCTAAAATAAAGAAAAAAAATTATGCGAGATAAAAGCGGTGGCAGTATATTTATCTACCTCCGCCAGTGCCGGCGGCTTGCGCCTTCTGCTGTGGTCGGGAGGTTAGAGCGCTGGTACTTGACGTCGCGGCGTAAAAGTCCCGGGCTCAAATCGCGCCAGAAACTTTTTTTTCTTTTTCTTCTTGTATTTGACTGCACTCCCACTATGACTGTAGACAAGGCCCTTTGAGCTCTATAGAATCATTGAACGGGTAGTTCTGACTCACCAGTTCATTGTTCATGAACTCGGAAGAGTGCGTACATGTCTCTAGCTTCTAGCTTTCTTTACAAAAAAAAAAAAAAATGCCAACTTTTGCTACACTTTTTGCATCTGCCATACTCTCCGCGGAAAGTTAAAGGGCCCATGAAACAAATTTTGGGCTGGGATAAATCAATTTAGATGGGGATTTTACTAATAGCACTTTGTTCAGTGGGCAAAAACAAAACAAAAAAAAAGGTAGAAAGTCAAAAGCCTGACTTTCGGTACGAAAATTTTAAAACACAGCAGACTATTTCGTACCTCCTTCCCTTCGTAAGCTCTCTGCCTTTTCACTGTGATACATCCACGGTCCCCAAAGCGCGTCACCGGGTCCAAACGGACTTCACACGACACCGGACCTCACCTATTCCCTTCACCCCTAAGCTGACATTGTGGTGGAAGCTACGCACTTGCCAGACCAATCAGCCGCCTCCCTTTCATCACCTGACCTTATTCTCTACGTGTGGGTATGCGCGAGAGAGCGTGATCACGTGGCAAAAGTGTGGCTGGCCCAACGAGCACGTAGCTTCCACAACACTGTCAGCTTCTGAGTGAAAGGGGTGGGGAAAGCAACTTTTGACGGAATTTTGAGCGACGGGCTAATCTTCTAGGGGGACAGTGGCTGTGTACAGGTACACAAACGAGAGTTCGAGCAAGAGGCGACTCTCCCCTTTCCGTCTTCTTGAACTGTTTGGTAGAATGCACGATTTATGAGTTGAGGAGGAAAGCTAAACAGAAAAAAGTTAGAAAAAGCGTTTCATGACCTCTTTAACAATATCTTCCCATGCCCATCTCTTCGTTCGCCAGGTAACTGTGCTGCTGAGTTTCTCTAGAATTTGTTGTTTCCGTTTTCCAACTGCTCTAATTTTGACCAACTGACTTTGGTCACCTAAAGTGACCAAAGTCACTTTAGGTGTTTGCGTTAGCGAGATGGTTTGGGATGTCGCCGCCAGATTCATTTTTGCATTTGGCTGTGATTGTCTGCTATTCTAACGAAAATTCAACAAGTAATGTGTTAATATTACATTACGATTGCCAAAGCAAAATGTGAAAAGTAAAAATATACCTTTGATCACATTCCATGCAAGTAAAAGTATGATCTCTGATTTCGGTTTTACTACTTTCTCAGACGTTTGACTTGCTGCCTTGCCTGTAGGATTTTGCTCAATCAATGCATCCACAACTGCTAGTCTTTTTTCTTTGCTTATTTGATGGACATTTTTTTTTTTTTTTTAATTGTCACAACTGCAGTTTTTATTAATACTAAATAAGCGTCTCCTGTTATTGAAAGGAGTCGTAGCAAGAGTGTTGTATATTTAAAAATGCATAAAATTATAGTTGCTGGGGAAAGGATGCTTGCTTCGGCTCCATTTGTGCGAAAGCCATACCGATGCTGTTACCTTGGTTTCCTTTTCATGAACATTATGAAACGATTGTATTAGCGCATTAACTTGCCTTAATCCTTTCTTTTTTCTTCTTGGTGTTTTGATTGATCAGGTGGGACTAACAGTAAACACCATGTAAGGCGCAGTAGTGCAAGTGGATGATTCATAAAAAGGATCACAGTTAAAAAATGAGATGCGAGTAAAATACAAACACACAAAAAAAGGAGTGCCTAGCGCGATTTGAATCCGGAACTTTGACGCCGCGACAGCAAGTACCGGCGCTCTAACCTCTCGACCACAGCAGAAGACGCAAGCCACCAGCACTGGCGGAGGTATATAAATATACTGCCACCGCTATAACCTCGCATGGTTTTTTTTCTTTATTTTGGGTCATTTTACCCTCCCTGACAATAACTTTACCTGCCGCTCCTACAGTATAAAGGGGCAGTCAATCGGACTCCAGTTGAAAGTCCCAGCAGTCAGTTTCTGCGAGCACAATTAGGTTTTTGTGCTTGAAGCGATACGAATTTCTCCGCCATTAGGCAGGGATGCTAGGTACTTCCTTGTCCCCATGGAGCTGGTCACGTAACATAAAAATCCCACTTGGCCGCAGCCGCAAGATGAGCGAACCGGCCCAGGTCGCCGCTTTGCCTCGGAGTCAGCTAGGTGGTTAAAGGCACACATCCATTGATGAGACTAATGACACAGCAGTCTAGCATTGTGACTGGGAACGCTAAGTGTAGTGAACCAAACTTATAGAAGGCCTAGCTTCCTCAGAGCCATATATGTAGAGAGTTCGGCCATTCATTGGGGAAGTATAGGACACAAATGAGGAGACACCATTGGCCGAGAGCGTGCTGGGCATGTTCCAGGGTGTCTTTACAAATTTGAATGTGACCAACCAGAAGTCAGAAATAAAAAAAATGACCTCATCTCCATGTGGTGAATGATGTTGATTAAGGCAAAACTCTGGTATTGCCGATTTTTTTTTTTTTTTTTTTTTTTGCTCATAGGTAGTGCTGAGTTCTGGGCTGCGTTTCGACTTCATTATTACTGCTTTATGGTCAGTGAAATGCAGAGCCACTGGTTCTTCTAGCGCTAGAAGCCGTGGGAACGCATCTCCACCGCTTAAGTTAACGGTTCATGTCAGAAAGAGAATGTGTGGTATGGAACGTGGTTATATATGCATTTGACCGCAGCGCCCTCTCGTCTATAAACGTTGAGCCAATGCATGCAAAGTTTAACGCGATTATATACGCATTTGACCGCAGCGCCCTCTCCTGTATAGACGTTGAGCGGCTACATGCAAAGTTTCATCCATGACAGAAACCCCAGCTCTCGAGTTACTACCACATCTCAGAGCCCCCTGCTCGTCTCGCAGTCACGGCCGAGTGGTTAAGGCAATGGACTAGAAATTCATTGGGGTCTCCCCACACAGGTTTGAATCCTGTTGCCTGCGCAAACATTTTTTCTTTTTATGTGAGCACGGATGCCGGCCGGACGGTTGGACGGACGGACAAGGCTAGACCCTAAGGAGCTTCGCCCCTAATTCCCTGGCGGTGGTTGCGAGAAATGAAATGAACAGGTGCGTCGGAGTAACTCTCGGTGACCGAAAATATGGTGCACGTGGTGTTTCAATCACGGTCATCCAAAATCATGGTGGAAGAGCGCAACTGGCGGAACGATTGACATAATCCGTACACCAGGCGCCAAGGGCCGGGAATTTGCCGTCCGAGCGGTCACGCTCTGTCAAGAGCGAAACAGAGCAGCACATTCGTTTCTTACATCTTCCTGCATGATCATACAGTGGAATCTAGTTAATTCAAACTCGCGGATTATTCAAACTAACATGCAGATCCCGTCCTATGTGTTTCTAGGAAGGAAACTCCCGGTAAGTCAAACTTTGCATTATTCAAACAAAGTTTTGGTCCGCCTCAGGTTCAAATTAACGAGATTTCACCGTAATCAAACATCACATGCACCCACACGCTTATTAAAACCATATACCTATGATTAAAACTGTTTCTCACTACCACCGCCAGGGGATTCTTTTTGGCTTCTGGTTGGTCAAGAGATCATGTCAAGCCCTCTTTCTGGGTCTGGCGCATGCCCTGGCTCTGCCCGCACCTCCCATTGACCAAGCTCTCTCTATAAACGGCTCCTATCTTTCTTTTTCGTGTCTAGCACACGAGACGGTTGAGCTGTGGCACCGGTCAACATCCTGGCCAACAAATTTGGTTCTCAAACAATAGCCTAGTCTTATAACAGCTAAGTGGGCTGTGTCAGTGCCAAATGCAACAGAAATGTTTTATATTTAGTGTGAACAAAATTGAAAAGCTCTTGCTTTTCGATTTTGACACACAAAAGACATTTGACAGAGCCACCTTCTCGCCCTGCAGATAACAGTCAAACTTCGAGCCGAGCGCCTGCTCGAGCTTGGTCTTCGCATACTTTAAACAAATTCAGTCAAAGCTGGTGGGAAGGACCTGAAAAGACATCCCGGTATCCTCAAAGTTGCAGCCGGTGTTTTGCAAAGAGTCTTTGCCAAGCCTCATTAGGAAAATTACAAGGTGGGTTCTTGCATGGCTCCAAGTTACTACCTATTCGGGGGAAAAAACAATTAACACCTGGCAGTTACTTAACAATATTAAGCAGGCACCGTTTGGTTGGGGCAGTGGTTGTGCAGCAGCAAATGGTGCCCACCAGAGACAACTCACCTGTACACCAAGTAGCCCAGCGTGACAGCCAACTGCAACGTTGCAAACAGCAAGAAGTGGGTAGTGCTGAGGCAGGATGTCGCGCAGCCAGTCCTCTGCAAATGCATCGCACGGCACACTAATATTTAGTCCAGCTCCTTGTGGTCGGCAGTTGTTTTAGTTCAAGACCAAGGTTAACTTGCTAAATTAAAATGTCACCAAGCTTGGTGTAATGTCGAGGCACGTCTCGTTTCACGCTCGCTCTGTTTGCTTAGGAACAACCGATCTGTCGTTCCAGGCAAGTACCCCATAATCCAAACTGGTATTGGATCGGATCGTAAACTCGACTTTTTGAGAAAGCCTGGCTGGCGCCCCACTTGCCTGTGGCTGGTTGTTGGAGACATCCCGGTGCATGCTGGCCACGCTGTCCCGCACCTGGTGGAGCACTTGCAGCTGCTCGGCCGTGAGGCCCTGGGTGCCTCCCGCCCCCTGGTGTTGCAGGGTGGCCGTGCGTTGATGCACCTCGGCCACAAAGCTCTTGACCTGAGCCACCGTCTGCAACAGCTCCCGCTGGCTGCTCAGCAGGGACTCTGCTTCGTGCCTCTGCAGCGACGGCACTCCGCCCATCTGCGGTGGCGGAACCCCGCCCACGGCCACGCCGGCGCCGCCAGCCGACACCAGCGATAGGGTGCGCTCCTGGCGCCCGAGCACCTCGTCCAGCTTGCGGTGCAGTGCCTTGAGCCCCTCGAACATGTGGCTCTGGCCCTCGAAGATCTGGCGCAGCTCGCGCTGCTGCTGCGTGTCGTAGGCCTGATCAGGGCCGTGCTCCATGGCCTGCTTGGCGGCCTCCTCTGGGTGTGTCTTCCGGTACTCCTCCTTCTGCTTCTCCAGCTTGTCCTTGTACACCTCATACTCCTTGGAGAACTTCTCCTTCTCTGAGTCGGCCATGCCCTGGGCCAGGGCCGGCTGCGTGCCCTCCGCGTGCAGGCTCGTCGTCAGGAACTTGAGGGCGTCGTGGTCGTCTGCCGAGAGAGGCATTTCGTTATGACACACGTATGCTCCGTTTCGCCGCAACTTGGCAAAACGGCGACAATAACGCTCCAGTGAGCCACGCAAAGCGTCGAGGAGACGATCGTCGGAATGCGCTCCTCCGGTGGAGAACTGTCACATTCTTCGCTCCGTCGCTCTAATTAGCTCAGGAAGCTCGGGCGACGTCATTTCACTCTATTCAACCGTTTTAACATTTCTGGATGACGGAAAACTGTTTCCTGCAATTTCTGATTAAGCTTTTCGATAACTGGCAACAACAATTTCAGGCACCTAGATGGCTGAACTGTCATCACTCTGAAATGTAGCTTACCGTAAAATACCGAGAAATGTCCCACTCCCAGGAGGTAACCCGCCCCATTTTTTGGCATGATTTGCTATTTTCTTTCAAACACCGAAAGATGGCCCACTCCCGGCAGTCATAGTGTTTGGATCAATGATGACCTCGGCGTAAATGAGTCTAGTTAGCTATGGCGGGATATAAGCGAATGTTGCTGGCTGGGAAGTACAGTCATGTTTGCTCCATTGCCCCTCGCCGCGATAACAAGTTTGGCAGGGACACATGATCTAAATATAGCATTTTTGAAACTTTTTCGATTGCATACCTTATTTTCCTCACTTTCACTCCTTATTTTCACCCAATTTTCTCTCCATTTTAGTTAGGCTACCTTGGGATATTATGGTATTTAGTGGCTCTAGGTGCGCCGACTCAAAGGAGAGGTTTTCAGCACACCACTCCAATGACATGTGCAAGCTTCACTCTGCTCAGGCCATTTCACATGTTGTGCCTACAAGCCGTTCACCCATTTTCCCTCGCTAGTTGGCACAGATAAATGGGGTTAGGGCAACAGGGCATAGCAACAAAGTATGTATTTGGAAGGCAGGTGTTGCAATGAAATTCACTGCCATGCCTTGTGGCGATTGAATGCCACAGGCAGTAACCAACCTCCTACTTGACTCCAGGGTAGACATTACCACCATGTAATGGATTGAGTTGGCTGTCTAGAGGGATTACTTGTAGAAGTTAAGCTAGACTTCTGGCTCTGGCAGATCACCAGGGCAAAATCTTAAGCACCATTACAGATAGTCTATATGCTCTCGGGAATATTGTGACAGCTGAAAGGAAAAGGAAGTGTGGAAAAAGTATCAAAAATGACTCTGCACAACAATTTAGCCAGTTTGTTTTATCGATTGTGTTTCCACCCTTCAGCTAAAATTTTGTTGGATAAAAACAATATGCACTGACAGTTATAGAACGGCAGGAAGGCTTGCCACTTTCATGGACAGCTAGATGCCTTACATTTTTGAGAGATGGCGCAGAGGTGAATGAGATCGATCTACTGCCCGCCTCCAAATTGAACGGAGTCACTTACCTGCCAGGCCCCCCGTGGCGGCGGACACCCCAAAGTGGCCGTTGGTCGGCAGGAACACGTTCTCCGCACGGAAGCACATCTCGTAGTCACCGTCGTTGTTGGTGTTGCCGTTGTGGAACAGCACCTGCGTCCGAGAAAAGGCAATGGGGGCTCGTCTCCGGGGGAAAGCACGGGGGTGGATGCCACAGGAAGTGGCATCCACCCCCGTGTGACTGGGACAGCTAGTACCGTTACTATGCCTGGTACCCACCCCTGTTGCTATGTCACTGCCTAGCACAAAGGTGGCTCAAATGTCGATCCTCTGAATTTTAGCTCCCTCAGTGGTTCTTGTGTCCCCCAATTCAAGGCCGGTGCCATCGAACTGCACTCACCGTGAGGATGTTGTTGAAGTATTCTATCTTGGCCCTGACAGGGTAAGGCTTGTTGCGGAAGTCCCGCTGGCATCCCGCTAGCTGCTGGTTGGCACCGTCACTGCACGGGAGAGGCTCGGCTTTCACTTGCGTTTAAACTTTCACAACAGAAAGAATATGACCGAAAGAGCTGAAGATGAGCAATTTAGATGCTTTGGGTCCTAAAGCTAGTTTACTTCTAACAGAAAGGTGAATGGAGGTTCTATCCAAATTACACATGCAATCATATGAACTGATTGGATTGCTCGAGTCGGAGAAGTACTTCATTCATTCTTTTAAGTCGAGACTGAGGCCAATGCTACAAGCGCAAGCGCTCGTTCAGCAGAAAAATGTTTCAAAGCAGTGACCTCGTGCTTGTCACATTTGCTGCAGTCTCAACTTAGAGGCCCCAGAAAAAAATTCATTGCGTCATAACTTACTGTCAAATATTGCTAAAAAAAATTTGTTGCGCTTTTTATTGTTTATACAATGCATAGACATTTTCTGCCGTATTCTTTTATACGGTTATTATAGAAAAGTTGGGCAAAATAATCTGCCATAAATCTAAAATTTCCTCTCAAAGTATAAGAGACAGGCAAATAAAATGCTTAGTAATGTTAAGGCTTGGGCTAGTTGGTAATTCATGCTTGGATGGAACAGCATGGATATACAGTCATACTCACAGGCATACAAGAAGGAAAAAGACTCGCAGCGCTTTTAGATTTGTGTTGTGCAGTTAAAGTTACACTATTTTAAAGTTCTGAAAGAATGTCCACCCAAAATGAAGAGATAAAGGTGAAAAACATGGGGTGGGCTATCTTTGGGGACGCTACAGCAAAACTTTATCAAAAAACGGCTACAAACCACGTGACGCGGGAACTGGTACCGTAGATCCGCGTTTCACGATGCGATAAACACGCAGGAATTCGCTACGAACTACTGTGTCACGGAAAAGGATACCGCAGCTGGCAGACGCTGCAGATCCGGACCTGCAGAAATCCACCGAGAACTCTCATCTCACGGACATAGCAGATGCAAGTTTTATGGTGCAATTAACCAAGCGGGAACCTGCTACAAACTTGCCTGTCACGGGAACAGATATCGCGCGCGCAGATCGTGGACAAAAGGGCAGGAATCCGCTACAAACTTGTATGTTACGGGAACAAATACTGCAGATAGCGAAAGCAGCAGAATCATATTTCACAATGCAATATACATGCGGGACGAACTCGCGTGGAATGGAGATCGCACACGCAGATCGCAAACAGAAACGAGGAAATCTGCTAAGAACTAAAAACAGATACACGTGGGAACAACTCGCGTGTTACGGGAGCCAATACCGCGTGCGCAGATCGCGGACAAAAACGCGGGAACCCACTACAAACTCTCCATCGTCAGATGTGCCGGCACAGCAAATTGCGCGGTTGATGCGATTCCCGTCGGACATTGCGTGACCTCCGACGGAGATCGGGGAATGGGCGATGTTTCGGAATTTTTATGTTAAAGATGTTTAGCCAGAAAAACGGGATGGACGATCTCTTGGGGGCGAGCGTTCCCTCTGAACTTCATGGTAGGCATAAAAATTTCATCCAAATCGAATCAAAATTGACTGAGAATCTGCAAAGTATGGTGTGCCCCCTTAAATGAGCAATCGTATCAGCTCATTGGATGGCTCGAGTTTCAAAGCTACAGTCTGTTGCAGGTGCCCCTTCCACAAAGCTCTCTGCTGTCATGATTGCCGATTTCCTCCTCTCCAGCATTTGCTCTACTAAAGTGCAAAAGAGTCTAAGGCCTCGTGGGAGAAGCTAGTGCTGCTTTTCTTAAGCTGTAAGAGACTATAGTTTAGTCCTAACAGAAAGATGAATGAAAATCGTATTCACATTAAACAGGCAATCACACAACTTGATTATGTGTTATACACAGAGGGTAAACGTGAGCAGCTAAAGGCTAGTTTTAACCAGTAAATGAATACACTGTGGGTTTCGCCTTTGGGCATACCATGCAGAAACACAGTGGGTTCCTTGGGTTCGGATAATGACGCACTTATTGACGCATACGCCACACGTCTGGCCGAGGGCCAATGAAGTCTGAGATAACGGCGCTGTCACTTTCAACAGGATCACCACTTGGAGTCCGGGCTGCCGCTATTGACAGTATCACGGAAAGAGGAGGGTCAGAACAAGAAAGGAAGGCTCCGTCGAGCACAGCCTCCCCCAGCGAGAGTTGCCCCCTGGTCGTTGGTTTTGGCAGTCTTGTATAACCTGCGGGAATGGATGCACCCGGGGTGGTTGGATGTAGGTTGGCTCCCCGGAGGGGCGGACGCGTCCAAGTATCAAGATCCTGAAGGGTGTGCCTTAAGTAGATTACCCGAGAAGGGAGGGGGAGAGCCGCCATAAGGGAATATGGGCTCGCCTCGCAAGCAGGGCGCGCCTCGACATTGCAACGTCCCACGGCCTGCCTGAGCTGGGCCATTTATCCATAGGGACGCAGGGAACACGTGGTACACACACTACCTACGAATAGGTATACGAATTTGAGTGAGAGAGAGATTTCTCACACAAATTCAGGACGAAAATTCATTTTTGCTTAAAAACGAAAGGTGAGTATGAGGTCCATTACACTGTTAAGACGTTAGAGGAGACATTGACGAGACCTACCTCTCGTGATCGTAGGCCTTTGTTCCGTCGTTCACCATGCCCATGATGTATGGGTTGTTGTGCTGCAAGAAATAAGAGTGCATCTCAATGCATAATTTCAACGCTGAAAGCAACATTCCATTCCAGCCTCCTACAAGTGCCTCCGCAGAGCTGACATACTGAGAAGCATGACTGTACGCTCAGTCTGCCATGTTGCATGACCCATCATCCCAAGAACTTTTTGCACAGTTTAGTTACACTGTGCGACACTGATACTGCAAATACGACACTGGGCACTTAATTTTACCACTTAGGTTACCTCACTACTAGATTCATTTATAGCTTTTTGAGTCCAAGAAAGAAAAAAAAAAAAAAAAAAAAACGGCGACTGCTTGGTTACATCAACAGTGTTGCACTGTGTCCCTGTTCTGTGGTTTAAATCCTTTGGCCTTCCATTTTGCATCTAATAGAAGATTCAAACAAAATAAAAAATTACTCAAATCTTGCAGGGAGAACTCAAATGGGAACCTGCTAAGACCTCAAGAGTGGTGGCTGAGATTTCGCTAAGAAACTTAGCTCTTGCAAGGTCCCAAAAGAAACTTGTCTTCACTAAACATTGGCTGCTACTCTGAGGCTTTGAGGAAACTTCTTGCCATGCTTTCGTCTCTGTTTGAAGGAGCACAGCACTGACACCTGGTGCAGCTAGTAATCGAAGACGGGTGCCACAAGCACATGGGCTTCAACACTATATTTCGACCGCACTCGAGAGTTAGGCCGCAGCTGAAGAAAAATGGCTCACCTTGTTATCATTGTCGAAGGAATCGAAGAAGATGGCCAGGCCAGTCCACTTGTCGCTGCTTCCAAAGACAGGACCCTCTGCCTGCTTCTTGTCTGTGTACCAGAAGGCCTGAAAACAAAGAGGGTTGTTAGTCTTTCCGGTTTAGCCACACGATGCTGAAAAACAATGGCCAGTAAAAGGAATCTGAAATTGGTTCAGACTGGGAAACAGCGGCTGACTGCCACTTGCAACGTGACGATAGGCCGATCACACCAGTCAGTCTGGCTATGCCGTCGCTGTCGCGATGCGTCGCAGGAACTTCAATGCTTTCACCTGCAAAACAATTTTGCTGCTGCTCTGCTCGTGTGGAGCACAAGACGGCACTGGTGCCAGCCTCCTGCAGACTATGGTTATGGCGATGCCACGCATGCGTGGAACGCTTAGTGAGATTGATCAATTGGGAGGAGCAGCTGATTCACTTGCCCACTTCCCCCCAGCTTGCTAGAACAGACTCTCTCTCACATTGTGTGAGCTAAATGCAACGTCTGCATTGGAAATAAGAAATTGGAGGCTTTTGAAATAATAATTTCATATTTAAATAGTGCTCCAAAATGCCCCCAGATTTTTATAAAGAAAGGAACCCTAGAAAATCTGCAACAGACTGATTCTAAAAAGCTTTCTGCATGTACTATGACAGATTTTGCTAGTTCTGACGTACAGACGGTAACAAGTTCATGCTGCCGGCACGGCATAACGCATGCTTCGTGAAATGCTGCAGACACTTGAATGCCACAGAAGTTGCCCTTCCAGACAGACCACAGCCATTCTCATTTCTTGCTTGATGATTCCTGAAAAGCCTCTTATGCAAAACCAGCAGTACAAAGTGGCAACCATCTGCGTGTTATAGTTAAGTTCATTTTCTGTTCCAAAAGTTGCAGTACATTATTAACATCAAGCTCCAAGATTGCTAAAAAATAGCAGAACATTTGTCCATACCTTCCAGGGGCTCTTAATAACATTTTTAGCCAATAAACAAATTATGCAAATGCCTCATCTGCACACATAAGGCAGGTAAAACATATGACATTGGAAATCCCAGCAAGTGATAAAGTAGACAAGGCCTACCAATCAGTGGGCTACAGATTTTTCTAACTGTTTATGGCTACTTCTGGATAAACATTCAAAAATTTTCAACCACAATTCGATAGAGCTCGTCCGGAGCAGACTCGCACCGGAGATAGCTTGAAACATGCAATATTCATCACTTAAAGTTCTCAATGAGACAATGCCATCTTGCAACCATCATGTGATTACTGTGGTCATAGGCTTGCTAGTCCAAGAGTAACTGAGGACAGCCATACTGCGTTAAGCAAATGTTAGGCCAACACAAAAAGTGCAGAAACAGGGAGCTTGTGCCTGTTTCTATAAGCAACAAAATCTGGCTCAACCCAGCGGCCGAGAAACAAGTACCATATTTTCCAATATATACAAGTTGTCTTTTTTTCTAAAAATCTTATTGGTGCATTTGTTTCATAATACAATGCAACTTAAGTATTTTTTTTTATAAACAGCTAAATTTGACACTGTTTCTCGCTCAGTTCGTTGGCAAGAATATTAACCCCTCAACCGTTTTTAGTTTTGCGGAATTACTGACTCTCCCAACTGCTTGTCTTTAAAATTGCATTTGTTGCCTTCAAAATCAAACGTCTAGCCAAAAACAAAATTATAGCAAAATTAAAAGAAAATATTTGTTGGCAGAGTCACAAACTAAGCCGTGAGTGGGCCTGGTTTGTCCAAAGGGTTGAGTGTGTGGACCATCCTTAAAGGAGCTGTGCAACAATTTCAGGGCTTTGCTTAAATGAGTGTGGAAGTTGATGCCTGACACTTCTGAAGTGAACTACAGAAAATAGATTTTGCCTAGATACCCTAGTTTTTATTAAAAAAAAAAAAAAAAAAAAAATTGAAAAAGATCCAGATTTTTGTTACCTCTCAACTCGTACATTGTCTTCCGGGTCACAAGCGCAGTGACGTTGATGGGGTAGGCGCAGGGTTCTGGTAAAGTCCTCTCTCTAGAGCCATCAGTAAGCAGCGAGAACTCATCTGCTCGCGACCGTGTGACCACGTGCTGGCGGTTGCAGAGCGAACAATATGGTGAAAGGAGGAAAGTGTCATCCGGGTCCGGCCATACCCGTCCGGCCCTGTCCCCCTCCCCCTCCGGCTTCTGGCGGCTGTTCACGGTAGCAGATAGAGCTGACGGTTTTGCGGACCTAGGATAGATGGTGCCACTAAAACTCCGTATAAGTTTTGTCGATGATACCAGGTTTTCGACGCATTTATATTTATGTTGGAATGACAAGATTTATAGAAAAGTTACCTTTTATCGAGCAGGTACTCGCACGACTTGCTATCTTTCTACAAGGCCCCCATTGACGTCATGCCACGTGTTTCTCATGGCCGCCGCTCGCGGCTACAGGTCGGGGAATATTCTAATTTTTGCCTCGCTATTACGCGGCGGAATCGCAACATTTCGATCAAAGGAGGTGTGTTTTCTGTCATTTGTGACAAGGTGAACAATGTAAAATGTAGAAGATGCCAATTCTTTCAACGTTAAAATTGTTGCACAGCTCCTTTAATGGTTTGGGAATGGCTCCACGTTGAGGAGCTAGGCTCGTCCAAAACAGTTAGAGGGTTAAACAGGCTCCCGCTTGGGCATATATTGCAGTCAGAATACACACACTTGGGCTGATCAACTCAGTTTCGCCCCGCAGACCTTACAAATATCCAGGTGCGACTTTTGCAGCGGTGGGAGTTTTAGAGCGACAAATACCACGTATAACTTCCACAGTAGGAGACAGGAAAGGGTAGGGGATGGGAGAGGGCTCACCAGGCCGTCAGCTCCTATCCTGCCCGTACCCGTGGTGCGGAACACCAGCTCCACCTCCCACCAAGGGAACGACGTCGGCAGCTTGGACCAGATGGATCCTGTAGGGCGATCCGGGATTAGCACTCGGAGCGGCAGCTTTCCTAGCCACAGCTGTTAGACGTGGCTAGGCAAGCTAACAAAAAGGAAATGCAGAAATAAAAACTGTTTTCTGCATTATGTTACTGTTGAGCTGCTACTTGTGGAGACATCTCGCAGAAGGTAAAGGAAGTCACGTCTCAGCACTGGTTCCCATCCATAACGGCGGTGGCTTACATTTCTTTTTGGCAGAAAATTTATGGTAGTTGTTTCAAGTACTGGTTGCACAGGGGGCTCATTTTCAAGGCAATTCCTGGCAACTGTTTTGAGGTTAGTCCTTCACGGCTGTTCTAGTTGCTCAGTTAGATTTTCTATGAATGCTATCTCAAGAAACTTGTTTGAACGAAACTTCTAGGCCACCAAATTCCGCTCTAGTGCATTATAATAATAATAATAATAATAATTTTATTCAGCATAAGGTTGCAGGGACTGGTTATTATCCAAATATATAGGCTAGTGAATAACAAATCAACTCCAGCTAGTCTTGGTTAATAAAAAAAAAAAAAGAAAAACTGCATGTAGCCCTTTTAAATTAGATTATTATTATGGTCACTCAATCAATTCTGTGGAACAGTTTCTCAGCAAACGATAAAAAATAAATCGGTGTCTCGTAAAATACCTGTTGCGCAAATAATCGCCACACATCATGCTCGCCACGTCCGGAGGATGGTATTAAAAGCATAGCTGTCAGCAAGCATGCAGCTTGCGTTATTTGCAGCCCCAGTTGACACAAATATATGTATTTTCCCGGAAAGTTTCGGCGCCTAAGGTAGTGCTCAACGTCCCTACGCATTAATGTCACATCCCGTCCACGAGTGGTCAGGGTCAGCAAAAAGCGAAGGTGTGTATATTACCTTTCTTGCTTTTCAGGGAGGGCGTGATCCGAACCATCTCCTCACTGGCGATGCAATCTGCAAAAGAGGAAAAGAAACGCGCGTTGGGTGCCATGTCTTGCTGCACGCGGACGCTTCCCGTAAACTGGCGGTTCAAAGGGCAGGTCGTAGGGCTCGTCTCTTGTGTACAGTGCTCCTCGCATCCTGACGCGAGCAGCAAACGCTCCCGGGCGCAAGCCGCTTGCTGGGACCGCTGTCGGATCTTCTGCGAAGCCCTGCGGAGGTCTTCCGAAATCCGCTCGCTGCCCGCGTCAAAGCTGCCCAAAGTTAGCCGAGTCAACCAACGAGCAAACTACGGTGCGTCGAGAAGGGCCGGCGGTCTTTGGCCCATATTGGTCTAACGGCGAGGGAAGAGCCACGTGTACTAGAGGATGAGCGCTGCCAAAACCACTCACTGCCGCCGTACTCCCAGAAAGGCACCGATCCATCCTTCTGCGCCAGGTAGGGTCCCTTGAAACTGTACTTGTACTCGAATTTCCGGTGACCTATCTGCGTGGCGTAGAGTTGGACGACGAGAGCGCCTAAAAGCGCAGTCCGTAGGCAGTTCATCACCGCCGCTGCCATCGCGTGGCCACGACACCGTCCAGTTCACCGCTGCACTCACAAACACGTCGACAGGAGAAGAAGCTGGCCTGCCGGTATTCGTTGCCTGCCGGTGGAGTGGAGGGGAGGGGAATGAGAGAAGCCTGGAGAAGCGCCCAGGGATGCTGCCGCTGCCACGAAGTAAAATGAAAAAAAAAAAAAAGGCAAACGACAGGTTAGTACGGCAGCTACCATTCTTTGAATAAAAAATTAATTTTAAAAGGAGAGTCTTCTTCTTTTAAGCTGGTAGTTACTTCGATTAGTTTATCAGATAAAAAATTTGACACATCTATATTGAGCTTGTAGTTTCTACTACACCGGCTAGGTGACGCAAGCTATTGCCTATTTGCATTTTCTAGAGTCGCTAGTGAATGAGGCAAACAGTGCAAATTAGCGTGGCGAGCTTGTAAAGTTAATTAACGCAGTTATAAATTTGTGGAGAATTAGACCGAATGACGGTGAACTGGATTCAGGACAAAGATGGGGACTGAGCAGAAACATTCATTTAAAATTCTCCACAACCTTCCAGAAAATGGTAAATGTATGCACAAGCTTAGATAAGGTCCCTTTAGTAAAAGAAAAGAATCACATTTTCCCATTAAAATTTTCAAAAAATCACTTAGAGCTTATGAATAAGATATCGGTTCGGGCTGAAACTTTGGCATCTGGTTCGGACCTCTAGCACTATCTTTGGGCGGAGAATGAGCGTTCAGCGATTTTCAGTTTATTTTTGTGGTAGAAAAAAACCCTGAAGTTGTTTTCGTGGACACCCTGTATATTCCAACCATGCCAACAAACAAAATGCTCACGTTGCGAAAATAAATGGTTCCTGTTTCGGTTTCGTTCTTCAACGATTTGAAATCGCTCGCAAGATGTCGCTGTCGTCGCCTCGCGTTCTGAAACTTCTTTGTAATGTGTTCCATTGGAGACGCCGGTTTGTGCTGTTGTATTTTCTCTCCTAGTGCAGTGGTATCCCTTTTCACGCGAGGTGCACTCGGTTTGAACGGTCGCTTCTAGCTTTCATGCACAGCGACACAAATCCCGCGTACGGCGGTCGGTGGTTGAAACATGGCACTCAAGCTAGCGATCGGACTCTCGGAGGACGTTCTCAATGGAACCGTATTGTGAAAGTACAGCGTTAAAGGAAGTGTGTGCGTTTCAGATATGCTACGGTAGGGAGCACCGCAAGAAGCTATCGCGATAGCTTCTGCTACCGAACAAGCCCAGACTGCCCTGATGTGAATGATGCAGCAACCGCACCTCGATAATGCGGACACGACCAATATCTCGCTCTCGAGCAAAGCGTTGGACGTGAGTGGTTTTGACGCTACCTTCTCTGTCACGACGGTTCCCCGCATTACCTGCACTCTAGGCGGCATGCCATTCGCCTGCGAATACCATGAGCGCTCAAAACGGAGCGTTCGATCGACATTCAATAAGAACACGTTTCCGGCAGCCGCATTTTTAGTGTGACGCGAATTGCCCATTTGACGCGGTGCCGCAGCCGAACAACGCACAAAGGTGCAGAGAACGCAGGCTGATGTTTCGGCATGCGCCGCTTACCTGCACCGGTTTGTGACGCCTCTAAAATGCATCATCAGCCTCGGTCCTGTTCTTACTTTTATTTTTCAGGAGCAAAGCATGAGTGTTCTCGACGAACTCGTGGACGATGTCATTCTCGGTGCGTGCTTCGAAGTGCACAGGTCCGTCAAATTGGGCATATTTTTTCTGGACGAAGCGAAGGACGAGTGAGTGCGGTTCTGCTCTCTTTTGTGCTTCTTATTCATTATGAGCCCGTTCCCTAAATCCTGTTTCTTTACTTTTTGTTTTTCCCCTACGGCTTTAGTGAGAAGAAATATGGTATGTTGGTCTGTTCTGTTCTTTCATTTCCTTGGCAGAAGCGATGAACTCTCAGCAGCCTTGTTAGGATTGACCGAGTGCCATCTTTAATCTTACCTTCACATATTTCTTTTCCACAGAAATAGTCGATGAAGTAGGTTTAGATGTGTTTGGCCAAGTTCCACTGAAGAAGCAGTTTGAATGTGTCTGTCCAAACTGTCAGCGAAACTTAGCAGCATCACGCTTTGCTCCGCACTTGGAGAAGTGCATGGGCATGGGACGGAACAGCTCAAGGATAGCAAGCAAAAGGTATGCAATCTTGCTTGGTGGCATGCAGCAGTGTAATAAATCTACTACATGTGCGAATATTCCTTTCGCGGTTATGTAATGTGTTATCCGATAAAGTACACAACCTTATCCTTGACATTCGAGCTAATCATAATGGCGAACACACTGAAACATTGTAAATATCTTAGCTTAGTCATGTGATGACAATAATAAGCTTAGCTTATGTCATATTAACCTCTCTATTGGAAAACTTCCTGCCTTTGAAATTAGTGTCCAGTAGCTCTGCGGTCAATACCGGACGACGAGACACGGTGTGAGAAACTCTTCTCGTAAATTATTTTCCTGATTGGCAGCAATGTAGTTGATCTGGCCCTTCTAGGTGCTCCACTTAACTTGGTCACAGATTTCGTACCATTATCCATTGTTATTATCCACATGCTCGAGATGAAACATCTATATTAGAAAATTTCTGGACCACAATGCCCTGGTGTGATTCCACAATTTAAATCCCTCATGTTGCTTGAGGCACCAGACGAGTCTATTGAGCTTGTTTATTTAGAAGTTGCAAGAAGTTCAGTCCAAGTTACAGATAGTTACAGTTACCAAGAGCTAAAAGTACCCATTTACCAATTTGCAGCTACTGGTACCTAGGTACCTCACAACCCTGAATGAAACCATCCATATGAGATACTGTAAACGACTTAATTTTTGCAAGTATCTAATTTTCGCGAATTTTGCAAATCACCTAGAATTCACGAAAAATAAGTCTTGCGAACAATTCTGGTAAAATGTAAACACACTGGAATTTATATTGAGAACCCACCGCGTCACGAAAACTAGAACCCACAATTTATTCCAGAACTTAGTTTTGACCTAAATCTCGAAATATTGAGCCCGCAAAAAATATGTCGTTTACAGTATCTTGCAATTTTTAACTTCCCGTTATTACATAGACTGCAGAGAAAATAACCGTAACATCTAAAACACAGTATTGTTTATAGGAAATTAGTTTTTCAAGCAGTCTGCAATGAGATAAAAATGCTGTTTTTTTCAGGATTGCAAACAGTGGAAAGGCAGAAAGTGATGTAGATGACTATGACAATGACAGTGATTGGAACTACTCATCTGACAGAAAGTGTAAGTACATGCCACAAGGGTATGAATGAGTTCGACTTATAAAATATGAATAAATGCTGGTATATTTTGTGCATGTTACATGTTACAAAATGCAACATGACACTCCAACCTACTGCCTGAAATCAAGTGGCCCATATGCAACTTCTTTTTTCTTTTTAATATCCACAATTCAGCTTCCAAGAAAAGGAAAGACAAGAACTCCCCTCGTAGGATCAAAGGAAAGTCCAAAAATGGTAAGCAATATGTTTAGAAGAACTTGTAGTTGGACTAGTTGGTGAACATTGGAAATCATGGCGTAAGGCGCAAAAAACCGCGGACACAAGAGAGAATCTATATTGAAATCCCACCGCATTGCGAAGATTAGAACCCGCAAATTATTCCAGAACTTCTTTTTTTACTTAAATCTCAAAATATTGAGCCCCCCTGCATGTCTGATTTTTCTCTCGTGTCTGTTGTTTTTCGCACCTTACACCATGATTTTCAGCAACATCTTTGGCTGCAATCTTTTATTAATTATGAGATTCTTTTTTTTTTTTTTCCTAACTATGCAGGATATTTTAGAGTGGGCTAATGATTTGGTTTTCCTTCTTTTTGTTTGTAGGCGAACAGTCGGGCAGCAGCAGCGTCGTTGAAGGCGCAAACACAATCTCGAGCTATGAACCCCTCTCTATAGGTAGGTATGGCATTTCGTGCCACCTGAGGTTGAGAGTGAGGGGCACATCGTTGAGCAATTCGTACAGCTGTCGTTTCTGTCCTTGGTGGAGCTAACAGAATTCATTGGGGGTAGGAAAAAAGGAAAAAGCATTGTAATATCTGGTGGAAACACTTGTGGCACATGGATTTAAAACAACTTGGAACCAGCCAACCATTAAATGGCATCTCTAATCGTGTGAATGTAATACAGTTGTCAAGAGACATATTGGTCATCTTGATTACCCCTCTCAGTTTGTTGTTTTACTATCTTAAATTAATGGTTGGTGGCATCCCTCCCCCCCCTTTTGTTCTTGTCTCACCTAACATCTGATATGAAGACATTTCTTCAGAGTTCTTTTCTCATTTATGTTCTATTTTCAGAGGAAAGAAAGGCTTTGCTGACTCAGGTGAGCACATTTTTCAGTCACTTCGAACACATCATGCTGTGCATCTTGTAACTATGGCTGCAGACCCATCTGTTTGTTCCCTAACTGCTGCTTTGAGACGGCGTGTGCTGGGAGCTTGTTGCCTTTCCTCCATCCTTGCCAAATATTGGAATACTTAGAGGAGGTGTGGGTTTATGGCAAAGTTAGCCGAATAATATTGTGAAATAAGACAAGTCACTTTTTTGTTTCAGTGGAGGTAAGAAAATTGTACCTCATATCACCACATACGACCCTGAATCAATATGCAGACACACTTGATTGCAATTTGCTGAGCATGCAGACACGCACAATCTGCTTATATGGGAGCACACAGACAACCCTGGAATAACAGCAGAGTCATGTAGGGATATGGTACGTCGCCTAGCGTTGCTTTTCTCGAGAATTTTCTTGCCATAGAGAAAACTTTTTCCAAACTATCGACATAATTTGTTGCTGAGGGGTGTATGAAGGTGTAAAAAATTGCCCCTAAGTGTCGCTTTTTTTTTTTCATTAGGGTGTTTAAGATTATAACAGTGCAAATTATTGACACAGTGGTGTATCCAGGAATCTTTATGGGGGGGGGGGGAGGGAGGGAGGGGAGGGGGGGAGGGGGCTGAGGCTGAGGTGGCTGGGATGTTCATGACTTGAACTGGGGTTGTGATAGCTCTTGAAGAAAAACCAAGTTCGTATGAAGGGGACATTGCGGAACTTGTGGATTTCTAGTGAGGCATGGGAGATGAAGGCATTTACACAGCTGTATATTGTAGTCGAAAAAATGCCTGCCACCTCTTATTGAAAAGAAGTGAAGAGTCGTAGTCGCCGAACGTGACGTTCTGCGACTCGACTGAAAGGAGCCATAAAGCCGTACGGAATCAGCGGTAACAACAGTAGTCAATCACATTGTGATGAAACATGCTATATTTATTCGGATAATTATGTTACCATGTTTTTGGTATAACTTTATTTCGAAGTTTTTTGGTTCTCCTCAATTTTAATCAAGCTTGCTCAAAAAAAAAAAAAAGAGGGGGGGGGGGGGGTCTTTTCTTTTCTTTTTTTTTGAGCCAGCTTGATCAAAAATGCGGAAAACCGAAAAACCTCGAAATGGAGTTTTTAAATAAGAAAAGCTAAGCTTCACGGAAGGAAATCTTTATGAACGGATTTATTTCTGTTGACCCAGAATGCTGCTTTCACCGAACTGTCTGCAAAGCTGCTTCTTTCTTCGGGGAATCAGGCTCCTTATCTCGTTTCCTTCTCGTATCGGTGTCATTCAGCTCACATGGAGGTTGGGGAGTCCCACAACCGTGTCCTGTTTTCTTCAACATAATTCCTAACAAACGCCAGTTTTTTTTGTTCAACACCAAGAAATGACCGAATCTGTGGGGGTGGGGGTCGGGGGACCCACCCCAATTCGAAGAAAAATGAACCCCAAAAACACAAAACTATAATTATAATTAGGGTTTCGTGCTTTTTAATAATAACGAAATTTGAAAAACACTCGGTAAATGTTTTGTCATTTTTAATTTGTCTGAAGAAAACAAAACAAGCCAAGGACACTTTAGGTTAGTCTTGGTAAAACACCATACCAGCAATAGTTTTGAGAAGAGGCCACTCTAGTCACCTCTCTAACCTCGAAGCATTGACAAAGGTTAATCCCTCCAGGTTAAAATCCTTTGAGGCTTGAGCTGGTCATCAACGTTAGTTTAGGACAATTGGTCAGTATATTGAGGTATCTGGGCCAAGACAAAAGTCAAACTAAGCGTGTGACAGAGCCAGTTACTGTTGCGGTTTTCATTTTAAGGAAGTGGTAGTGTTTTTATGATTCTGCAGGTACTTGGGATGTCTTGCTCACAATTAAAAAGGGATTTCTGCATCTTTTGGTGCATTCATGTGTAGATAACATTTCTTTTTATTTGTAATTACGGAAAATTTGGGATATATCAAATTAAAAGTCTGACAAATGTTGAATCTCAGATAATTTAAAATTTAGCTGAAGTAATCTCCGACAAACACCTTCCCAGATTCGGCAAGAGTAGACTCTGGAAACGTGGAATCCTGTCTACATATGCTCTCCTTGAGAACATGTGAATAGTCAATCATTATTAGAAAAAGTTTTCGAGCATATGACAAGGCCCAGAGTATTCCTGTTCACATTAAAGGGGTACTACAACGAAATTTCGGCGCTTATTTTTTGGTCTATATGTGTTCAAAGGAGCAGTATCACATCGGACACATCAATATCTTGTTAAAAAAGACACGAAAAGAAATTTTAAAACAAATTAAACGATTTGAATAAGAGCACATGGTGGATGTCGCTAAATCCTCGTTCGTAATGCCTGTCTGGGAACCTTGACAGGTAGTGACGATAACTGTCTCGCTTAGAACTAAACATGCTTTGAACCTTCTGTCATCCCGACAGCTCTACGGCTAGCACGAGAGACAAGGGGACGGAGGAACTCCCCACTTAAAGGGACACTGACAGGGTATTTATGCTCGCCGAGGTTTTTAGTTGTACGTGACATATGAGAGCTCAACTACCCAGAACAAAATTTGCGGCTCGAAATTTGGTTTCTTTCCGCCCGAAAACCGCCGATCAAGAACTGGCCGGTTCGAGTCTCGCTCACTCTCTTTTTCGCGGTCACGGGCCGTTTTCTAAGGTATCGATGCGACCACCAAATTTAATCAAAGTCGTGGGTCACTGAAGGCACACACTCAATATTAAAAATAGAAAAAAATATGAAACCCATTTTTTGTGGCTTCTAAAAAGCTGTAAATACGTTGATTGAAAAAAAAAGTTCCACAGACAACCGGAAGCATTTTGTGCGTTCGTCGTTTCGCGTATCGTGGGACTCGCGGGGACGGCGATGGCAGCGGACGACGGGCGTGGGACCTTTATTTCAATTCGCGGTACCGGCGAATTCTGTCTACCGTTAAAAGAGAAATTTGGGACTGATAAAAAGAATTGGTATTCATCCCGTACGACACGCCCGGCCACCAAGCCGACTTGCACGAAGTCGTCGCTCCCTTCTCGTGGCTGAAGACATCGCTCGCGCAAACGTCAAGCACGATGTGTCTACTTCGAGGTGAATATGCACGCGTACGATTTCTTTACTAGGTGCGAATGTCCCCAAAGCGTGGTGCTTCCCGACTTCGACCCGGGAGTGCTTTTGCTAGAGAAAAATCGACAGCAAACTTTCCAACTTACAGTTTACCGGCTGATTATTACTAAGGAAAGAGATTGACCAGAAAAGAGATGCCCCAGTAGCTCAGTGGGAAAGACGTCCGCTTCGCACGCGGGAGGACCGGGTTCAATCCCCCGTGGAACTTTATTTTTTTTTTTCCGATGTTTAGATATCTTTTTCTTTTTTTTACGATCATCACTGAAGAAACAAACAGAAAATTAACAAACAAATGTTGTGGACGATACTTCGCTGAATTAAATGGTATGGGATTTCCGTTTTGACACCTGCGAACTCAATGTAATCACTTTCCACAAAATGCAAGGAGCATATAAATCAGGTAGCGTCCACTTTCCGAGGTGCCCGTATATGTTCTACAGGAATTGCAGCCAGCCATTGGTCCCGATCCCGTTGATCTTTCGGAAACTCTGTCACACAATGCCACTTTTTTTCGGATGCAGGACATGTGAGCCAGCTCTCCACGCAACATCTTGGGTGTATTCTTTTTGGAGCCGATCATGGAAATTCACCACGGGCACTCACTACTAATCTCCAACTCCTCAATGTACAAAACAACTCATCTTGGAATACAGAGCAAAGAGCGGAACAAACATAACTGCAAAAGAATCGCACGCCGCATGGCGTGTCGTCTGCTACCGGAGAGGAGAGAAAAAAAAGAAAAAAAAAACGCACGGTCGGGTGTAGCCACGTGACTTCCGCCACTCACTCTTCCTCTCCACTTCTCCGACCTCCGTCGGGTTTCGGTTTCGGTTTCGAGCAGTTGCGTCTTTTGGCTTTATTAAAAAAATACGCTACTCTGTTGCAAAATATTAATTGGGTAGTCCTCCGACACCATAATGAAGCGCCTGGCAAAAAATGAAAAAAAAAAATTTTGGGGGGTGTCAGTGTCCCTTTAACAGGACTCTCTTTTGTGTGTCTATTCATATCTATTCTACCTCTACAAGATTCTAGAAGATTAACCGGTCACTCAAAATTCACACAAAAGCAGCTTTGCGGTTAGTTGCGGTGGCTCGATCGTTGGCGTGCTTCAATCGCTTTGGTGGCTGGAACGGCTAGGGCATCCCGACGACGTCAGCCTCGCTGCAGCTTTGCTCATCCTGAGACGGACTACGTCACGATTGCGCCGGATGCGACGTGCTCTCCGCTGGCTGCTCTCCGAGCACTTGCCAGAGTGGGCCGTTTATAACGAAAAATACAGTTATCGGGCTCAAAATACAAACGTGCGATTCTCATCTACTGATATTGTGGATCATATTCAGCCTATTTCTGAACGCAATGGGTATATATCTAAATTCGTTCTATCCACACTGGCTGTTGGGTCTGTTAAAAATCATGTTTGTCGATATGGCGACAAGAGTTTTGCGTGAGAACATTATATGCCCCATCATTCATGATACTCCTGTGGAGTACAACGATTGGTTTTGGGAGAATGAGATGTACCTGCTTAATAATATTGATATTATTAAAGACTGCTCCAAGCAAAAGATACCTTTCTTTTTTGTTTAACTACAGACTTTGTATCCAGACAACTCGGGATGAATTTCCTCGTCCTAAGTGATCTGCAGCTCTACCCATGCAGCAGGGGTATTGCTCAGAAGGACCTAATGTCATATTTGAAACATTTGCCCTAGCCAATGGGAAGGCTGAACAGAGTATGTTGTCAGCAGTGGTAACACCACAGTTACGTCAGTGTTTCATTTTTATTGTACCCAACCTGAGGGGTGGAAGCAGTATATGCAGATTTCAACACTGATAATGAAAAGGGAGGCAGATATAGTATAACAGCAATAGAATAGCAGTGGAGGAAAAAAAAAAATGTATGTTTGACACGAGAGAGTAAAATTGTTACAAGTTACGGAAACTGTTTTTGAACCTTGGTGTGCTTGACCGTTCCAATTGGCACATACCAATATGGCTGAGTTCGAGTCCTTCAGAAATACTCCTACATTCGTGGGTGGAAGATGAAATTTTCAGATACCTTGCATGAGACCACAGAGAACCACTCCTGCAACACACTTCTTTTTTTTGTTTTTTGGAACATTTATATTATAGAACATTTACATTCAAAGTTTCAGTATAGCTCCGAACTCGCAACATAAATATTGCACTTTGTTTTTCTTTCTTGGAGAAGGGAGGAGTTTATTTGGTGACATGGATGTCCTCCTAGGTATTTTTTAAGAAATAAAATATTTTGGACTCGGGTGGAAAATTGATTATTTATTCATAAAATTTCACCTCAAAATCTTACAGGCTTACTGAAAAATGGTTAAAATACACAGAAGCCAGTGCGAGTGTAAAATACCGAGCCAGACCCTGTGGCATAAGCAGCACTAGCAAATAACACTCTTTTGTGTTATTGGCGAGGGAGAAGAAACTGGTAAGGAAAAAGATAATGACCTGTATTTGAAGAAAGGAAGCGGGCGACTTCCCCATTTTTACCGAGTATGCAGACATTCTGCCTATTATGTGTATAAAAGCGTGGTTTCTCGACTCTCCCACTACCAAGTGTAAGCAGAGAAAGCAGAAGAGTTTCAGCCCTGCTAAACAAAATTTTGCAAGTAGGCCTTTAAAGAAAATTATATTTTAGCTCCTATACTATGTATCACTTTAAGTGCAAGCATGTGGCCCTGAACAATGCTTGCACTGTTCAGGGCCCGCTCTTGTAGCTTCTGCTGCGCTTACTCTTTAAAAAAAAAAAAAAAAAAAAAAAAAAGGAGTATACCGGCAATTTTAAAAAAAGCCCTTGCCGTTTTAGTTTGTCATTTTGATTACATGGCCGAGGGTACCTGGGCCTGGCTTATTGTGACAAAATGATGACTTCCTTTTTCTTGGGGTGGGAGGGGGGGGGGGGGGGGGGGGTTAGGGTAGGGGTAGGTAGGCAGACTGGAGATATTCATGTCCATACGAGAATTCTCATATGCATGATAATGTTGATGTCACTCTTTCTAGATGTGTGGGGTCATCTCTGAGCACACCAAGAAGATGTGTACACGGTCGCAGCGTTGCCCTCAGCACACGGAGGACCAACGCAAGGCAGTTAGGCAGTTCCTCTTGGGTCAAAGCAGCGGGTGAGTGCCACACTGTCACCAAGAGGAGGGCCGCTTTGCAGAAAGTACACTGCCCTCCGCGGTACCTGAGAAAATTCTGGGAACTGGCTGTACAAAAACAAGCAGAAGCAGACGGCGGAGATAATGCAGACGTGTGGGGGGAGGCACACAAGCAGCTGCATAATTCTGTCACTCTTTTCAGAATCGTGTGGTTGAGGCTGCTGGAGCAAGGCGCGCACAGGACGTTCCTACAATTTGTTTTAGGAGTGTTGCAAAGGGTCCATTGGCATGTCTCCCCTAAATAGCACTTTTTTTCTTTTTTTGTGAAGGGTTTAATTATTTTTAAGATCTGGAACATGTATGTCATTTTTATTCATTGGGGGTACAAGAATTAAGCAGTCTTTTTTTTTTTGTTTCATCACCGCCCTTAGTGCAGAAATCTTGGAACTCCCACGAGTGCCACTAGATATAGCTTTGGCTTTCTAAAGGGTCTATTGCAAGGTGATAAGCAATTTGGAACATGACTCCTGTAATACTGCATATTTGTTATGCATTTCTAATTGTAACTCTGCTCGGACAGAAAGTTGCCATACCTGCAAATGTGTTTCTCTGTGAGCAGATATTTGCTGAGGAACACCCTGAAGTCAAATTTGAATGATAACAGTAGACTCTCATTGATTCAAACTCCAGGAGCAGATTTTAGTTTGAATTATCAGAAATTCATCTAAATATGATACTATAGCAAGTTACAGTTCAAGAAGGTAGTGGCAAACGCCCCTCAAAGGGGTTCATATATCCCTCCGCCACCTCCGCATCCAATAGCGTCCCATCATTTCCGTGACGTCGTGGCCAATGCGGGAGAGGGCTTTGCCTTTTTGTGAATGTTTGCTTTATCTTTCGACTTTGACTTAGCGTTATCTATTCATTGAAGCAGAACAAGGGGTGTTTCCAGGTAACTATTCTTTTCACTGCGGATGGATTTGAAACGGGCGCATCACACTTATGGGAGGAGCTTCTCTCCTACCTTCTTGACTTGTAACCGACTATAGACAACATTATGATTTTTTACACATACAAAGCAGATTTTTGCCAGTTTCCTCTACATAGTCCTAAATTATAAGCAAATACGGGCATAACACGGTGGAAGTTTATTCATCTGGCAAAAAAGTTGTCGATTGTGGACTGTTTAGTCAGCACGTGAGATCTCAAAACAGTATTTTCAACACCAGCCAACGTAAGTAGCTCTTTATGGGGCTCTTCCTTTGCAGACAAAAACTTCCGGAGCTGAGCGATGTGCTCAAAGGCCTCTGCGGCTGTGACAGTTGGTAGTGGGTCATCCCTTTCTTCATCGTCATCTTCACTCTCACTGCTGCACTGTGCTGGCATTACTTCCTGTACTATGACCTAATGAGCCGTCACGACAAACACACACATCATCATCAAGACTAGCATGATGCCAGTGAGCTGTTCCTCATCCTCGATGTCGTCTTGGTCATCATTGCTACTCTTGAAACGCACAATGTGAACGCCGTTTTCCACTAATGTGTGCCCGCTTGAGCCCCGTTGAGTGCGCTTCTTTCCGAGCACCGGTGCACCGCGGAGAAGCAAGACTCGCAAAAGCAAGCTCCGCGGATATTGCTTCTCTGCGGTGCACTGGTGCTCAGAAAGAAGCGCACTCAACGGGGCCGCGAAAACAAAAAAGTTAGATTTAAGCGAAAACGCCGTTCGAATTAAGCGGCTTAAAATACATCAAAAACACAGCGGGACAACCAAAATTTTTAAATCTGTTTGAATTAACCGGAAGTGCGAAATATCCGAGTTTGAATTATCGCAAGCCTACTGTAGTGAGCAGTAATTGCTACACTAGGCATTGCATATCTCATTAATATTTATGCCCCCAAGCCTCAAAAATCAGTGTGCCAAGGCCCAGCAACGTGCTCCTATGATTCTGTCATACAGCAAAGCTAACTCCATTTCTTGTTCTTAACATTGCACCTCTACCAGTGCCACTAGTAATTTTGTAGCTTATCACATTTTAAGTAAATCCTGTTTTTCGATCTGGTGGGTTCAAACAGACATTATTCGTGTTTGGTGCCATCTATCTCTAAGTCATCTGAAAGGGTTAAAAAAATGGTGGCACATCGTGGGGTCTTACAATGCAACAAATTGACAGGGTGCAGGAAACAACAAGCTCCAGCATGTACTAGAGCTATTTCTTTCATAACATCAGCACTCCCTCTTGGGAAACTTATGATAAGTCATGGGTCTGCCACAACCATTGAGAACAGTTGCCTCACGTTCTCTATCTGTCTCGCTGTTCTGTACTTCAAGATGAGTTGTTTTGTACTTCAAGATGAGTTGTTTTGTTGGCAATTAGTAGCGAGTGCCCGTGGTGAATTTCCGTGATCGGCTCCGAAAAGAATACTCCCAAGATGTTGCGTAAAAAGCTGCCTCACATGTCCTGCATCTGAAGGTGGCATTGTGCGGCAAAGCGCATAAGTTTCCGAAAGATCAACGGGTCGGGATCAATGGCTGGCTGCAATTCCTGTAGAACAGTTTCGTGAAGCTTGGAAAGCGGACGCTACCCGATTCATATGCTCCTTGCATTTTGTGGAAAGTGACTACATTGAGTTCGCAGGTGCCAAAAATGGAATCGCATACCATTTAGTTCAGCGACGTATCGTCGAGAACAATTGTTTTTTTCAGCGATAATTCTAAAAAAAGGAATATAAATATTGCAAAATGCTCGACAATAAATAAAAAATGGTACACCCTCACCAGGGATGGAACCCGTGCCCGCTGCGTGTGAAGCAGACGTCTTTCCACTGAGCTACTGAAAGAACTCTTTATGCATAGTAATGCAGCCGGTCGACTGTATGTCGGAAGTTTGCTGCAGATTCCCCTTCAATACATGCACTCCCGGCTTGAAGTCGGGCAGCACCACACATTGGCCACATTCGCACCTTGTAAAGAAACCGTATGCATGCATATTCAACTCGGAGTACGCACTTCGTGCTTGACGTTTGAACGAGCAATGTCTTCGGCCATGAGAAGGGACGACGGCTTGGCGATGTCTTTGTGCAATCGGCTTGCTGGTCGGGCGTGTCGTACAGTACGAATATCAGTTCTTTTGATCGGTCCAAAATTTCTCTTTTCGCCGGTACCGTGAACGACAGTTCTGAAGTAGGAATCCAACACCCGTCGTCCGCTGCCATCCGCTAGTCCCACGATACGCGAAACGACGCCATGTGAACGCACAGAATGCTTCCAATTGTCTGTGCTACCTTTTTTTTTTTTTTTCAATAAACGTATTTGCAGCCATTTGGAAGCCACAAAAAATGGGTTTCATATTGTTTTCTATTTTTAATATTGATTGTGTGCCTTCAATTACCCACGACTTTGATTAAATTTGGTGGTTGCGTCGAAACCTTAGAAAACGGCCCGTGACCACAGAAAAGAGAGTGAGCGCGACTCAAACCGGCCAGTTCTCGGTCAGCGGTTTTCGGGTGGAAAAAACACGAATTTGGAGCCGCAAAATCTGTTCTGAGTAGTTGGGCTCTCATATGTCATACACAACTAAAAACTTCGATGAGCATAAATACCCCGTCAGTGTCCCTTTAATAGCTACGAAAGTGCATATTATGTATCTCAACTTTGTAGGTTCTTTGGGAAGTATGAAAATATCCAGAAACAAATGTACCTAGGTGCAGCGGTGGAAATGCCTCCAGCTGGTAGCTTAACTTCTCATTAAGGACTTAAATTTAGTGTCAAAGGCTACATTAAAGAGTGTTCCCGCATGGTGACCAAGAACATTGAAATGCTCGTGAAAGTATACCTCCGAAACTGGAGCTTGTCGCTAATGGCCCCGAGCTAACGTCCGTGGACGCCACACAGACTAGGGAGTTGGGGCAAGGGAACTGAATGCATTGACCAAAAGCCGGCACCTAAAACACACGTCGAATCTCCGCATGAAATAATCTAAAAAAAAAAAAAAATAGTTCTGCGATGCTCACATATTTCTAAAGGTAGCAAGGTGTTGTGTTCTCCCACATTTGTTTTTTGTGCACAAGCTGCCATCAGCTGGCGCTTGTTACTGGGAAAAAAGTTCAGTTTGCCAACTGTCAGTAACATCTACTAAACTTTCCTTTCCACATCTTTTTTTTTGCTGTTCTTGAAATCTAGGGCATTCTGTTACAAAGGTAACAAAAACCATCGTGTTCAAGAGTACTGGAAACAGCTTTTGTAATAAACTGCATACTTATTACAGTCAGCGAGTAGCTAACAAGAATATTTACCCGAGTATGTTAAAAACAACCGTGCGACAATGTGTAGGTAACCCGTTTCTTCCAGGCACTAATACTTTTTTTTTTAAAAGAACTGTGAATTGTAACGAACTTGTTTTCTTAAATATTTTATATCTTGAGCTTTTTTATTATGGTTATCCAATATGCATTTAAATTTTGTTCACATTTTATTGGAATATTTATATTTTACTTATCACCCACGCAATGTGACATTCCAACAGTCACTGACAGGATTAAAAGGGCAGGGCGGTCCTTCGGTTGTCCCACCTTCAGCGAGCCCTGAGTGTGCACATGCAGCCAAAGCATGACAGAATGCATCGAGCGCGCGCCAGACCCCGGGCATCTGAAAAAGACGCCCTGCAGTTTCCATCCTGGTGGTGACCATAGCAACGAGAATGATTCTGCGAGGGGCCGCGTATACTCTTGTAGCAGTTGACTCTAGTGCGAGCGATTTCTTCTGCGGGTCCTGGTCGGTAATGCCACCCCCTCTCACGCACGACTCGCGCATTCTTCCAGGACTGCACCCGTAGCGGAGCCGGCGGACGAGGTGCACATCGACGTGGACACGTTTGACGAGTCGGATAACCACTCCCTCCACGAGGTCATTGGCCAGATGTGGGAGAACGTTAGCTCAACCAATTCTTCCCCCGCCGACAGCAGCTACCAGAGCAACAATGGTGAGGGGGCAAGATGTATTTAGCCGGGCAGACAAAAAGAAAGGCACATCTACCTGGCGGGTCTGCCAGCGTGCGTGGGTCACTGGTCCAGGGGAAGTGTTGTGAATGCTTCTACAGCGAAGCTGGTTATGGCTAGGGTTCCGTGGATTTTTCGTGTGCAGTGACTAAAAACTCTACGCTTGCACTGCCGCACGCGCACTCCTTCCCCCTATGAAAGATTCAAAGTAAATAACCAAAATGAAGCGTTGATTAACACGCATGCAAGATCCCATTCGTTTCAGGCTGTGTCGGCGCTGTGCGAGTCTATTTTTTGTGTGTGTTTGGATTTTGAGTAACTGTCTACCTGCGTGCTCGTTCGTAATATTTGTTTTAGGCTTTTGCTTTAGAACAGTCACTGCTGCAGACGCCGGCGCCGCATGCGCATGCCTTCCTCATATAAAAGATTTGAAGTAAATAACTAAAATAAAGCGTTTACGAACGCACGTGCAAGATGCCATTTCTTTTGGGCTTTTGCTTTAGAACAGCTACTGCTGCAGATGCCCGCACGTGCGGCACATGGAACACCATTCACTGCATTCTCCTTAATGCTTGGGTAATTTAGCAATAGGTCTATTCAGTAATTAGTTACCAATAGGCACCATTTTCAAGATCAGTAGACTCTCGGTAGATAACAAAGGTTTCTCAAAGATTTGCCGCTACGCGACCCGCGTCGGCCATGTCTGCGCTCGCACTGCCCTCTCTTTGTCGTCGTTCCAAGCGATTGTGTGCTTAGTTTCCTTTCCTTCTGCTTTCCTGAGGTGGTGGCCCTGTCCCGCGTGTCTAGTTTCCTCTGGCTACACGGGGCAGATCGGCCCTTCACGGAGTGGAATGGCTCATGATTTTTGTCTATGTACTGCTTAGTGTACAAAGTAAACCGCACGACACTGTTAGCATGAACATGACGTCGGCGCCTTTTACGTCTAGAAGGCACTGAACGGACGTCGTATTCCATGACTTGGGTTGGTGCCTCAAATACGTGCTTCCTACCACACTAGTACTAGTTTTGATGCGAGTACTTCAATTTGAGGAGAAAAACCTGATGATCACTTCACATCGCCACATTCAATTTACTTACACCTCCTGCACTGGTGCAGAAAAGTGTAGGGCAGTGTACTTCCGGTCGTATCTAAATACACACACCGGAAGTAGACTGCCCTACACTTTTCTGCACTGGTGCAGGAGGTGTAAGTAAATCGAACGCAGCTGGTGTTGCGCCATGTACATCGGGTACTTTTCAACACTGGTCATTTAAAGGGCGGTACAGTAACTAAGAATATGAATAACATTGGGTGCAAGAGCTGCCCAGGTGAAACCTGATGGCTCTCTAGAAATACTGCAATGAAAGTACAAACATGTGGGATGTCTCGTGGTTCCATCAAAAGTGTAGAGGGCGATGGTGGCCGCACCTCCTTAGACTCTGAAAGTCGCAGCTTCTTGGAGCTGACTAACTGGTCCCAATGCAGCTCACATGGCAGACCATCGGGCAGTGGGATGGCTCCAGTATTGCTGTTATGGAAACCTGCGAGACATTTCTACTCTACAGTAGCTTCACGTTTGTCGCAAAGAACACGGTGCTAACGACTGGTGGGTTCAATGCTACGAGAGCCCACTGGCTGCATCCCACTGTTGGGTGTGAAGTGCACAGTTACTCAGCAGTACCCATTTCCTATCTGCATTGATTTCTTCATAGATTAATTTAGGAATGCTACCCATTGGCTAACCCTGACATGCTTTTAATATGTGTAGTATCACATCCTCGGAAACTTTTGAAACGGAGCTAAAATTGATAATTACCGAAAAGATTTGGACAGCTACCTAATGCAAGCCCAGAAGCGTCTCGAGGTGGCCACGTGGCACACGGGCTTGGAAAGTGTTGAGTGTTCCAGCCAAGTCCACCTCCTCCCCCTCTCGCAGGCTCGGTGGTCAAGAAGAAGGACAAGAGGCCCTTCAGCAGCAGCGCCCTGAAGAAGTCCAAAACGAGGCCCGGCGGCAGCGGCCCTTCCAGCGCCGCCGGCGGGGACCACGTGGCCTCAGACTTGCTATGACCTCACCCACTTACAATCGCTCCAAGCAACGTGCCCGTGTGTGTGCCCCAGTGCCAAACGCAGAAAAGTTCCTCCGCGCAGCGGGAGAGCCCCGCCCCCTCCCGCCACAGCTCCAGTCGCACCTCGTGGGGGACAACACCCGTCTCCCGCCGCCTCCCGGTTTAGTCAGGAGGGGGCACTGCCGGCCGCGGCAAAAGCTTTGTTGGACTACGGGCGCACCAGTCGCCGAGGCAGCTCCGAACGCTAGTATTTATCGCCGTGATGGTTCCGTGTCCCATTCCCCTTGTGCATGTTTGTTTGTTTATCGTCTGTCTGGTGTTGCACGTGACGTGAGCCGTGTCTTCTTTGTTGTACACCTTCTAGTGATACTCCACCCCAAAGTACCGTGGTAAATTTCACCCGGTCTCTCGGGCCAGCCGTCTTTAAAAGAAAAAAAAAAAAAAAAGGAGGGGGGCAAACCCCAGACTCAGGTGTGACCGCGTTTTCCAGGGAAGGCCAATTGTGTTTTGGTTTAGAGTCTGTGATATCTGCAGCGACGCAACACCTAGGCTGACTTCTTGCGTGTTTTGTGTTATTAAGGTCACCAATCGATAAACTGGAGTGGTTCTAGAATCTCCGCGGAAGCGGTGGTGGTCCCAACTGGGCCTGCCCCTCATGGGCGGTGGGCATCCCGGGATCCTGTAGCTTTGTGCTTTTTCAGGTTCCAGAAAATGGAGGCTGACAGTGTAACTGACAGCAAAACAAACCTGGATAGTCTTTAAATTAAAGAACAAAAGCGTTACGCATTACATGATGCCTTTCTTTTTCCTTGGGATGGCAAATCGAGTGCTTTCTTTTCCTCAAAAGAAGCATCTGCTTATGTCTGAATGGCTCAGGAAAGAGTACCCTAACATCGTTTATTTGTTTCTTATTTTTTTTTTCTAATCGTTCAACTTGTTACAGTCTATAACAATGAAAATTGCAGCTTGCACACCAGTGGTTTTCCATGATATTTCTTTCCAGCTGTGATAAGCACAGGAGCGTGTTACATGGGATCACAAGGGTTTTGAGAAGGCAACCGTCAAATAAATTGCCTTGTTTTGTACTGCCACCAGCTCACCATGTGAATCTCTTCAACTTTGGTGCAGCATATTACTGCAGTCAATAGCATCCTTAAGAGTATACGCAGGGCAACAAGCACTGTAGCGATCCATTGTCATGATCAAAGACGAAGTGGCATTGTCTCTTGTGAATAATCTCTGAAACAAAAGTATGTTATACAATGAGCACATGCATTGTTTCTTGGGTGCATTTTATTAACATGCCACATCCTGCTTTCATAATACCACATAGTTGAGTTGCAATTAAGATTTTTACACATAATACACAGTTTTCATGATTGGAGGAGCCTTTACTGAATTAGGGTTCTTTCTAAAATGTTCTGATGTTGTAAAAACTTTGCCTTTAGATCTCAAATCTGAGTTCATTTTTAAGGTTCCATCGAGTGCTCTCTCTCCTGTTCCAATTCAAAATTATTCTTGTTTTTCAAGCTACAACTTTTCTGTGCAACGAAGTCCTTGGCGCACAAGCTTTGGCAAGTCAGCAAAAAGACTATTTTTTTCAAGTTGGTAGCATGTGTTTGCGAGCTATTCACATTAATCTGCATAATCTTTGCAAGCCACTCTATGCTTAATCCTAGATGCCAAATTCTATTCACTCTTCTGCTCGACTGAAGTAAAACCCAGGAACTGTGGTCACCAGACTGGGGGAAAAAAAAAAAAAAAAGGAGGAATGAGAATTTGTGTGAAAATAACCGCATGAGTTATCGGCACGGTATGAAAGCCAGTGCGCTTGCAGCAAGTTCAGACCCGAGAGGTGCCCCACTTAAAAAGACGTTGTGCATGGCCCAGAATTATTAGCCATCAGTACTAGTAGTAATCGTCCTTGCACAAAAAATGATTACTTCACTGCTGAACTGAGAAATTGACAAAAGAAAAAGTGCCTCATTCTAAAATAGGAAGGAAGGATAAGGGACATTAATTACATATTACATAGAAATGACAGAAAAAATATGAATCGCCCATCAATATTGTGATACTGTGACAAAAAAAAATGAAGGCTTGGGTGTGTGGCTTCTGAGCAGCAGGTGACCGGACCAAGCTTGGACACCCGTAAAGATGGTCATTTTGTTCTTTTGTCTCCACAATAATGTATAAGAATGCTTCTGTAGCTTCCTAATAGTTTCTTTTTATAATTTATATACTAGTCCACTAATAATCTTTCTACAGTTTCTGTAAATGGTGAGCCTGATATGGCTTTTTTATAGATAATTAATTTTTTTTACTGTAAACAACTTCATTTTTGCGAGGACCTAAATTTCACGACTTGTATAATTTTGCAAAAAATAGATCCTGCGAATATGTTTCTCTTTAACAAATGCATAGCATAACACCCTGATTCGCAAAGTTTTGTGCCCACAAAATATTTGCGAAGACCACACTGAAGTCGAATTTGTGAAATACTGAGCCCGTGAAAATAAAGTTGTTTACAGTATTTAGGAATACTGCGGCTTTCCATTGAGAGCCGTAGCAGGAGTGATATACGATAAGATATACAGAAAAAAGAACATCGACATAAGAGCAGTCTAAGTATATAGAAAAATGAACATGCACGTAAGTGATTGAATCAGAAAAAATTTGTTCCTTTAACTGTCGGATGATTCGGTCTCCAGCTTACCGACTTGACTATTGCTACTGCTATTCCATGTTTATGCAATATCTAATTTGTACACTACACAAATAATTCTGTGCAGCTATCGATAGGTTTTCTACTGGTTTCTCTGTCCTTTTTGCCATAGGGCAGCCTCCAAAACTATCTAAACGGTAATTTAAAAAGTGCAAATGACTAAGAAGAGAAGAAGGGGACAGGACACGGCGCTTACTTACAACTGTCGATTTAATAGAGCATGTAGAAAACGACAAGGTGGAAGTGAAAAAAAAAAAAAAAGATAATAAGCTTGCTACTGCTACTAAGACAACATAATTAGTTTTAGAAATCACTATAAAAATCATTTTAACTTCACCCAAACACAAAGTACTTGTCACCTATATAAAACAAGGGAAAACAAGAATAATAAGAAAAAAAAGACAGCAAATGACTAAACAGTCTTCAAGGAAAACACCAAAGGAACTGAAGTTCTTTTAGTATTAGGGTCACTGATGGAGCGCTTATGCATTTTTCACCACTGGTGAGGATGACTTGAGCCTTGTACAGTTCTCTCGTGTTTCTGTCTTCGAACTGCTTCAGAACTTTGTGTGGTTGAATGATGGTGAGCATTTTCAGTCCCTGACATGCACAGCAAGATGTCCCGCTTGTGTTGATTTCAATGTTTGGGCATGCTCTCATATTCTTGTATTAATACATTGCCCCGACCGACCTACGTATACTTTGCCGCAAGTAAATGGTATTTGGTATACCACTCCACTTTGACACTCTACATATCCGAGTCTATGTTTGACACTGCACTATGCCTGTTGATGCTGCTGGCAATTGATCTTAGGGTAAGTAAGCGCTCTGTCCTGTCCCCTTCTTCTGTTCTTAGTCATTTGTGCTTTTTAAGTCACCATCTAGATGTTCAACCAACTAGCCCCCTAATTGATCTTGATCCCCAAAGCTATTGGTCTATGTTCACTTGTGGCATTGATCATGGCCTCTGAAACCCGCTGAGCAACCTCCGGCCATTCCAATCGCTCAGCCACCCAGCAGCTCTGGTTTATTTGGTGCTTTACAAAATGGTGGCATTTTCTGACAACACTGCCTCGGCGTTCGGTCAAATGTGAGCGAACACAACAGGTGCCACCACTCGGTGGCGATGCCCAATGCTGAGCCACTTTTTCTTTGTCACAGATTACCCCAATGAATGCAGCGGATGGAGAGAGCTTAGCATTGACAATCTTGAACCCATGCACAGATAATTGGAAGTAAAAGAAAAAAGATTTTATGGCAAATGGTATTTAGGTGCACAATTTCAGGATATTAAACACCTACGCAGCTCCGTTTCCCTGAAAGCTCTGCCGAAAGGTACAGCATACCGTTTCCATAGAGTACCTTTTCACGAGCACATTTGTGCAAGGTCGAAATTTGACAATAGAATGAGCCATACTTACTGCAAGTGACCTGCCTGGGATTCAGTTGCTGTCCCACTAAAAGTGGTGTGAGCCTGCGCAAGTCAAGTCTGACCTCGTACTGTCCACTGATGAGCCCCGCAGGAGACTCTGTAAGTATGCCCCATGGTGCTTGAAGAGTGCTCAACAACATAGCTACGGAAACCGACGAAGTGGCTGAAACAAAGGCTAGTCTCTGCCACGGTGATAAATCTACACAATTGAACAGCAGCGCAGTGGGGCTTTGCACCACCCAGCACAAACTGCTTGAGGAAGCAACCGCACTAGGTTCTCGAAATTGCACTACAGATCAGCTTGGGATTTACTAAAAGTGAACAAAAGCTGCTGTCGCCTTTTACAAGGTTAAATCTTGCCATGCTGAGCAATGACGAGAAAGAGCACTGCACTCCAGATGCTACAAGCAAGCAAGCCAAAAGCCTACCTGGCACTGGAAACTGAAGTCCTTTGAAATGTGTTGTAACTGTAACCATGTCGGTCTGAACTGACATGGTCATCTCTCGGTCAGTCGAGATGCAGATGGTCTGAAATGAAGGTCCTTCAAATGGTACTGGAGAAGACACTAAAAAATCTTTGTGGGATTTGGCCAATGGCGCTTACAACGTAGGTGTTGAGGTTCTTCATTTTTTCCACTATGGTTTTGAGCACCTTCAAAGATGGCATGTGAGTGATGATCTAAAATAAGTCAGAAAAAGGAAATAAACAGCACATTGCTATTGAAAGCAGAGGTATGCTTACCAACAGGCAGAGCATGAAGCATGCCTAGGATGGCAGGATTTAAGGAAAGAGCACATTCATCCCAAAAGCCCCTTATCAAAGGCAGTTATAAAAAATTGGTAAGCACGCTCATAATCCTGGCTCCTTGCACACCATGCCTCTGACTGGAAGGCCTCTAAAATTGCCATGCGTTTATATGGCATTGTACTTTTCCTTTCGCAGATCATACACAGCTCTGAAAGCTTCCTGTCCAAGCTTGCATAACGACACAGCAATGTAAGGCGACAAAGCACAAGCACTTACATCGGCCACCTCCACCTCTGGCTCTGCGAAGTTGCCCCAGAGACGTCGAGGAATCACAGAAACGGGGACGTCGTGGACAACAGTGCGGTTTGCCGAGACCAGCGACGGCTGTAATGAGCCATATGTTGACTAGATGTTTCACATCCATATCACTCCAAAAATACTCTTCTTATAAAAAGCTTAGTGGTAGCTTTAAAGATAAACTGCAAAAGGGAGTGACTGTTTAAGTAGACTGTCCAACAGTGTCATTTACAGACTACTTTCTAAGGCACAAGGTGGAAATAACTGATGCAAACTGCCAGCCCTGTGATCAATGTTAGAAACACAGAGATGAACAGTGCCTGGGCAATAGCCCAATAATGTTAGTTTTTTTTATTTATTTTTTTATGAAGTATTGTTGGAACAGAGCCATTGTTAGAGCAAACAAGACACTGTTAGTGCGAACAAGCGATTGCCTGTTTTTCCCTTTTTTTTCGTAAAATAAAGGGCAAACCTACTATGGAGGTGGAAAGGGTTTGTTTAGTGCAGTAACCTAAGAGGTAAAACTTGATGCCTGACAATGCTTTTTCTAAATAAAACAGAAACAATAGCCAATGTCGTGTTCATGCTGACAGCGTCAAGGAATGTGCAATATACTATGTGACTTTTTGAAAAAATTAAATAAATTAGATTTGATTATAATGCAATGAAATGCAAAGGTGCAAGGGAGCTGGACAAGAATGACGAAAATAATCCCTGGAGAAGGAGAACAAGGGGGACAAAGGACAAATACAAATCTCCAAACACAGTTAGGTGACTAGTGCGCGACCGAAAAAATCCACCTGGTCCGGGATGGAGCCCGGGACAGGCCAGATATGTAGCTTGATTAACAAGCAGAGGTAACTAAAAACAACACATAAAAGAAAAAGAAAAACACATCTTTGCTTAAAAGAAGCCCAAAACAAGCAAAACAGCCAACAAAGCAAAGATCTTTATAACCCTAATTTGTTACTGAAAAACAAAAGCTCATATATAAACAAAATAAAATGCAGCCTTTGCAGTGACTTCCACCACAATAAACAAACCATGCAAAGGCCCTTTCACAATTGTTTCTGAATGACAAGTAACTTGTTGCAACTAAAAGGCAACCGAATTTCACACTGTAAGTGAATCTATGCTACGACTATTTCTTAAAGCCTCAGCACCCTGTATCTTCTTCCTAACATTTCTTTTGGAAGTTTTTGTTACCACACACTTTTCTGGTCAGTATTTAACTATTTTTCAGCTAAATCCTTTGACTTCGTGTTTTCCACACTCAGTCTGAGGGATGCTGTGAACGCTCTTGGCTTCAGAGGCACTGCTCTGAAAGACTCCAGCACCATTTACTTCTTTGTAGTAGCACACTTACACCGATGCCAAGAGAGTATTGTGCAACAGTCGTCAATGAATCACAGAGCTTCTCCTTAAGCTCAAGCTTGACCCTGATTGTCCACTTGGAGGACAATGAGGGTCAACTTACGCATCACCTGCGGGACACACACTGGAACTTTAACATTATATTACTGAGTGATGCCCAGAGAAAAACCGTCTGATTCCAATAGTTCCACTAGATTTGTTTGGTGTTAGCGAAAGGATCTGTAAATACAAATTTCTGCATGCAGATCCGCACAATATAAGATATAAACTTGTAAGCATGTATACGTTCCTCGTAATATACAGTCTAGCAAATACAGTAACTGTTTAAAAAGCAAGTCTTTTTGCCCATAAGCCAACTCCAAATGTTGCTCGGTATTGTTTCCTTTTAGTAATGACCCCCCATACTCTTGTTTCAGCACACCTTGGCAAACAGCAAAAGCTGCGGGCTGCTCGAGTCGGTGGAGCAACACAGCGTGAAAGTACACAACCACTCTCCACAGCAGAAATGTGCTTTGACGGCACATTGCCACGCGGTTCATTTTAACGCTCCCACTGACTACCAGAATTGCAAATTTTGCCATTTGCCTAGTAGTTATGCTGAAATTAAGTATAGTGACCTTCTGGGCTCTAAAATTTTCTTTAAGGGAGTCATAAGTTTTAAATGAAGACTTTTCTAAATAAATACAATGCCAAAGGACAAGACACAAAATATGGGAGAACATTGTTGAAACATTCTCGGCTTATTAATTTTTTCCATCTTTTACGTTCATGAATGCTGGTCTCGCTCAATTTTAATAACATGTATTTCTGTTTGTTGAAGTAGCCTTCCCGGCTGTTACGTGCAAAAACTGCCCCCAGATGCGGCTGGCTGCAAGCGCATTGCTCCACTCCCTCTTTTTCACCTCTCCTCCCCTCTGATGTGCTCCTTTACCCTGTGGGCATGACCTTAGAATAAAGTGGAGAGGAATTCACGTTTTCGCAATTGCCTGTTCATCTTTTCATCTCTCATTGTGCTCTGTCTGCAGTGCACACCTTTCAAGCTTTACCATTTAACAATGACACGTCTATCGAGCTTCACCGCTTTGCATCGGCGTGCTAGGAGCACTGGCTAATGCAGGGGGACCATCTGCATTAGCTTGATCGGTTTGGACATTTCACTCGCTCCTATAGGTCGACATTCTCTGGTTACGACCGTAAAATTACAAACATCCTGAATTCAACAAACCCTAATTTAGAAAGAACTGTATGGGAAAAAATATGTCGGTCTACGTCCGAATAAATATAATAGCAGACTTGTACACGTCACTGAAAAATAGTAAGGAATTACATTTACAACTACACGAGGCTCAATTGTAATTAAATACAATTACAATTACCCCTCTACAAAAGTAAGTGACCGTTACCCCAAAAAGTAATCCGTTACTTTCGTGGCGTTACTTTCAACATTATTGTCCTCAATTAAGAAACAAAGGAAAGAGGGTTATCCAAGTTCTTATTGTTGCCACCTGTTCCATTTATTGACGGCTCTCGGAAGTCTCGTCAGACATTTTGCGTTATTTCTTACTCGATGTGTCGACTGCTACGCTGAACAAACTTTGAACTGAGGCACTGGATAGGAGTGCCATATTGTGCCTCAAGAACGTTTTATGCTCTGCATTGAGCTTTTTCAGCGAAGCAATGGAAGTACTATTTACCTCGAAGATAGAGCAGAGCATCGTCGTTGCAGCCGTTGCCTGATATTCGAGAATTTTAGTAGATCGTTCCGATACCTCCGATAACGATATGATGCATGTGCAAAGACGATGGCGGAGTATCGGGTATTGTTACCGGAGTCATCGGACCGATTTACTAAAATTCTCTACTGTCGAAATTGCGAAGCTGTATAAGTTGTCATACATCTAGCCAAAACTAGAATAAGAATTGATTTATGTACATCTTACTATACCAGCATATACACGTATTGCCAGACAATAGCAAAACATAGTTGTAACAGTAAGGTGATAAAATAATAAATATGGTCTTGCTCTATATTCTCCTTCCTTTAGTTCTGAATAGGTCAAACCTCGATCGAGACGTAGGTGAATAAAAAACAATTTCCAATATATATATATATAAAAAAAAAAAAAAGAAACACCAGAACACTTATAACAACAATTAATTAGAACATCGGTTAAAACAAGGAAATGTAAACGCACGTTTGCCGTGGGTACCTTTCTTGGTGCCGTTAAAAGATGCACGGGGCACGGACCGACTGCAGTTTACTCTGGTGTTCTCCAGATACATGTCCGCTGATGCCACGGGCAGCGAAGCCCGTGGCCACACTATGCACCACTCACGAGTTTCACTCTCTCCTCAAGCCCAGAATCTCAAAAAAAAAGAAGAAAAAAGGAAAACTTGCGAAGTGCTCGCAAAAAAAGGACGACTCACAAAAAGTGTGACTGAGATGCAGGTAACCTGGCTGGAATTCACAAATAAAGTGGGCCAACCCTAGAAGTTTGGGTACAAAAAAGTAAGTAGCTTTTAAATCAGGGTCAAATTAGGTGAAAGAAGCAGAAAAAAATACATCCAATTTTCTAAGAGAATGTGATAACTGTGCACCAACGAATCAGGATGATTGTGGCAATAACGCCTTCACATATCACATCTCTTTTAGTGGATTTTAAGGTAGACGGAGCGTTTACTCGTGTTTGGAAAACTAAGAGTGGCAAGCCTTGCTTTGCGCTGGTCAATTCGCGTGACAGTGTCACTGTGATCAACTTTATTTAAAAAAGAAAAAACTAACTTTTCTTTAGAAAAGTCCTGAAGAAAATGTAACAGATTACAACGAATCCGTTTCATAAAAAATGTAAGGGAATTACTTTAAAATTACTCTAGAAAATATGTAATTATTCCGTTACTAAATTACTAATAAATGTAAGGGATTACAAGCAATTTCGTTACTTGTAACAGATTACTTACAAGTCTGTATAATAGTTCCCCACAGTCAGGAAACTCCATGTGAAATACGTCGCTGGTAACAGTTGCCTGTGTTATCGGTTGCTACGTTTTCACAGATGATACTTTATCCTCTACTGCAGCCCCTGAAAAACGTGTCTATGAAGTTCTATTGTACTTAAAACCAGTGTGTCGAACCGAAAAAAATATGGGTTTGGTTACGGTTCAGGTTCAGGTAAATTTATTTTGTTCCGGTTCAGTTCCAGTTCGATTAATTCGATCCGCAAACCGGTTCGGAAATTATAAATGACAAATTGCAACATCAAAATAAATTACAAATAAAACATCTGAAATCAGCACATACGAAACGGGATACATCGTAGTGTAAGGCTCAGGGATTTCTACCAGGAATGGTTTCTTTATGTGCACTCAAAGGTTACCTCACCGACGTTTACGCATTCAGACTTCATCTAATTGGGTCCGATGCAGTAGCTGTAAATTCCGCGACCTCCTTACAAACCCACTTACAAGTAGAACTCGCTAACTATCCCGCCATCTCGGCGTGTAAGCAATTGAAGGAACAGTGGGGAGAAAATACAGCTTTCTTTATTTGAACTAGCCTTCGAAAACTCAAATTAGACCCTTAAAGAACTTTTCATTAAACAAGATACGGAATATGAAAAACACTTCACCGAATGCAACGCCAGAAGGACGTAATAGGATAAATATTAAAATAGAAGAGTTCGCTGTGTCACAAATATGTTAGCTTCTAAGTGCCTATACGAAACCGGATGCATTATTATCAAACTCCACAGCCTTTTCTTTTCTCATTCCGATGGAACCAAGCTTTAAGAACTCGCGCGTTCGAGAAACGTGTTATGAAATGAGCGCACAGCAGCATTTAGGATTTACGAGATAGTAGGAAAATGAAATCCTGTGACGCAATTTTTTTTTTTTTTTTGCACAGCCTTCCAATTTTTTTTTTTCCGTGCAAGCCACGACCAGCGCAATACTGGTTCCTATGTCAAGATTCATGGATGCAGCGTTTATATTCTTAAGACTGAGTGGAGAAGAAAAATATGTAAGCGAGGTGTGTGTCAGTTGACGGCACTTAAAAAACAAATGGCATTGATAGCACATTCATTGTCAACAGTGCGTGGCCGAACCGTTTTGACATGAGCCAGTAACCGTTATTTTTTTTCCGGTTCAGTTCCGGTTCGGGTTCATCACGATAACAATATAACGGTTCGGGTTCAGTTCCGGAAAAAATACCGGTTCGGGTCCGGTTCGGTTCCAATTCGGTTCGGTTCCGGTTCGACACCCTGCTTAAAACGTGTCGTATATAAGGAGACAATAAAAATTATTGAGAGGGTAGAGAGATGTCACTGACAGGCAATTAAGTAGTTTTACGTATATCTGAATACCTGAAAAAATACAGTACAGTAACAGACCATACTGCAATATCCCAAGAAGGTGAAAATAAGCAGCGAGGTAACTTTCGGTGTGCGATCAAAAAAAGTTGAAAAAATGCTAGTTTTAGATTTTGTGACCTGCGAAACTGGTGATTGCAGGGAGGGGCAATCAACCAAAAGACTATTGTCCTTCCCCATCAGCAATGTTTGCTTATCTCCCGTCTTGGCTTAGTAAGACCTCTTCTGCCAAGGTCACCATTGGTCAGGGCCCTGCAATTACTAGAATTAAGTGGGCTATCTTTTGGTATTTCTGAAAAAATTGCATACTGTGCCAAAAATAGGAGTGGGTTATCTTTCGGGGGTGGGGCATCTCCCGAAATATTACAGGTAGTTAAATTCACCAAGTCACATTTCACTGCTGCAGCTAGGAGAAACTTGGAATTAAACTCAAGCTCTCATTATAGACAGACAATTCTTTTCCAGATATCCTACAACAATAGTCATAATCATAGTTTACCACACAGACAACATAATAACTTCCTGCTTTTGTTTTTAATCCCCCTAAAAAAAAATATCTGCACAAAAATATTAAATTTTTGACAGTAAGGAATGTGGCTACTTCCTATATCAAACAGATTTTTTTTTTTCTTGTTTGATCACTGGCAGCAAGATAGATGCACTCCACAAGAAAGTTCCTTCAATTATAAGAGCTGTTCCACTTGACTTCTACAGAAGCTGGCATGCCTTAGTTTAAAGATATCATATAATTTTATTATGTCTGCATTCTGACACGTGCTAGGTGGTTCTGGTTCTCCATTTTTATGGTTTCATCACAAATTAGTACTTAGTGTGGCCGAATATCTCTTTTTGGCTGGGACAGTCTCATTTTTAAGTTCATTTGTGCCATCCTGTCATTCTGTTTCAATGAAGTCTCATGTCCCGTTTTCATGGGACTATGCATAGTTAAAAAATAAGTACAAATCCGAAAGTTCGATTCGCAACATTTCTTTCACACTGATTAAAAAAAAAAAAAAAAAGGAAGGTACTTGCATTCTCAACAAAGAACTCTACAAAAATGTGTTTTTTTACACTGGACTGAATAGTAGTTCAGCTTTTCTCTGCCTCGCTCCCCTCCCTTCGCCTCCCGAAGTACCGTTTTAATATTTTAACTTTGCTTATTACAAGGGTTGAACACTCTTACTCCCTGCTCTGGTTCTGGTTGGCATGAAAAAGAAGGCCAAACTTTGGGAACAATGATAACAAAAAGAAAAATTTGCTTTGAGGCCTACGATGCATACCAGTTCGATCTCCAGGCTCAAACAGGGAGTTTGCTTTTTTGTCAGCTTGATCTTGAGGGATTTCGCAGCCACCGATGACCTGAGTGCTCTTACAAGGTGCTCCATGACCACATCCAGGTAAATTTCGTTGAACTCTTCTGAGACACCCTGCATATTGAATTCTTGGAAAATCGTCTCCTGAAAGTAGTGCAGAAGCATAGATGTGCCCAGTGATTTCCCTACACACACACCCTTGTTTTTCTGAAGGCATCCCCTTAATTTGCAACGACTCCTCTATTCTTAATGCCTCGCACCCCCTAAAATTGAGACATTCCCCCTCATTTCAATTCCTGGGGAAACCCGGCCCTGGATGTGCCTCTTATTGACTGCAGGGAGTCTTCACAGGTGCCCTGAATGTGTACTTAAGAATAGGGTTAACAGCTACACATGCATTACTCGCTAGGAAACCAAAGTGTGGAGCAGGGATGAAGCCTGTGCGTTATTGTCTGTTAATTTGTTCCCATAATTAATGGGCTTCTGGCTGGTGCCAATTTCAACGTTTGTCTAAATGGCACAGGCTTGAACATACATGTGCATGATGAGCGGTGGATCTGTAGACACTGGAATGGTGTATATATTCCATGCATTCATTTCTTGCAGTGTACTAAGTCCGACTTCATTTGGTGCTTTGTAGAGTACTCAAGGATGGGCAATTTTGAGCCCAACCGCCCAGCCCACCCTTCTCCCTTAAATTATATGTTGCAGCACAAACCTTGGATCAATAAGCAAAAGCTGACCCTTCCACTTTTTCTTTTTTACTTTTAATGTTAATGTAAGGTTAATTTACATTACGACAAGCCTGTTTTCCACAACTTTACCTGGGGAACCTCGGCCCACAAGAACCCACCGCCGCTGACAGCGTCTTCGTTGACGATAAAAAAGACCGCGTCCAATGTAATACGCACGGCTGCGACTTTTGCTAACTTGGAAATAGTGTGAACGATCTCTGAAAATGGAAGAACATAAAGTCACATTTGCTTGCTCGTGTTTTGGGGGCTCCAATTCAGTTCTTCGGCGTTTTTAAAAGTGTTAAAAAGCGATTGAATACTTACTTGTAAACTGCTGGAGAGAGACTATGTCCACGATGCGAGCGCGAAACTTCATCTTTTGAAATTCGCGTACCGTCTGAATGTGATTCGGGTTAATTTCAAGCGTTTAAACTTTTTTTTTTTTTTTTTTTTGCGCTGCATTGACGTTTTTTATGAATTCCCGAACAACTAACCAAACCACCGAACGACTAATGTTTAAACGGTTAAACTGCGCAAAGGGACGAAACAAACGCACAAACCGCAACAAATTTTCTGCCCACACTGTCCGCAGACACCACGTGGTTTTGTCAATTCTAGCTAGGTAGCGCAAATCGCAGTCCAATTCATTTAGCAACTAGATTTTTTTTTATCTATCTATTCACAACCGGTTGTGATTTATCTATTCATTCGTTTCTTCTTTTCCTGGTTTTGAACTTTTTCCGTTCCTCCTTTATCGCGGCGGCGGTACCAGCGGTACACGTGTACAGTGTTTACAATGTTTTGCACCTTGGTGTTGCCTTTAGTTATTCTTTTATTAGCGCCGCAATTCTATGCTGCATCAAACGACCAGCTGCTAGATAGCTTTAACGCTGCAGTCACACAGTCGAAGCGACTACTAGTTATTTTCAGTACGTATGTCAAAAAGGCACTTCTGCGGTGTCACTGCGTCTCTCTTTTTATTTTTTTCTTATATCATCGCATTTTCATAAAGACTAAATTCCGTCACTTATTTTTACAGCGCAGGAATGCTGCGCTTGTACGGAATGCGTCGAAGCCGAAGAGATACTGAAGGCAAAGGCGGCTGACCTGGAAGACGACTTCGGAGTGACCACGTTCAAAGTGACCGCAAGACGGGACATCGAGGGTCGTTACGGAGTAACAGCGCGTCCTAGCATCATCTTTTTCCGTGACGGCATACCCGCACTGTACGAGGGTAATGAGGCTACGTTGTTTTCGTTTACGGTCTGTTGCAGGTTAACTATAGCAGGACAAAAGCTCCTCCCACAAGGCCCTTCACGCTTTCCACTTTAGCGGAGGAAAGCACCAATCATTTCGAGCAGACGGCTTTGTGGGAGGAACCTGTGCTACTATTCTTAACCTACAACAGAGTATAGCACCACTGTCAACTATTTGCTACCGTAACACTTCGTTTTACTTCGTACAGGCCAGTACCACCCAGACTCCATTATTGATTGGGTGGCTCAGACTCTGGAGCCAGCCACAAAAGCTCTTAATGATGATACTTTCGAACATCTGACACAAGCTGCTACTGGAGCAACCACTGGAAACTGGCTAGTCGTGTTGTAAGGAACCTTACTAATGGATCCTTCCCCTTGCGATTACTATATGCTTTGACACAGTGTCTGTGTTATTTCTCAAAGCTACAAGGATACTTGCGTGAAAGACGAAGCAGCGACATCTCTGCTTGAAGGTTTGTCGTCTAAGTAAGTATACAGTAACCGAATACGATTGTTTCCTTATGGTGTTGTGGCTTCAGTGCATGCTCTTGTGCGCTTCAGGATTAAGGGAACAACAAATGTGGCCAAAGTTGACATGGAAACGTGTCCGGGCCTGGTGGAAAGGTTCAAGATAAAAGACTGTCCAACCATCTACTTGTGAGTGTTTCTCGTTCACTAAAGCTCTAAACATCAGCAGTGGACTAAATGGTCCTTCTCTTTTAGCTTCCGTCTTGGCAAGATGTACAGGTATGAACCAAAGAAACTCGATGTCAAGTCGTTGAAGCATTTTGCGGAACATCTTTACAAGAACATGAAGGCCCATCCAGTCCCAGTACCTCAAACACCATTGTAAGTGAACAATCTTACGGTGGCAAGTTGAAATTGGTTTTCATGCTGATCGAACTGTGCCGGAAGGATTACCAAGAAGCGACACTGACTAGGGAGAGACGCGACATTCACAAGCAAGTGCTTACTTGTGCTTGTAGTATGGTCTTCCTAGTCCCATTGTCGTTTATTGGTCACCCTTTGCAGTGCAGTTCAATTAAAGCATGAAAAACAACCAACTAGCCCAATCTCAAACATTGTTGACATTGGGTGCGTATCATGAGTGTACAACGTTTTAGCAAATGATATATCACTAAGGCAAGTGTCCACCCACCCGCAGCCCCTTCGTTTACGCCGCTTTGCGGCGACTCCTTACACCCACCTGGCCCACCCGTACAGGCCGCTTCGCGGCGACTGACCATTCACTAAAGTGCCCTTCGATGAAAAGTCGGGGGCGGGACTTTGTTTGCTAACGTTGTTCGACCAACTTAGTGCCACCCATTGACATTGTTCTATTTTAAACTTTGCAGCGACAGGATGATAGAGCATATTGCTGCATTCCTCAAGGTAATATTTTTTCATCTTTTTCAAAAACAACCGCGCACTCCCAAGCTTGCCGTGTCATGACCAATGCACTTTATTTTTTGGTAGGAACACAGGAGAGCTGTTTTGCTGGGATTCACGGCAGCATTTTCTGTTGCTTACACTTTGTTCAAAGTCTTTACCCTCAAGAATAGGGCGAAGACCGTTAAAAAAGAATGAGTACAGAAGCAGAAGCCATGTCAAATATTTTTGTACATCAAAGTTTCAAATAAAGCTGGTATTTTGTTCCAGGTTCTCACCCATGCCTCTAGGATTGGCCTTAATAATGACAAAAAACAAACAAGTGTGGGGTAACTAGAACAAAAAATAGTTGCAGTGTTTACAATATGCTCAGCATGCCAAAACCAAGAGCCTCATCCATCGTATAAAAGGATGCGATCAAACCTCCATTCTTTCGTCCAGTGAAGTTGCCACACAAAATACCCGAAGAGCTCGATGCATGTTACTGTAGCTGGAAGTCCGCTAGGTACACCTCACACCTGAAAACTTCTCTGAAGCATAAATTGATATGGAAATCCACATTCAGAGAGTAGACTGAACTTGGTCAATCGTATTAGAATCAATACTCTACTGAAACACACACCGCGCGACACCGTAAACATGACATCGGCTCCTCTTTTGCATTTTACTCCTAAAAGGTATTGGTGGGCACCAAACATTGCTCCTCAGGTTAGTGCCCCAAGGGAGCACTTTCTATAACACAAGTAGCTTCAATGACAGCCCTTCAGTCCTAAAAAAAAAAAAGGTGGAAAACAAATGACGACGGCTCGCAAGCGCTAACGGTGTCGTGGGGTGTACGTGTTTAGTTTCCAATTAAAAGAAGAAAAAAACTCGCGCAAGTGATTTGCAGCGGTGCTCTCGAAGCCCTAGAAGATTGCAACCTTCCCTGAATTCCTGCTATCAGCACCATGCCCGCCTCGGAAGGAAGTAAGAACACACCACCACAGTTTTCTGCCCCACCCATCTGGCAATATCGGAAAGTAACCACACTATTCTGTCGGTCAAATGTCGGTCCCACATTTACACGTTCATGTTTCTGATGGTCACCACAAAGGCGTCGCCCACGGCGTCCGGCCTGGGACGCCCGGGCTGGAAGTTGAGGCCCGGTCGGAGCTGGGAGTGGGGCTGCGAGGGGCAGGCGCAGCAGCCGCCCCCTTCCAGGAGAAAGGTGACGGGGTCCCTCGACACCGGCAGGGGCGAGATGGTGGCCACCTGCCTCTTGGCGAGCACCACATACCTCTGGCGCCGCTCTGCAGAGGAGAGTGTCTTGGGCGGAAGTGGCGGCGGTGATGCCACCGGGGTCGTCTGACTAGACTCTGTCTCCCCTTCAAAGGTGAACTCTTCTTCGTCGGGCAGGGAGGGGGCCGAGGTCGCGTCCGACAGCTGGCTTCCGTCGCCGCCCGTGTCGGCAAAGTCTCTGGACGTCCAGGTGTCCTCGTCCGACGAGTGACGCGCGGGCGGGGCGGCAACGCTCAGGTTGGGCATGGAGTGGGCGTGCGCCCGGGCAAGGGCCGTCCAGGACGGGTCGGTTGTCGGGACTGGGCCGCTTGAGTCCGACGGCAGGGTGGCGGCCGCAGTGGGCGTGGCAGTCTCCGTTGCGTTGTTGCTGCTCTCCTCGACGGAGGTCTGCTTGGAGGGCACCGTCCTCTCGCAGATGACCCGGATGGTGCGCCCGAGGCCCGAGATGACTGCGTTCTCGTCGTGGCGCTCGAGCGTGCCTTTCCTGCCCCCGCGGAAGGCCGCGCCGCCGCCGTTGCGCAGGTTCTCGTGCCTGAGCAGGCTCAGCCTCCGCGAGATGCACAGGGGAATGTTGGAGAGAGACTTGAAGGGACTGGGCTGCCGCTTGCGACGGCTCCGCGCGGGCAGCGTGTTGAACACTAGGCTGCCCTTGTGCAGGAAGCAGGGCACCTCCACGAGGAACGAGTCGCCCTCCCTCGTCGCCTTGCCGTCGGCCGTCCGCCGGGAGCACACCCCCGCATAGTCTCCCCCGATTGTGAGCACCACATGTCGCTGCGCGGAGGGGGTGCTCATTTTGGAGGAGCACTGCGAAGCCTCCCCCCGCGTGCCGGCCACATCCGCTACGCCGCGCTGCCCTGACTCTCGGCCGTCTCCGGCGACGCACCCCACGTCCTCAAGGGAGGGCGGCTGTGAGTAGGGCGGGGGCGGGCCCCAGAAGTAGGCCGGGATCTCAGCGTAGCCGCAGGGGGCCTCTGGGAAGCCCTGTGGCCCGAACCTGGGGTTCATCTGAAGATGGTGGAACACGCCGTCGTTGGACCGCGTTCTTCGGTGAGCTGCGGCACTCCTTGCGCTCCGAGAGTGGCCGGCCCTCGCTTCGGAGTGCGCGGCGTGACTGCAGCCGTTGCGCCACGGACTGGGAGACCCGGGAGAACCCAGCACCTCCGTTGGAGACGGAGTGGAGCATCGCCAGCCGTCGCGGACCAAGAGGCGCTCCACGGCGTTGCGGCTGGGCCTCTGGGAAGAGCGGCTGCGACGGCTGCGCGCCCACGGCAGCCACGAGAGCGGGTGCCTGCGGCTCGGAGGTGCCCTCTCGTGGCCCGCAGCGGTCGGGCGGGTGGCCCGCGACAGCTCCTCCTGGGTCGGGCGCTCCGGTCCCACCGACTGTGGGGTCAGCAGCCGGTAGTCGAGCACGTCCCAGAGCGGCCACGGGGCGCACATGTCGTTGTAGCAGGCGCAGAACGTGTGGTTGGGATGGCGTCGGTACAGCAGCCGGCGACGCAGCTCCAGCTGCAACGGGCAGTACAAGCGTTGACAATCGAGACGAGTGTGAAGGAAAAACAATGTAGTAGATGCTTAGAGAGCTGTCTCTAGAAGTTGTTAGGCAACTTGGGCAAAGTCTAAAAAAAAAACCCAACATCACTTTTTTTTACGTTTATTTATGAACGTTGCTTACCCCTACAGGTGCCGCGACAGGTATGGGGTAGCATTTCACGTGCCATATATACTATGGTACAAGTCACATAAAATATATAATAAAAAGAAAGAAAAATCATGAATAATGTCACCTATTAGTAGGCCTAAAGCCCCTTCATGTTATAAAAGTAGAGCAAGGTGCGTCGATGCACAAGACACGTGCAACGTGCAGCCCCTGGGAAGATCACGGCAGCATAGTGCAGCACTGAGCTAGATTTCAGACACCATGTTCTTTCCAGAAGTAGCGTGCGGTGCGTGGCTCGAGCATTTCCACAACAATGAATGGCTCCACTTTTCCCAGGATAGAGGGGCTTTAATTAGGCCAACTTTAAGTGTATCAAACAATAAAAGAAAAAGTGTAATTGAAAAGCACTACACTTCAATAGTACAAAGATCAAACCGAACAGTCAACGCTAGTTATCACTTTCTGTGACGAGAACAAGAAAAACATTCAATGGGTTACACTACATAAATTTTAAATAGAATTCTGAAATTCCCGTGGTCAGCTTGTTTTACTGGGAACTGTTCATTACTCTAATGTGTTGCAGAGCTTACTGTGGATGCCTGAAGGCATCAAACAGGAAGGCAAACTTCAATGTAATGAATTCATACGGAGGTCTCATTACATTGTGTGAGGGGGGGTCTTGTCACAATGTGGAAAGCCAATAACTTTTTCCTCACAAACCACCCGCCATTGGTTTTCAGCTGGGCTGTGTGTTTATTGCTCGGAAGAGCAGCTACATGCCCAATGTTTGTGCGTTAATGACAACTGCCATAAGTAAATAAATGTTATTTGTAATGTGCATCGTTTTGTGGCACTGCAGTTGAGCTACTTGGTGAATGACTCAAACCATAGACAAAGATGAAGCTACGTGGTATGAGCTGACGAGCTTCAGCTCTATTATGGTGCCTGGAACGAGTCTGAATGATCTGTCTACCATGTCCTAAAGAAGTGGTCCCTCGATTTTTACCTAACGACGTCTCAGAAGTGTCACATTGTCGCTGGCCGGAGGTGAACAAGTCGCACGCCTATTCCGCTGCAGGTTGCTCTCCAGTTTGAGAAACCACGGCAGCCTCAGCAGCCAGGAGTTTTGGGACCCCGTGATGACAGCGACACTTGCATGTCGTACATTCTGTGGGGTCTTCAAGCGCCAACCGCTGGGACTGGGACGTCCCACGACGTGACAGGCCGGCTTTCGCGATTTCATTCATTGCCACTTCGAGACAACTTTTGACGCATCGGCAAGACGGGACACTAAATGAGCCGGTTGACGACACATTCCAGGTACCGTAGCCTGTGGCGTAGATGCGAGAGGGGGTTTGGGCCGCCCCTTGCAACCCTGCTGGCCTGGAGCGGGCAGGCGGGTCGCAGGTGTGTGTCTTTGAATGACGGCACGCACCTGGCACGTCTTGGCCACCGTCCTCCGGCGCCCCCAGGACCGACGAAGTCCGCGGCCCGGTTATGTGTCCTTCGTGTGTGTGTGTACGGGGTGGAAGGAGGTGTGCAGAGCTTGAACTACCGGGTAGGGAGATTTTGAGCCTTCTTCCGGTTTGGGACGTTGGGGGATTGCAATGACAGCCCGGCGGCAGCCGGCTGCGACGGCAAGAGGTTGCTGGATGTGTCGTCGCTCATTTTTGCCGAGAAGCATTTTGGTAAGTAACATTAGTTGTAGTAGCTCTTGTTTGTGCGTTTATCATTACCCTTGAACCCTGCCCTCACGTGGTACATAGGCCTTCTCTTCGGTGTTCCAGAGAGGGAATGTCTGTGAACCAGACGAGGGAATGTCACGTAACCGTCGTGAACAATGCTGCAGAAATGCGGGACTTGGTTCGTAAATTTGGTATCTCCAGACTTCGGGACCGCAACCGTTATAACCTTTCGGTTATTACGGTCGGCTCTCTGTAATCTGAAGTCGCTTTATTTGAATTCTCGGTTAGTTTGAAGCAGGGGCGTGGTACCGGCAGTTACATGCACAAGTCCATGGAGAAAAAAAAAAAAAGTGCAGTAATTGAAATGTTAACTTTTGGAACTGGTTCATACGAAGAATTTTTTTTGTGGTCGAGAGGCCCGGCAACTCGAGGAGCATGTAAAAAACCTTGCAATCATGCCGACCAAGTTGAATCGCACACGTGCATACTCTCAATATTATCTACCATGTGCGCGGTGCATAAACAAGCCGTGCTGCGCCAAGCCAGCATGGCTGCGGGCGTGCTCATCGCAGCTTTGTTCATGCGAAAGCTACAAAAGCGAGCATGGTGCATACAACCAATGAAGCTTGGCTCAAAGCGTTACCCAGTCCTACGAGATGTTTCATCCATGGAATATACTGATGCCAACAAACATATTGCGGTCTGCAGTCCGCCATTGGATGGTGAAATTGTGCAAGTACGTCGTAAGGCACAGAAACGATTGCATCGCTTTCTGTGCCGAGTGGCCAAGCGCCGCTAACGCAGAAACTGCTTGTGGCGCTACAGAGGCGCCCTAAGAAACAAAAATACAGTCAGTGCACGGGCAAGCTGGTGGAAGTGGAAGCCTCGGCACCCTAAGAAAGGTTCGCAATTTCCGGAACATAGTCAATACCGCACGTCTTTGTTAGTGGAGACGAGCAAAGATCAGCTACTTCCAATGAGTACTGAAGAAAAAAGCGAACGGTTTGAGTAAGTTTTAGTTTAATTCAAAGCATTTTGCTGTCCCCATGAGCTTCGAATTATGGAGAGTCAACTGTATAACTATAAATGCCTGAGCAACAACAGGCGACATGTTTCTTTCCAGCTTTTCTTTTTTCTGCCCCTCCCCCTTTCTCCTCCCCCCAAATCATTCCCTCAAAGCACAAGCTCGTGACAAAAAAGGGCGGAGGAGAAACGACTGTGCTGGCAACCCCCCTCCTCACTATAACGTACTGGCTACGCCACCAATATAACATACTGGCTACGCCACTGACCATAGCTGCACCGCACACTTGCTGTTAAGGGTAGCACATGTGAGCAACACAGAAGAAATCGTGGCCCGAATAGTACCTGTTCGAGGTAGACCTTCTTGCGTTCGTGGCTGAGCAGCTGGTAGACGAGCATGGAGGAAAAAATGCACACCAGGATGCCCACCACCGAGAGACCGAAGAGTGCCCGCAAGCAGCCGTACAGGCTGCCGTGCACCACCTCGCAGTTGGGTGTGTTGTTGAACACAAACTGGTGCTCCCCTGCACAGCAGAGAAAGGCAACACACGGGAGGCCCGCTGTAGCCGCTATAGCAACACCTTTAATGGACCAATCTATCCGGTCAGATAATTACCCCATCATCTCAGTCCAGCAACCCTTCAAAAAACCTCTACATTTTTCCATCCAAAAAAATGTACAGGTATTTTTTCACCGCAGAAATAAACTGCCTCACCGAATGCCCATTCTCCGCCTAATTGTAGCCCTAGCGGTTCGATCTAGATGGCAAGGTTTCAGAACCCGCATCTTATTCAAAAGTTATAAGTGATGATTTTCCGAAAATTTCAAAGAGAAAATGGCGGCCGACAGAGCTCTCAAATACATGGAGACGAATGACAGCACCAGTCACCAAAAATGGGCCCCATATTCCCCGTTGAGATTGTCAGAAAATCGTTTTTAACTTTTGAACGAGATAATGATTAGTTCTGGAGCTTTGGCGTCTGGTCTGAACCGCTGGCACTACACTTGGGCGGGGAATAACATGTTTGGCAATGCATTGTTTCATTTTGCGGTAATGAAAACACTAAATTTTATTTGGGGGGGGGGGGGGGGGGGGGGGGCACACTGTACATTATGAATGAAACAACTCAATTAAATAAGAATTTACCTATCCTAAAAATGTACTCGGAAGTCAGAAATTTTATGTATATTCCTTCAAAAATGCTACAAGGATGTAGTCCCAATAATGTGAAGTACCACATGCTCCTGAAATCTACTTGTAGTAAATTAGAAGTATTCAACATATACTTGGAAGTACTACAGGGTCTGTGAGGGTTCAGAGATTTTTGCAACGCATAAATAAACTGCATTGTAGAACACAAACTCTGCTGGACGATAGCCCCAGCAGTGATTTAGTTTGTTGCAACTCAAGAAGGTAGCGTGAGGGAAAGGAAGGCCGGGGAGGAGGAAACAGACGGAATGCTGGAGAGGAGGAGGTTCCCCTCTCCTCTCCAGCATTCTGTCTGCTTCCTCCTCCCCAATGTCCCTTTCCCTCGCCCTACTTTCTTGAGCTGTAACTTACTATAGTCGGTCGCAAAGGATGCAACAGAATATGTCACCTGCATCAAAAGTTAGGCACCATTTAGTTCTTGCTTTTCAGCTAACCAGCATTTTGCATTACTAGCTGATGTAAGCCAACCATTTCATTCCAGGGCTCATAGATGCAGAAGTGGTTGACCCAAAAAAGAAGAAAATTTAAAAATGAAAATGACAGCTGGCACTGTCTGACGGGGTGCTATTTACAAGTTATGGTTTCGCTGCCAACAGAGTAAACTTTCACTTAAAAATAGAACCATAAAAAAAGGAAAGAAAAAAAGGTATTTTTGAACTTTTGGGGTTGCAATTAAACTTTCAAATCTAGCCAGTGCCGCGAAAGGTTCAATTGGTGTGGTGAACATTCTGCAATGAGCAGTTCATCTTAGTGCTACAAAACCCACCCAAATGGCTTTCTTGATTGACAACATACTTAGAACACTTACCAACACTGGCATTCACAACAGAAAATCGGAAGAGTAATTTTAGAGCGCAGCTCTTAGGCGCCCGTTTCCGACGTTGCACTATGGGACGTTTCTCATGACGTCACACGTGACGTCGCAAGGGTCACTTGTGAAGGTCACAACGAACAGCATGACCTTCACAGTGAAGGTCACGAGCTTCACGTGACCTTCACGAGTGACGTCACGAGGGGGGAGGGAGGGAGGAGGAGAACGAGGGGAGGAGGAACATGCCCCCCTCTCCGTACCCTCCCCTCCTCCTCCTCCTCCTCCTCCTCCTCCTCCTCAAGAGCTGCGCTCTAATTCGGCATTACAGGGAATTGTAAACGTCTTTCATTTTTACAACTTCCCCCTTTCAACACACCCGCGGGCTGAGTCCAGCAACCGTCCAGAATGTCCTACTGAAAGCACACAAACCAGAGTAAACACCCCTCCCAGAAACTTGTGGCCGTTTGCTGTTGACTGCCCAAGCGAGGAGAAATTGCACCCACCGTCGGGGGCTGGCAACTCGGCGATGGCTGAGAGGCACATGCAGGCCTTCTCCTTGGAGGAGTAGTCACACTTGTGCAGCGTCTGCAGCCGGTTCATGTGCACCACCGTGGTGGTCACCGTGATCACCACGCAGAGAAGCACGCATGTCAAACAGCAGCCGCCCGCAAACTTCACCTGGGGTGGAGACGGAGAAGGGGTGCTCGCAAAATATCCTCAATTTATATTTAAAAAACGTAACAGATATCAGACAATGCCTAGAAGAAAAGTACACATTTGTGCTGTTGTTACCTGCACAGAAGACTATTTTGTCATTGTTACAAGCCTTCAATGGCAGGAATTACTTTCGTGTGGAAGTATGCAGCAAGCATCTTGCAACGAATCTCGTTTACTCGCTGTAGTTTACTGCTGGATGTGAAGAGGCTTACGGGAGAAAGCTCAATGACTATGAGCGTTAGAACGGCGAAATAGAGCATTAAACATGCTTGCTCGTAGCAGGTTGCCCGAAGACAACACTTTGTGTGCTGTGTGGGAGCGTGCTGTTTGGCGGGGGGATGATTGGCCGCCTAAGAATACTGACGTTCTGTGTTCAGTATACTTCTAAGATGACTGCTTTGACGTAAGAGGTCAAACGAGAGCATACCTGCAGAAAGCAGTGAGTATCGTTGCGACTGTGAACGCTTATTATTTTTTCGTTAGTTGCATCTAAAACACGAGATGGTATGGTTATAACAACCGTGCACCTGCAAAACAAGTAGTATAAACAACTTTATTTTCGCGAGCTTGATATTTCTCCAATCTCTCAAACTGCCGATTTCGGTGTTAGATCACTTACACAAATTTTCGAGATCGTGAGAGGTATGCTGCTACTTATACATTACGAAAACATTAAATAGGCTCAATACAACTGGATAACGAGTTGTTGTGAAGGAAAAGTGGTTTGAATAGAATCATTCGGGTGTTTGATAACCGTTTTGAGGGAAAATTGAGTATTTTCTCACTGATTTTGCCTCTATCAGCAGCCTGCCGGGGAGCATTGGCTTTTTCAACTTATTTAAATACTTTACTATATTTAACTCACCATTGTGAGTGTTATGTTTTCTGTAAATACTGTGAATAAATAAACAGACTAAAAAAGAAAAGAAAAATGTGAGTTTATGTTTACAACCATATCAAAAAAGGAAACATTTTTTGTTCTTCCACTCTGCCTAGATGCTTCTGTAATAGTTCAGAGGTAACTCCGAAGTTATAATGAGATATTCGAGAAAAAGGAATGCAACGTGTCTTAAGCAACCTTTGAGTTCTTTAAAACAAAAAAATAATTGTCTTGTTTTCTACGTAATACGCAGCCCCAAAAGCAACAGAGCACTGCAAGTGCCCCTTCCAGCGCCGTTTCTTTTTTTGCCCCAAGTAAGATGGCTGCCGACCGGCTAATCTGGCTTCACACGGTCGCATGGGAGTGTGTGGGAGACTGCCACTCCAGAAGTCTTATATAACCTCCTTGGTTTAGACTCATGTTGGACGTTTCTACGGCCTCCTTCTGTCACCATATTTGAGGCTACGGGCAGAGCACTGCAACAGGTTGAAAGTGATGCCGCACAGCTGCTGTGTCCTGATGTCATCATCATTGTTTACTTTCCTTGAGGGCCATAGGGGCAGTATACAGGGGGGCGGCAATAAAACAAAAAATAGAACAGTAAACACAAATATAACCCTGTAAGCTAGTAAGCTAAGTTAAATAGAAAGAGGGCAATGAATTGAACAAATTTAGCAGCATCATTTATAGAAACAATGTTGTCAGGTAATGAGTCCCAATCCTCGATAGCCAATGGTAGTGCGGAAGTCTCGTGAAAAACAGTTGATGATTCAATTGGGCATAATTTACGTGGGTGATCTAAACGAGGTAAAATATGGTGGGGAGGTGAGAGTAATGATTCTCAGAGGTGGTTATTGTAAAAAAAAAAAAGAAATTCAATGAAGTGACACTTGGTGGCAAAGGGAAAGTGAATGAAGTTTAGCTGATTGGCATAATCCTGATATGCTGGTATATGTTGAGTATGGTTATTATAATCAAAAAGAAGGGCCCTGTTTTGAACTAGTTCTAGATGATTTGTGAGCCATGGAGACCATATAGGTGAGGCATATTCTAACTTGGATCCTATAAGATAGTACACGCTGGTAGTGCAACTAGTACGGAAATAAAAAAAATCCGCCAGAGAAAAGATTGCATCGTTCAACCTGAAGTTTTTGCAGCCAACCTTGGCAGAGCTGTAGTGTCTTACTAGGACTACTGTCCGAGCTGATGAAACAGCAATCGAGTGAGCGCTGCATGCCTCTATTGCAAGTTCTTTCTTCTGGCATACGGTGCTCCTGACCACTGCATTAATGGCTGTTCATTTTCCAACGAGCATCCACTCTTTTGACTAAGCCATCCAGACAAACGTATGGGATTATCAAATCTTGTGCCGAGGTTTTTGATAAGAGTAAAAATCTACCAACCTGCGAGGCCCTTCGCAACCAACGTTGAGGTGAGCACCGACACGACTGAAGCAACCAAATGCTCGGATATTTTAGCGCTCAAGCCATGCTTAACGGTGAGCAGGATGATACGAGAGCTTACTCTTGTACCAAAGGTCATTAGAAATCATAAAAATGTGCTTTCTCACTCACCAAATAGGTATACCGGTTCCGACGCTTGGCAAAGCACATCACCATGAGTCCTGTCACTATTAGCTGCAAAATGAAGCGCGAAAATGGGAAGAATGACCTCAAAGTACAGTATCATCGGTGGTAATGGCACCATTATAAATTGCATGCAAAGCAACAAATATCTATGTGAGCAAGGTGCAACACAATTACCGTAATAATCCGAGAGATGCCCCAACCCCAAAAGATAACCCACCCCTATTTTTGGCATGGTTTGCTATTTTTTTTAAAAACACTGAAAGACAGCCCACTTTTAGTAATTGCAGGGCCCTGGCCAATGGCGACCTTGGCAGAAATGGTGTTACTTAGCCACGGGGGGTGATAAGCAAACATTGCTGACTGAAAGAACAGTTGTTTTTGGTTCATCGCCCCTCCCTGCCATCACAAGTTTCCCAGGTCACAGAATCCAAAAACTAGCATTTTTTCAACTTTTTTTAAATCGCTCACTGAAAGTTAATTTACTCTCTATTTTTACTCGATTTACTTTCAATCTTAGATGGGCTATCTCTAGGGATATTACGGTAGTGCCAAAGATCAATCGCAGGTATTAGAGTTTCACTATTGCATACCAGCCTCAAGAGTATCTAACCTGCAATCTGAGTTCATCAACGAGGGGCTTAGAATAACATCAAAATGTTGCATATTTCAAAATGCAAATGCTTACTGTGCAGTCTGATAAACAAAATGCAAGATATTGCAATGTCTGAGCACAGAAAGTAACCTTTACTATGAATGAAAATCTGTACAAGTCCAAAGGCCTCCCCCCCTTTGAGTGGCTTTAACACTTTTTGTTCACGAGCAAGTGCATAAGCCATAGAATTGACGAAATGGCGCCAGCAAACTTGTTCAGTCGCATTCACAGGTTTTGCGGCCCTACCATGCTGCATGGCCTCTGAATGCCTTTTCTGTTGCTACTCAAGATCAATAGTGATGTCTTGCATTCGGCCAAATGCTTCAACTCGCCACAGACAAGAACTTTGCGTAAAAGTGCAGGGCCATTGCCAACCAGGAACATGGTTGCTCGACACTTGCTACTTTGGGCACCATTATGTTGACACTAGCTATGTCCGAGTCTTCCGCAGTACCGCATGCCGCTAAACGTGCACGCAAAGCATGCAAAATTCTTTGCGTCCCGAACGTAATCTTTCCAAAAAGGTGAGCACACACAACACGCAAAGCTGGCCTTCGTTTTGCGCATGCATGATGTAGACCCGCAATGCACAAATTTCCTAAGCATGTATTTGACTTATAACCCCGCCAGATTGGTCATTTAGGTGTACTTCGACCAAGTGCACTTCAGCTATCTGAATGTCACTTCAAGTGTGTTGGCGCCGGAAGGAAAAGATTAGTACCACGTGGGAAAGATTAGGAAACGATGGGTAAAGTACTGTTAGACACAAAAAAATGTTGAAGTAAAGGCATAAATGTCTCGGCAATATTTCCTCTTTAATAAAGACATGTCACAATAATTAACTATCTCTACACCAATTTGACGGTTCTGATCAATCTTCCCCAGTCGAGACGAAGAAGCAGATCCAACCTTGGCGTTCCACCTAGGTCTGTGAGGATGCCCCGACACTGCTTTATTTGATAATGAGGATCATGTCGATACTGAAGTAGACTGTATACTTCTTTGCTATCCAAGACGGGATTGGAACGACTGCCTTTGTCGTAGTCTTTTATCGGTTCACCACGGCGCTAATCTCGGTGCAGGTCAGCCTAAACTGTAAAGCTAAGTAGGTCCACCCAACGATTTTATTTGCAATGACACTCCTCACTCTTTTTTCTTCCTCAGATTCCCGATTCTTTTTAAAATAAAATTCACGCCACGTCTCCGATTTCCACATTGCTATGTTTTACTCTCGAAACACTGCTATTGAGGCTACACACTCAATGGAGTGAAGCAAGTTCATCAGCTCGAACTTACCTACCGAGCACCAAAAATTTTTTACTATATTTTACCGCAAGTGACACAAATGTGAAGCCGAAAAACCTATGTTGTCCAGGGGAACAGACACAGAGAAGGTCACACTGACCACGGCGGCAGGGACATAGGTGGGGATGGTCTCGAAGAACTGCAGGGAGGACGTGTATGACCTCAGGGTGAAGTAGATGGCGATGAAGAGGACACCCACAAAGACGGCCGAGCCCCCGCAGACCAGGCACAAGATCACATACTTTCGCAGCCAGATCAGCCACAGGGAGGACCTGCCCTCTGCAGGACGCATGAAGAGCAAACAAGCTTGTCAAGTATCTCGCGGCAACTAACTAAAAGAGGTATGATCAAGTTCTTGATACCATCATCTCGCTTACATTGGGCACTGAATAAATACCTGGGCCAGTCATGCGATGGACCCAAGTCATTTTGTAACACCTATTGGAACCACCAAAAGTCTACTGTAAAACCCTTAAAGTTTGTGAGTTCTTAATTTTCGCGAATTTCACGAATTAAAAATTTCGCAAAATTTAAGGGCACACAAAAATTTTGGTTTCGAGAGTTTCAATGCAGGCGTCTGGAATTCGTAAAATTTAATGGCCGCAATTATGTCCTCTTTGAACGATTTGCGAAAATAAGGGGTTTTACAGTATTATGAAGCAGCAAAAAGTACTTTTTGAGCACAAGCACAAACTTCAATTTTATTCATACCACTCTGAATATCATATGTCAAGATTTGTGTGTTGGCCTATCCAACTAAAAACTGTGCACGCTTTGCCTTCACACTTCTGTGCGACAGCAGGTTTGATTTACTTATACACAGAACTAGCTGTTTAGTTGCACATAGAAACACTGGGCATGTTAACAAAATGCTGATCGATGAAGGACAGCATGAACTGCTGTGAATGGTCATTTTAGCTACAAAATAAAATGTAAACCAAATAGTATACTGTCACAAATGACAAATGATGAGGCGGCAAATAACTAGAAAAACTAAACATTTTAATGGGGCTATCTTGTACCCAAAACAAAATAGAAGCAGGTTAGCGTCGCAGGCATCGATGTCGGCAAAACAGCAGGATCAAGTGCTGGAGCGAGGCGGACTGCGGCTCAGCATGCGGAGCCCCTTATGTACATGCATGGGCTTCTGAAACAATCTGCGCAGCAGGTTCGGTGCATAGAACATTTCAACCTCGAATAAACAACAATGTTCTCAAATTCACCAGAACGTGACATTTACAGAAATAACAAAAAGGCACGCCCGCTCCAGGCATTGAACCTCGAGACCTTTGGGTAGGAGCCAAGGACGATAACCGTTCAGCCAAAAGGGCACTGCCTACTTGGCCAGCTGCGCGTGTGGCAATATTTCACTAAAATAATATTAGAATAATCTTGAGCACACAAATTGATGTTTTATGCAAGTTCTAATGGTTGTAATGAAACAAATATTCTTACTTCAAATTAAAAAAAAAAAAAAAAAACCTTTGTCAAAAAATTTTAAAAATTAATCATATTTTGTATGTAGAACCTTATAATAACATAGATTGGCATGTGAACGATTTCTTAAAACAATCCAGCCAAAGTTGTCCAGGTTATTCCCAAGCTTCCTTCTACTGCTTCACCGAGTTTAGTTTAAGTTTGTTCTATTGACTGCACCTCGAACAGATAAAACATATATAAAGGTGACAACTAAACAATAGAGTTCAAATAAAAATAAAGCTATGCAGAGCGTAAGCTCGTCTGTTCCCTCACTAATCAATACCCCAACTAAATCAGGAATTTGAAGAAGATATCGACAGAATATCACAGTTTATCATAAATAATAGCTTCAGTATAAATCAGAAATTTTTACAACTAAGAGATGTTACATCAATACTCCCGAAGTTCTTGTTTTTTTAAACATACCCGACGCTTGCGTGTTAAAGTCTCACTCTGGGGGAATGTTTTCCTTTTAGCACTCGGATGCACAACAGCAAAGCAAAATAAGCAAAATTGCAATGCTTATACTTCGCGGTTACCGCTTCACTGCAGCACACAAGAGCACGGTGGGAAGCACACTCAACAAAGCTAACTTACACGCCAGAGCAGACTTGGAACATGAGATATAGCGAAACTTCCAGGTATTGTCAGTGTTTGACACTGATAGAAAGATCAAATAGGATAGTATGTTATCTGCGGCTAAAACCAAAAGTTCAGAAAATTCGCACAAGCCTACCTACCATAACTATCCAGACGTGTAGCGGGGCCTGGGCCATTATATTTTCGGTATTTACTAAAGTGAAATCAAGTTTTGGCCCAATATTCGTGCAAGTTCCTCACATTTGGGCTAATTGTAGCACAATATAGCAGGGCCCTTTGGCCCAGTTTGGCTCAGTAATCACATCACTGCTGTGCGGAGACACACCAACAGACCGCTTTTTATCTTTGCGTATTTCAAGTTACCATGACAATGATGGGGTGTTTTCATTTACAAAATTACCAGAACCATTCCGTTTTTTTGTCTCGTGTCGTATTCACAGAAAGTGAGCTTCCACAAGATTCCTTTCTCATCATCAAACCTGAAGCGCTTGGGTGCATATTATTGGCTGCTTATTTTTTCCCTCCCAACTCTGTCTCAGCAAGCCTCTAGAGGGTAATTTAGATCACCGGGGGTCTTTAGGATGCAACGAAAATCCAAATTAGAGTGCTCAAACTACTATAAACGTGAATCAGAATATCAGTGATGGAAACAGCATTTCACTTTTTGTACCAGGTTTCGTAGCAGGCAAGATATTGGTTTGGAGCAGCCACTGACATTTTTGAAGCAGATGTCAACATCTGTGTGCTCATCACGTGAAAATTAATAAGTGATTGCATCGCTAAATGGAACACAGAGCACACAGCCATCTTTTAGAAATAAAGATGCCATTTACAATCTATATATATATTTTTTTTAATGAAATATAGCATTATATTTTAGTTAAGATAAAGCCTTATCTCACTTCCCCTTTTACGCTCCGTGGCTCATTTAGCCTGCAATTATTATTCCTCCAAACTCCCAGCAAAAGTCAGCACATCCGCCAAAAACGTCCAGAAATAAAAATAGGGACCATAAATTCTTCTGAAACTACCAATCTCAAGATTCTAATATCATAAACTGCAAAAACTACCACCCACATATATGATGAAAACCTGCAGTTGTGCTTTAAATAAAAGTATCAGTGCACTTGAGCATTGAAACCAGAAATGACTTAAACCTTGCTGCCCTTTCGAATGATCTTACCCACTGCTCCTAGCACTGTGGTGCAGAGTGGTGGAGCAATGAAACAATGCAAGCACGCTGGTGTGAGGCGGGGAAAGTTGACGCGAGCAGTGCAAGTAGCCATGGCATGTAGGTGTCTGACAGACATATGATAATTAAGCGATCTCATCAGGAGTAAAAGGTCCCGGTTTTGTTGTAACACAGTAACCACCATCCCACTGTTTTGGAAAAATTTTTCGCAACTTTTAGCTCCTCACATTGCCGACATTGTTTGAAAATTCAGACGATGACAACTTCGGCAAGAATGATGAGCAGTTTTTATACTTCGTTTCTTGAGTCAAGGCGCAGCCAATGCTACGAGCCAATCGGATTAATAAAACAGCGTCAAAAGTGTGACATGATGACAATCGTCATCTTTCTCTAGGTATTATTTCATAGGCTAAACGAATGAAGCAGAGGGAATAATTGCGCTTTTAGTTTGTGCGCTGGTGGTTGTATCTGTTTTCAGCCTTCGACTGCGCTCTGACCTAAGATAAAATCAACTATACGGCAAGCAGAGACACTGTGAAATACATATTTGTACCCTTTTCCATTCATTCTACTTCTCTAAATATTATATTTTCCAATAACATTCTTGTTTTCTTTGTTTCAGTTCATCTTGGCACAGGTGAGGCACAATTCTTAGGAAAACTGCCATTTTAGCACAAGATGTAGCAGACGTTCATGGTGCAATTTGACGGAAATGGCGCAGCACTTTCATCACTAGAATATGGGCACCTCAGCCAGGGTTTCAGACTGCAAACTGGAGATTGGCTGGTTGAACTGGTTGGTGTGCCAGCCTATGCAACACAATGCTATGAGAGCAATGTTCTTTTAGGATACTTGCAGCACACAACCAGCTGCAAAGTAGCATTGCCGAGAACCACAAGCTTACACTCACAGTCTCGGCCTTTACTCAGTGCTTTGACACACATAACAGAGAGTAAGCTCCAAAACTTTGGCATCTGGACCCAGCTGCTGGCACTAGATTTAGGCAGAAACTGAAGGTTTGGCAATGCATATCTTAATTTTAGGTGAAAAAAAAGTGATTTCACTTTTTCCTAAACACCTAGTATACACATTGCTGGTGATCTTTTGCATATCGCCTGTGTTTTGTTGTTATGTCTGATAGAAGATGGTGCTAGCAGGTGTTTGATGCATATTTAGGTATGAACAACAAATATCTGCAGTTTGAATGTGTACCTTGAAAGCATGGCATCCCAAAAGATCACAAATCTCACCAGTGATTAAATTCTCTATGTTGAGTTTGACAGCGACAGAGATAATGCCCATGACAAACCCATGGAAGGGTTTGTCATGGGCATGACAAACCCTTTTGACCCATTAATTGATTAAGAAATTAATCAGCAATTTACTGATAGGCTATGGCTTAAGTGATCAATGTCCCAGTCTCAATAGACACAGATAACAATAACAGTTTTATCATCCGCAGACTTCGTATCTGCACCCGAACCACATCTGCAATGTTTTTAAATTATTATATCTGCATCCGATCCGCATCCAAACTGCATCAGCTAAATTCAGAAGCGCATACAACACGCAATACGGGCATTCACTTTACATCATAAAATTCAGCGTACATCCAAACTGCATCAGCTAAATTCAGAAGCGCATACAACCCGCAATACGGGCATTCACTTTACATCATAAAATTCAGCGTAATGAAAAAAACAATTTCAGGATGATACCTTATAAGCCGTTTGCTCATCTTTGTACAAAAAACCTCTATGAGCCAGAATACGGTGAAAGCCATTTTATCGTATTCTGTCCTATTGTATTTATAATATAAGGAATCATCCTTTCAAAACAATTCCATCTCATCTCCCAGAACGATTCATTATAATATAAGGAATCGTCCTGGGAGTTTGCAACACTCTGCTCAGAAGATGTGCTCAAAAGGAAAGAAATCTTAATATCTTATTTTATTTTTGCTTTGGAACACTTACTTCAAGCAGATTATCTAAAGCTGAAAATCAACAATGAATGTACTAACAACATTGTGTCAATTTATTTCGATCAAACAATAAAAAAAAGTGGAAGAGAAATGGCAGCCATTCACCGCAGTGAAGTACTCATATTTAAGTGGAAGACGCGAATACACCACTGGGAAAATATCACAGAACTTAATAATGACAGCGCCTCCTATCGGCTTCAGTTTTAAACAAGAACCTGCAGCTGAATGCTCTAAACCGCACACTTAGCAGCGAGTTGCCAAATGTTGGGAAAAATAAAAAATAAATGCACGCCACGAAGGGAAGGAGGCTTCTTGTACTTTTTTGTACATTGTATGTTTTGGGCTTTTTTTGCTCCAGAAACGCTTTCCCTTCTTTCCCTGTTAGACAAGAACATGCCTTTCCAGGACGACTGATGCACCTGCATTCTTTACTTTTTCTAGGGACAACATTTTTGGCAAGAAAGCACGCTCTAGAGCAATATTTGGGGAGAATTTAGTCTTTCTTGGTGTAACGAGCAGTCTTTCCCCCGATTGGCATATTTTTTTTCTAAGAGAGTAATTTGCTCCTGCAAAGCATTCGGTGATGCACTTCATAATGTCACTCACTTATTCACCCTACACTCTGCAGTCGCACATACTTATGAGCCGCCTCGGCAAAAATCTAGAACCGGACCGGCGAATACGCGCATCCGATCTGCATCCGCAGTCCCTGGCATCCAGCATCCGATCCAGAATCTGCCAAATTTGGTTCATTCTATACACCAGTTGACTGCAGATATCCGCGGATGATCCATGGGGAATCTGCAGATACGCAGGGTTCTAAACACATAACAAAGGAGTCTAAGCAAGCAAGGGGCTAATGCACCAAGAGGAGGTTGAGGAAAAGTCACTTGCCTTGCCTGCGACCTGGGGTGGCCTCGTGGCCGTGCCTGCAGCCCAGCGAGGAGGGCGGCAAGAAGGGCTGGGCGTAGGGCAGGGTCCCCGGAACCCCAGAGGGGGAGAGCACAGCCGAGGGCCCCTGGGGGGACGCCTCCATCCTCAGGGAAGGGCAGGGGACGGCCTCTGCACCGGGCCCACCCTCGCTGCGCCCTGCCGACAGCACAAACTGCTTCAATCGCACCGTGGGCTCGAGGGCTTCAGCGACAGCCACTGGCCACGTCGCTCATCGGACAACACTAAGCTCCGATTCGCTTTAAAGGGGAAGAACGACGACTCTGACGTCTAAAGAATGCACTGCTCATATTTTTTATATTGTTTGCCTTGGCACAAGCAAGAGAAAACGCAGCCCCTTCGCCCAAGATACTGCAATTCCGCCGCGTAACTCGAAAGAAAACAAACTCGTAATTTCTCGATCTGTAGTCATGTGTGAAAGTCGTTAAAACCCCGGTTTCACATCATGGGAAGTATGCAAGTTTCCGTGACGACGTCTAAAGGAAGTCAACCCTCTTAAATGCAGCCCTCCCTCGTTTAAACTTTCTCTTGTCTCGATCACCCACCGCAACCTCCAGCAACATTAAGCCCTAATAAAGTCACCATTGTGGAGGGAGCGGAGCACTGCGGACAGTGAAGATAGAACTCAACGAGAAGCAACCTGGTACCCCTGTGACATCGCTCGAAGGACAGTGCAAGAGTCGAAGGGTACCTCGAACTTCGATTTGTTTCGTTTCTTTTAAACAAAAACCAACGCATGCAAGAAAACATATTTCTTTTCTGCTCTTTTTTTAAAGGTGACATAGATAGTTATTTGCAATTAAATGGCCAAGGCCAAAGTTCGAAAATCGTTGTGCTTTTCCTGCCATGCAAGCTGGACCAGTCCGTGCCCGCTTTCAGTGCCTCGTTCGGTGCTCCTTGGCTGGCTCCCAGTGCTCACCTCCCCTCCTCTCTGTCGCACACCTCGAGGTACTGACGGGTGCCTAACAACTGGTGCAGGACATCATTACAAAAAGTGTTCCCCGACAAAGCTAACATCTTCCGCACTGCACAAGTTACCTCGTAGCGGCTGTAACTCCAGGGACCCTGGCCGTCGCAATTTCTCCACACCTTCTGCCCTTTGCCTGGAGCTTAGACTCAGCTATAAAAAGTTTCAGTGTTGGCTGACTCAGTATTGCCAAGGTTCACTAGCTCGTCCGTCTCCCGTCATTCGTATTGGCTCACTCCCACAGACCACTAAATTCATTCACTTCCAATATCACATTCACGTTTGGAAACTTTACATAGGTATGTTGCTAACAAAGCACAGGTTAAGAAAGTATGTGAATCACGCATTAATCGGTAGTAGCAGCAGGCAGCAGGTAGGCATTGTCTGCATCTTTGTATGGGGCGATGGTGCCCTGTTGGCATTTATGGGAAGCATGTGCAATGGTACCAAAGCAAGAGGGAACCAGCAATTTAGACATTGTCAGTTTAGAGGGAGTTGTGTATTTATTCATTGTCTGAATAAAAAAATATAGGTTGCCAGAAAGGGTGCCCTAAAGAGACACTGACAACCCCTCCAAAAAAATTTTTTTATTTTTTTGCTAGGCCATTTATTATGGTGTCAGAAGACTACCCCATCATTATTTTGCCACAGCATCAAATATTTTTTTAATAAAGTCAAAATGTGCAACTACTTGGAACCGAACATGGACTGGGAGAGGAAGAAGAAACATAGAGGAGGAGAAAGTTACCAAAAGTCAGATGGCTGTGCAATTCCTCTTTTTTTTTTCAATCAATGTATTTGCAGCTTTTTAGAAGCAACAAAAAATGGGCATCATATTTGTTGTATATTTTTAGTATTAAATGTGTGCCTTCGATGAACCATGCCTTTGATTTATCTTTGGTGGTTGTGTTTAAACCATAGAAAACTGCACATGACCACGGAGAAGAGAGTGAGCGCAAATCAAGCCGGCCAGTTCTCGGTCGGTGGTTTTCAGGTGGAAAGAAAACAAATTTCGATCCGCAAATTGTGTTCTGGGTAGTTGGGCTCTCATATGTCATGCACAAATAAAAATTCCGAGGACACCTAAGCACTTCTTAAGAGTTGTGAATGCAAAAGCATAAATGTCATTCTTCCGATCCCTCAGTTCGTCTGCAGCATACTGGCGTAGACGGGCACGTTTAGCTACTGCCGAGGTAGCGGCCAACGGCCGAACGCGCCCTTTCGTGAAGTTGCCGCGCCACGCTGAGCTCAGCCTTGGAGCCTCGTTCCTTGAAACTAAGACGCGGGCCAGCCAATGGGAGCCTATCCATTAGATTTCTACTACAGACGACAGGCTTCACTCCACTGGGACAGGGGAAGGTGCCACTTGGCGCGGCTTCAACAGCTGATGACATCGGCTCACTCCATGCGACAGTTAATGCTTTCGCATTAGAAACCTTGGCCACCATAAATACCCTGTCAGTGTCCCTTTAACCCTTTGACAGTCGTCGCCATACATGTACAGTGGCGATTACACATTTGAAGGTATTCGCCTAAACGGGAAACCAAGTGCATTGTGGAAGGCCTTTTTATTTGGTATGCATTTGGAGGTTATGAGCGTTATATATGCACAGTTTTCATTAACATTTGCACAGTGTTTCGCTTTGCTGAACTATTTAAAGTTTTTAAATTTAACGCTCCGCAAACGTGACAGACGGCAGATGGTTCATTCGAATGTCGGCTGCTCTGGCGGTAGTGGCAATTGGAGCACCGGCTCTTACACTTCGAACTTCTATGTTGCTCAGAATTTAACTCAGAGGATGAGAACTTACAATTCGACAAAGAAGCTCTGTAAAGTACTGTCAGGGAAGCGAACGCGCCAAAATGAAACCGTGTTGAAGAAAGGTGACAACTTTTCACCTTCAATATTTACATTTGATGCACCTAAACCTGAACCGCCTGCAAGCCTTGAACGTATTTCCGCTAGATAGTTGAGAAATAACCTGCACATTGACATTTCTTTACACTATTCCTTTGTAAACAAAACCTGACCACTGGGAAACATCGTTTGGCCGAAAATCTCAACCGTCAAAGGGTTAAGAGGGCAATATTGAAAGTAGAAATACAAATGTTTGAATGAATGTTTTGGAATGAAGACCCTTTAAATTAAGCAATAATTTTGCCTTTGGAGTATTATAGCTTCACTGGCGATGCTGACCACAGATGCTAATGCTACTTTATCTGCTGCCTCACTCGACAAATGTTTTCCAATGATGATCACTCATTAGAAATGATTAAGGTAAATCTGTCACCGAAGGACCACAAGCTAAGTAACGCTCTACCCATCGGCTGATGGATGTCCTTCGAGATTAAACAATGCTTCTGAAGCATGAAGTGGATTATTACTGAAATAAAAGTGTACAAATTCTTACAGCAAATTACGCTGTAGCCTACAAAGGATTGCTTGGGTGAGAAAAACAAATGAAAAAAACATCAATTTTCCAAGAATGTTCATTACGATGAGATGTGACAGAATATGATAATCATGATTTCTGTATGATACAAGGTTCCCTCTGTGCCAATAAAATGAGCATTCTTCATGGTGTGCTGTTGATGAGAATTTTTTTTATGCACCACACCATCTAAAAAAGGCTTTTTTTTTTTTTTGCCGAAATTTGTTTTTGCGGAATGTGCAGCGTGATTAAATGTGTGCTAAATTTTTGGGGTAATCAAGATATGATCATGCTAAATTATGTAGTTAAATATCTTGTTTGTTAGCATAAAGCTTGTGGCTCTTAGCACATCACTTTTCAGGACCTAGTTTGATAGTAGTACTGGTAGTACTACAGACATCTTCGTTTGGGTCTGAACCTAAAAAAATAATTCTGCTTTTAAAATAATGATTTGCCATCACCTTGACGAGCCACCCGTGAAAAACAAATGACCCGGCATTTTTTTGTTCGGCAGTCACGCAAACTGCATAAACATGCGTTTTCCGATTAAACGCTTCAACTAAGAAATAAAGGAACCTGACGCCTTGATAGAGAAATAACATGCTAGAAACCAAACGAAGCAATCAAACCCAAATTGCAGAAAGAGAGAGAACAAGAGAGAAAATAAACAATGATTGTGGGGAGCTTTGCAGTCTAAAAACGAAACCAGGGAATAGTCGGTCGATTTTTTCACATGTTTATATAACAAAACAAACCCCAAAACGAAAAAGCGTCTACAACGTTTTACTAATTAAACACCTTGGTTTTCAGGACACAAGGCTCTAGCAGCACTTAAATCCTCCTGGAAAATAAATGTTACCATGGGAAGTAATGTGTCATTATCAAGAGCCATATGATATTATAACACGCAGACGAGAGTCCGACACCAGATACATCTGACCGTGTGCCTGACTTCATAATCAGTTCAGTGAAACAGGTCAGGACCATCAACTACCTGGTTTCCCATATTACCGGGTCTAAGCGAAATCAGATACAATGCGCGAGACAACTGCAGAATAAAGAACGCCAACCTGAATTACAAACTGAAAACATGCACAAACGCGGAAACTGAATTGTGCCTTTCGATCCTCATGAAAGTGTCAGCGTTAGGATTCTAGACAGTTCAGTTTGAAGCAGCCTCAGCAGTAGTGTTCTGTGCAGCGAGGAGCTTCTTGACTCGGCCGATCATTAAAAATGGACACATTGTAACTAACTAAACTAAAATAAAAACAGAAGTCGCAAAAACAAAAAATTAGGGGACCTACCAGCATCCGCAGATCCGTTTTCCTGCTGTAGGTGGCTACTGCTTCCTCAAAGTAGAGGCTTGAAAAAGGTAGATTTCTCTTCGGCGAGCAGCGTAGGATCACAAGGACGCATGATGGGCGGGACAAACACTACCCGAATCATGCGCAACATAGGAACAGTCACCCAAATTGGTTTGTCCGACTTCTGCAAAGCTCAGTGGCTCAGTAGGAAGAGGTGTTGAGGGCATCGGCAGCATCGGGGGTGTCTCGCCTCTCATCAGTCTCACTGTGCGGCGCCATATCCGCAAGCCGCAAAAGTTTAAAACACGCAATAGGTGGCGCAAGCCGCCCCTTGATTAAATGACCTACGCGCAAGCGCAGGCCCCGCAGCAGTAACCAACGAACGGAACGAAACGTTGCAGTGGCCCATCCATTTAGCTGGCCTGGAACGCGTCTCTGAGTGGTGTGTTTACCGTGGCCAAAAAAGTGGTCCTTCGATTTCTGCCTGATGACGTCATAAAAATGTCATGTTGTCGCCAGTCGCGACCCTGATGGCGTCCCAAGAGTTGTAGTATGAATAGCAGACGCCTGTTCTGCTGCAGGTCGCTCTCCACTGTGACAGTTAACGGAAGTTAGAGCAGTCGGAAGTTGGGACGCCTGGGGCGCCGTGACGACAGCGACACTCACGTTCGCTCGTGTTTTTAGCCACCATTTCTACGGCCAACCGCCAGGAACGCGACAGGCAACAGCATGAGACTCCGGCTTCTGTGACGTCATTTGTTGCCACTTCGGGACCACTTTTGGTGTATGAGCGGGATAGGAGTAGGACGCTAAACACACCAGTCGGAGCAGTGGACGCAACCTTGTGCTCGACTCAACGTTTCGGTACCCCCACTCACTCACTTCATTTCGACTTCCGTCGTTCAAAGCGCCATCCAGATTTTCGTTTACGAACTGTGTGTTCTATAATGTAAACATAGAGTACGGTGGCATCTAGACGCTGCGCGCTGCGCGGCTGCGTTTCGAAACGTAGCACGTAACATATCCCATAGAATACAGAGAAGTTACCAAAGCAGCCGTCCGGTGTGGTCTGGCGCGTCGAACGACGGGAGGTGGGTCGTGGTGAGTGAGGGGGGTACTGCTCGTGCATGCAGCCAAATATTTGATGCCGTTATGGTGCCTAGAACATGGCCTAGAACGCGTCTCCGACTGGTGTGATTAGCGTCCTATCCTGCCCATACATCAAAAGTGGTTTCGAAGTGGCAACGAATGACGTCACAATAATGTCATGCTGTCGGTTGTCGCGACCCTGGCGGTTGGGCGTAGAAATGCTGGCGAAAAGCACGAGAGAACGCGAGTGTCGCTGTCGTCATGGCGTTTCAACTTCTGGCTGCTGAAACTTCCGTGAAATGTCACAGTGGAGAGCGACCTGCAGCAGAACAGGCGTATGCCATATGTGCCACAACTGTTAAGACGACGCCAGGGTCGCGACCGGCGGCAGCATGACACTTTTGTGACACCATCAGGCGGAAGGCGAGGGACCACTTCTTGAGACGCGGTCCAGGCACCATAATGCAGCGTCTATGAGCAGTTCCATAACTGATAAATATTTCCGCTTCATTTAGTGTAGTCATTTATACATTCAAATAAGAATACTCTTTTTTTTAATTACCAACATAAAAATAATAATAAAGTTACCAGGCTGTGGACCGTAAAAATCGTAAAAATTGACGCCTGCACTGCCTGCACCAACGGGTCGTTCCATTGGTCATTCCCGTTTCAACCCATTCAACCTTCCCGCACTTCCCGTTTGTACTTCCCCGTTTCGACCCTGCTTAAAACGAATTCTCGTTTCATCCTTTCTCATTTCCCCCTATCCCGAAAAAACCTTCCCGCTTCGGACATCGTTTGTCCTCCTTGCTCATCTCACTTATCTCTCTCCTGAACAACCTTGGAAACATGACCAACATGACACTGTAAATAAACGCTGTGTCAGGGAGGGTCACCAGAACATTTACAGCTTCATCGACCTGATCAAGCGGGATGAGGCCTTGACAAGGATATCTCTGCAGCAGCTTGCAAATGGTGGTGCCGTGCGGGCCAGGGGATAGCCGCGAACTATCAAAATTTAAGTGTCGCCTTTCTGAAGGCGCGATTTTCCTGCTAGACTTCCTAAACCAAAGCTGTGGTCTATGATTTTTCCTATGTGTGCGAGGGTTGTGTGCCTGAACTCGTAAGAAAATGAAGTCGCAATCATATGCCTGTCAACCTGCCTGATTTATCACTCTTTAAAATATTCCGTTCACTGAAAGGAAGTTTTAGAATAACGTACGCAAACGCTTTGGGTTACGTAAAAATATACGTCGCGATATAAAACCTAAGGTAACGCTAATTTTTGCTTAGTGAAAGTGCTTGCCTTCATTATTCTAAGACTTCATTGTACAAAACGCGACACTGTTAGCGCGAACAAGCGATTGTTGGTTTTCGCTGTTTGTCTCAAAGAATCAAAAGACTGCCATCAATATTATTAGTGTCTTTGAGAGTGCTCATCTGTGCCATTGACCTAAGCGGTACAATTTGGTACTTTCCCATACCATTTCGAAGCAAAATTCGAAAAATCGTCAACATGGTGTTTGAGGTAACCTTGTCGTGCAATGTACATAGTCCGTTTTATAGTTACACTCTTTGGGGACCATATTTGAACATACATTTTAAGTGGTTCAAGTAGAAATATATTTCGTTGAAGCTCGTCTCAAAGCGTTGTATATTTTAAGAATACGTTGACAAGCAAAAATTTACCAACATAACTAAATAGCCCGCCTGCACCTTTGCATCAATTGCATTAACATCATTTAGGGATGTATTCTTATGCAAAAAAGGCGCGCAAGCCTGCGTTAGAACAATGGAGACTTTTCCCGAAGAGGTTGAGATGTGTGGGGCTTTAAACTAGTGGGTTAAAATAGGACGGACTCAAATGTAAATGGTGTTTCGGCTACAAATTCAAATCAGGGCGTTTCAGAAACGGGTTGAAATGGGACGGGCGATTCGGGAATGGGTCGAAACGGGACAAGTTCAAACGGGAAGGTTGCTTCGGGAAAGGGTCAAAACGAAATGGGTTAAAACGGGAATGGGTTGTTTCGGGCTACACCCGCACCAACGTTACTAGAACCACTCAGTTGGGAAACTGCCATAAAGCCTGCTCTAAAAAAGTGGCGCCAGTTCTTATCCCAGAGCCAAGCTAATGGCAATCGCAACGCCGCCATTTCTCCTGCAGCGGCCACCCCGTGAACTGCACGGCTGCACTTACTGGTTTTGTTGAGTCACGAAAAGGCTGGTGGCGCCATCTCGCAGGGCCATCTTGCAGTAGCCATATAAAGCAACTTTCATGTTTCAACTCGTTGCTAAAGGGTGGCGCTGTAATCATATTTAGCTCGGTCTCGGTGGACGCCAGCGGCCAAGGTTTCAAGGGCGAGTTTCCCAACCGAGTGTAACTTTGGCCTGCACGTAGCAATCCGAACTTTTTGTCAAAGGTGTGTTTCACACGTCGGTTTTCTCTTGTAAAATTAGAAAGCATGGCTCCCTTTCTGGAAAACATAGGGCCAAGAAAGTTGCTTGGGTCAACGGCAGGTGACGCAGATGACGTTTGGTGTGCGTCTTATAGCAGGATGGTCAAGGACCACAGCACAAGCCACTGAGTTCCTCTGGAACTAGGTTCGTCTTACATTATCACCCAAGAATTCTCCTCCAAGGAAAGGCAATGTTGTCGTCTTGGGCCAAATACCTGTCCCAGAACCACACCAGCACATTTTGAAAAAAAAGGACCTAAGTTTTGCCTCGAGCCCGCCCTTAAACACGTAGACAATCTAGTTTTGTCCAGGTTCCTTTCAAGGAACGCAAAGGTTCAAGCGAGCTGGACGAGAACGACAGAATGACCATTCTTGTCCAGCTCGCTTGCACCTTTGCATTTAATTGCATTATAATCATAACCTTAAATTTCAAGCTTCACCCTTGTTAGTGTTAGACTGGTCGCAGCTGATAAAACCCGTTTGCTCTACTGACGTCTAACCCCTGGTTAGCTCAGTTGGTAGAGCGCTCCACTTGTAATGGAAAGGTCCCGGGTTCGATACCCAGACCAGGCGGATTTTTTCGGTTGCGCACCAGTCACGTAGCTTCCCCTTCTCCAGGGACTATTTTCGTCATTAAGTACCTCACTTAATTGAACTTGCAGAAAGTTGCATCAGCAGCCAAAAAAGGAGAAGACCTCACGTTAACGTTGTTTTTCTCTGCTAAAACCCATAAACCGGGAATCCTTTCCGCACCATAGTATCGGAACGTAACACTTGGCAACACACCATCTCGGGATATTTACACCTCAATTCCCTTGTAATCGTAGACCCTTTACGTACCCCCACTCCAAAGGAGTTATAGATTTTCTTAGGGACAGCAATCCAGAAGGGTGCACAACATTCAGCATTGATGTAGAACGCTTTTACTACCCTTTGTCTTATGATGACCCTATGGTAAGCATTCAAGAGCACATTTTGGAGTTTAACGACGAAAATAAGTTCAGAACGCAATGCGGAATCACAGTTTAAGATTTCCTTGAATTACTGTCTGTGTATTTAAAATCTACTTATAAGGTGGGAGGAAAAAGCGTTCAATCAGAGGTCAAGTGTTTGTATTGGGTCGAGAGTAGTGCCTGTACTAAGCAATATTTTCCTCGGGAAGATAGGAAGAGCTCTAGCTCAAAAATTGGAAAATTGCGCCATTAAGATCTTTATGCAGGTTGATATTTTTGTCTTTGTTGAACACTCCAGTTTTGAACAAAAAAAAAAAATAAAAACGATATTACATACTAAAAGTATTCCATGAGCTTGGTCAAGGCCTTAGGTTCACATATGAGACCCCAACAGAGTCAAATTCAGCTTTTAGATCTCCTTGTTGAATTTAAAAAAGAACACATTTGCTGGTTGTACCATGCTAGAACATCAAAGAGTTTGCTAAATTACCAGTCAGCACATTCGAAACTCATAAAAAGAGGCATAGTATATTCCTGTGTGAAATCCGCTTAAACAAAAATCACGTGTTCACACAATAGGCGTTGGCTTCACTTCCCAGATTCAAAGGATTAGGGATTCAGGATACCCAGACTATTATTTTATCAGCGTGCAAAAGTTTAATAAAAATTGTAAAGGTTAGTTCCAATTTCATGTTGGAAGAACCCGATAGAAAAGAAAAAAAAGAAAGTTTGTTATTCCTTATCTTCACCGTATTTTACAGACTGAAAGAAGTTGCATCCAAATATGAGGTAAATGCTTTCTCAGCCTAAAACAAACTAGGTAAATGTTTTCTTAGCCAAAAACAAAGTAGATTTGTTCCTCTGTATGTGTACGCAGGGACGGAAAAACAATATCAGAATATAACATATGTAAGGTAAAGCATAGGAAAAAGTTAGTGTCGTGCGTAAAAGGCGTAGTTTATCGCATTCCCTTCCCTTGTGGGTGCTCTTATATCGGTCAGACTGGCCGGTGCTTAAACATCCGCCTCCGAGAGCACCACAGCTCCTTGAAAGGCACCGCTCATTCACATCTAGCGGTACATTGCCAAGATTGCAGGTGTGAACCACATTTAGAAGACACCATTATATTGACACCATGACCAAACACGCCGAGGAATGGTTGAAGCGTACATCACGAGCCAACCTTCGGTGACCCTGACCCCCAGCGAGGTGAACTTTCTGGATTTAGGTTAACAACAGCTCCCCAGGAAAGAAAGAAGAAAACTACTACAATCTGAGGAAAAAGAAGGGGACATAATCCAGGAGGCGCTCAGCAAGCGCGTAAACATTTGACTGCATTTTTTTTCATTTCATTGTCTTTCTTATGTTCTATTAAAGAACCAGTTGATAGCCAGCGCTTGTCTTATCGTCGTGCCGTTTTTTTAACATGAACTATTACCAACTTGCCCAGCTATCTATCCTTATCAGAAAAAGGTTTTTGCCTTAGAGGCCTCGGACCAGCCACAACAGATTCATTAAACCATGTTCAAAATGTAATGCATTTATATTTTAGGACAACCAAGCTGCAATCGTAATGTGGCACAAGAGTGGCACAGTGCAGCAACATGCACAAACCAAGTCTGAACATGATTTCAAAACTTTTTATTTGTACAAGAAGATATAATACAAAGTGGTCACAAGCATCATTTAGTAACCACTGCCTATTACTAGAAAAAAAAAAAAGTCAACTTCGACAGTTACCACTGCACAGTAAACTTTACCGATACCCAAAGTGAATAACCGGTCACAATCTCGCGCGCACACACACACACACACACAAAAAAAAAGTATAGGCAGATTTGAATGGTGCTAAATTTTGTACCACCAAGGTCACACAGCTGTCCAGAAAAAAAACAAAAACCTAGGGCAACACCTGGGACTACAATCCATGCAAAGAATGGTCTTGCAGCACCAAGCAACAGTTCACCTAAAATTTGGTTCTCCACTTCACAAAAAAAAAAAAGAGGAACTGAAACACATTCTCTCTTAGCAGTCGCAGCTAGAATTAAACCTAGACTCGTTTCTTCTGGCCCCACGAGCCACACCAGTTACATTAATCGCCGGGCATTTCCAAGTGGGAATTCCGGCAGGCCAAGGCATGATACTACCATAAGTGGGTTTTGAAAACTCGCTGGACTGCAACCAGTAGGGGACCAGCCCAGGAGGCCAACATTACGACGGTCCCCAACTAACACTTTATGCAATTTCAGAATTCGAAAAGGGGAAAGTTTAGGCTACTATAGAAGAAAAAATCTCTAAACAGTCTTGGACAAGCTTGGATTCGGCTATTGGTCAGAAAATGAATCATTTTGACTGCTGGGTGCAGTCATCCCCGGCCATTTGTTACAGGAATGAACTTGCTCAGGACACGTAGCTTAAACCAATGGGGGAAAAAGAAAAAAAAAAGCACTTCCATTTAAAATTAGGTTGCCTCTGCACGTGGCTAGACAGAAGAGTTCAGTTGATGTCACGGCTGCCCACCCAGGCGTTGTGAAACGAAACAAAAAGAATGAAGTGCATTGCCAGCGATCCCCATGAATAGCAGCAATGGCACCCGCACACTGCCAGTGCACTTGAAAATGTCCAACCATCCTAACAGCAAGTCGCACCCTACACTGTCACAAGCTGCAATCAACCACGTGATGGCAGGAGATGGGGCGGAAGGGTCAAGTCAATCATCTTTTGTCACACACAAGTTGCACACAGTCACTCACACAAGCACACACAAACAAAAAAAAGGAACAAGATTAGAATAAAAAAAAGTCAAATGCAAAAAAAAAAAAGAATGAAGATGCTTTGAACAGCACGCCAAGATCATAGGGCCTAGGATTCATTAGAATTTGTTTTAATGCACCTAAATTGCAGTCGCTTATTTTCTGCTAAAATCATGTAAATTGGATGAAGAGTACTCGCAAATAAGCACACCAAAAAAGTAGAGCGGGAGCAGCTCACGAGCAAGACCATGCTAGTGGAGCAGTGGTGGCAGCGGAAGAAAAGAAAAAAAAAAGAGGAAAAAGCTTGGCTGTTATCTTCCAGTCCTTGTCTCCTGCCCCTTGCTCCCCCCCGTCCCTCAACCCAAGGAAGCACCCTACACTCTGGGGCCCTCAAATCTTCTGAATCTTGTCGCCCACAACCAGGGGATTGTTCTTTCGGATTTCCTGAGCACCCAGTTCTTTGTAGTCAAACGTGCAGTCGTGCTCGTTTGAGTATCTGTGGAGACTGCAGAAGAGGCCACCACAGCGACACTGGAAGCCTGGAAAACAAGGGTTCTTTCTTACTCCAGAGAATTTTTTTTTTTTTTAAATATTCCCACATGTTTCAACGTGGCATCTGTGCATGCCTCTCGGGTTACAACAAAGCTTTCAGGCGCTACTGCACCAGCTTATAAACACAAATGGCACACAAAAGGCTTTAAGGGAATACGAGTTACCTAATCTAGTCTAACATTTTCTAGGTCAAAACTAAGGACTGTTACACTGAAAAATAGCGTATGCAGGCGAGCGGGTGATAATCGTGATGATTACCCAAGACTGTGATGCATAAAAATAAAGAAACTTTTAAGACAAAGGAAAAGATGGCAGAGGAGATGTCCTACATATTGTCTTTTGTGCACCAGTCCCGGGTGTTACACGCAAACCCGGGTTGAATAACCTATTTCAGCTACAGTCACCGAAAGAGTGAGAATGGAAGGGAGTGTCTTTTAAACACCCAGCCTCCAACATGCGCTCGCTCGAAGTGCACACAATGTCGATGCCTTGTCAAAAGTATGACGTACGTGCTGCAGGCAGGACAACAAAAGCTGTTCCACGCCATTCTCCCCTCCAAAGTGACTATAGGTTCCCGCACTTATTTTTGTGAAAAGTGACAATTCTAAGCAACCATTCAAACTAGTTTGTGGCTTCGAAAGTCTGACTGGACAGACCGTTTGAAGTTTTGCCTTGTGCAGCGACATGCTCAATGGTTGCCTTGACAATGAAGTGCCATTGTAATAGCACCAGTCAAGTGCACTAGAACTTTCAATGCACCCATATTGTGCATTAGTTGACACGGAAGAATAATAAAAAGCTCATTAACACATTTCAAAGGTCACTGACATGAATATTGAGTCTGCAGTTGAGCAGAGGTATTCTGTGATGGTAACCTCTAAGGGCTGCTAAAAAAGCTATGTGTCAAAGATGTATATGTCAGTCTATGCAAGAGAGCTTCATTACATGGCCCAAAGCCAGCAGTCAATGAGATGCTCTTAATTGGCCAAGCCTGTGGGTGAAAGGATTACAAGCTCACCTACAGTAACTGGATATTAGCCCTTTGACATGTACGGTGGCAATTAAGGATTTGAAAGTGTGACTAAACGCAAGACTGAGCGTACAACAGGAGGTGTTGCTTTCCGTCATGCCCTTGTCAAGATTGTGAACCGGAGAAAAGAGAAGACGACGAGAAGAAGAACGAGGCGCGGTGTGGGGCAAAGGAAGGAAGAAGAGGTGTGGAACGAGTATTGGAGGACAAGACAGCGCTGGTCCGGTGAACAACAGAGGCGACTTTGGCTACGCTCCGGAGGAAGCCCACCCGAGGCTTGCTCACGGGAGTCCACCGTGTACCAACGAGGCATCCCCCGTCAGAGCGGCAACATGACGTTCTACATCAGGAAAAGAGACATGCAAGCATTCACAAGCAGGGACACTTCAAGGTCATGAGTGCCAGAGTCTGAGACTTTGTTCTAAGGGACTAAGACGATACTGTACTGTATGTTTGCTTATGCCTTTCACTTTGTTTCTTTATGTAAATATATGTACATATGGTGGAATTTCGTAACCCGTTTGTCCTGTTTCGCAGACTATTGGGGTTCGTCTCGGTTTAACGTGACAGTCCTTAGCAAACTATAAATTAGGGGTGTGCAAATGCTCGCATATATGAATGCGAATCAAATCGCAAGTTCCCGGGCAATTCAATACGCATATTGAATTCCTCGTATTTGGTCACTCGAGTATTCAACATATTCGGCAAAAGACGAGTGGTCGGCGCACAGCTAACAAAATAGCCGTTTTTTCTCCCAATGTTAACACAGCTATTTTGAACAGACCATGCGAGAAACACCTTTTGATACTACCATTCCACAAAAATATATCCCCAGCTCTGCCTGCACCTCCTATTGACAAAACACTCTCTATTCACAGCTCTGGATTTAATTTAGCTTGCTTTCTCTTTCAAATCCAGGCTCTCTAAAACAGGATAGATGGACGGAGGAATGAATGCGTAGCGGCTGTTGGACAGTGACTTTTGCCACCTAACCACCTTCTTTCTTTTTATACTTCAGATTAAATATTGTTTAAGCCAATTTAATCCGATTTATCTCGTATCCGCTTATAAAATAAAATCAAGCGTGTCCTTTTATGCCCTTAAAACTGGGAGCTAATACCGAGGTATGCCTCTTTTATGAGAAACATAAAAAAGGGCATGTCACAGTGTTGGATTGCGCATTTAAAAAAAACAAAGTCGCGCGTGGCTTTTTTTTTTTTTTGCAGGTTACGTACAGAGTATGCACCAGGCGCATACTCTGCACATAGAATACTCTCATTCGCAGCACACTGAAAAATTCCTAGAAGGAAAATCACTATTCAATATTGGATTCAATATTCAGCTTCTTGTTCTTAAACCTATCCCTCCCATGGACGACCCGAGTTTGTCCACACTATTTGTACCGCACCCCCAAAACGAGCTCGGCTCGTCCACGTTGAATCGGGCTCCAATACGCTACCATGGACGAACTGGGCTAGTTTACGTGTTTCTAATGAGCTTTGCTGTGGATAGATGGCACTTCGCGGAAAATAAAACCCTGTTAAATTACTGAATTTGACAGAAAATTGTTTCAATGTAGGCAACAGGGGATTTAAGAATGGCGACGTCACCTTCTGGTCGCTGCATCCGTAGTGACGATCTTGCCTCAAAATTGGGGCAAAAACGAAGATATTGCGACGTCTCTTCAGATTCAGAAGACGAGGAAATGAATCTTTCATCGAACAGCAAGAGCGATGCAACTGAGTTATTGGATTCGAGCTCAGACGACTCCGATTTCGAGGAGGACATCGTGTCGGCATGGACTAGAATCAAATAGAAAATCCCCCGCCAGCCCCTCCACGTTTTGCGTTCACTTTGCTTGCAATGTGATGATAACTGCCTGCAGTACTGCTATGCCCGACCTGAACGTTCATGTGCAAGGTGATGTGAACTGTTTGCAATAATGCAGTGAAGCGTAACCTTAGTCCCTCTTTCATTTGCAGTGTGTTTAAAGATTTCTCATATAATAAATATTTTGGCATTTGTTTTGCATATTAAATTTATAGGGCACATAAAAAACTTCGGTATTTTCAAATCATTTCTTTTCTTCAAAATTTTTGCGGTAGGCAAAAGGTTAACTCGATTCGGTATTCAATTCAATTCGATAACTACCATTCGGCATTCCCATACCGAACTAGAAATGTCATTCGCAGAGTGTTGCTTCACTGGGACTGTTTATAGTTATGAAATTAGGCACTCCACGCATGTGATATGTGCAGGATGCTGGCTTTGCATATCGGCTGCTCAGGCGGTAGTGACAATTGGAGCACCGGCTCTTCCGATTTTTAATGCGTCTCAGCATTAAATTTAGAGGATGAGAGCTTACCATCTGATAAAGCAGCTCTGTAAAGTACCTCCAATTCAGAATCTAAAACCGCTGGAATGTTTCAGAAGCGGACGAGCAAAAATAAAACCAAGTAGAAGAAAGGTGACAACTTTTTGCCTTTGATATTTCAATTCGACGCTTGTAAACCTGAACAGCTCTCGCAAGCAGTGTATGTGCTCCCAATAGACAATTACAAACGAACCTGGGCATTGATCCGTTTTTTATTCTATTCCTTTAGAAAAATCTTACCACAGGGAAACGGCACTCGGGAAGAAAAACTAGATTGTCAAGGGGTTATAAAGTAGCACAAAATCCTCCCAATATACACTGAAAGCATGTGACTGAACCACTGCATGTGTGACTGAAGTAGCCAGTTACAGTGATGTGATTAACCTAAGCCATTTCGGAGCACCTTTTGGAGCAGCCAAAAGAGTGTTTTGTAGCAGCAAAAGTTGCCTTTGGAGCAGCCAAAGCAGTGTTTTCGGAGCAGCAAAAGTGGCTTTTGGAGCCGTTAAAACATTGTTTCGGAGCAGCAAAAGTGGCTTTAGGAGCAGATATTCTTAGAAAAAATTAAAATATTTGTTTCAAATGCTAGACAAACCAAGGACACTTTGCTTGCCGCAATAGACATATTATAGTCAAGTTAGACCATCTGGGAGTCTTTCAACATGTAACTGAAGTGCCAGTGACATGACACATCTTGCAATGCTTCAGTTAAATGATACGTATACATGAATCCAAATAATCAAAGTGCACATATTAAAATTTATTTGAAAATGACCAGCTTATAATAGATAGCACAGCATTAGGTTGACTACTGACAAAATAAATGAAAGCAGTCTCCAACTGATGAAACACTTAACTACTGCAGTGCAATGCGAAATTGTCGTGCGAGCGGAGGTGGCTGTTCGATCGAAACCATGCCACTCCGCTCCGTCGCCAACTGGTTCCCAAAACTGTATGCAAAATGTAACTCTCCAGCATACGACAAAAAACAGTCCAGCCGCACGCACTTACCAGGCCGGAAGCCGAGATACAAGCTAAACACACACACACACACACACACACACAAAAAAAAAAAAAAAAGAACCTGAGCACATTGATGCAAGACATCGCGAGGCAGGGTCTAAAAGTTCTTTGAGCGCTTCGTGCAACGACTGAATTCGAGCCAAACAAGCGCGCTGTGGGGGTTCAGCGTGCAGACATTGCCTTCTTTGCTTTAGCTCACTTTTCTTCACCAACTTTCTTTCGCGGCAGATTTTTCACGTACCGGGGTACCTCCCGAAAGAAAGCACACCGAGAGAAACCTAGGTAATCAATACTTCGACAAAAACGTCTTGAGTTAAAAAGGGATTTTTGTAGTAACGTATGATTTACACAAGAACAGGAATGTTGATGAACTTGCGGCGGTACTTGGTTTCATTTTAGAGAGCCCCATATCTCCAGCGACGCGGTGACGGACACCCGACGTCGCGCGACCACGGTGACTGGCAGGCAGGGACCAAATATAGTTTTCCCACGGCCGTTGCTTTCAGGAGCGAGTGCTTCAGCTCACAACTAGCTCCCGCCGCGCAAAAACGTGGTTTTGTTTC